AAGAGTTCGGCCCCGAGGCCTTGCCAGCAAAGGCCATAAAGCATCCCGGCCACCGCCGCCACGGTTTAGATGGCTATTTTTGTTCTATATAGATGACATTCCGGTTTCCCTCCTACTGATCTTAATTGGGCCCGGGGTGGGCTGGAGAGTTCTACTGTGGACTGGCATATTCTCGGCCCTCCCTCCATCTCTTCTCGAGCGCTGCCTTTTAATTTATGTGTCTGGGGTGTTCCCAAGCCGCCCTCGATCCGCGGCGCGTCGAAACCCAGCGCCTTCAGGATCTGGAGGGGCTGTCGAGACCCACTTCCTTGCTTTCCTTTCTCTCTCTCTCTGACACAGAACCTAGATACCTCATTCCAGACCTTTCCGCTCGCTGCGCTAGGCAGTTTTTGGGCCTAGCCTGTGCCTCTCGTCCCCCAACCCCAGCGTTGCACCTCCGACTGGCTCTTTCCCCCTGTTAGGGGTGAGAGGAGGAGGAGGATGGGGACCTTCGTCAGGCGTCTAGGTCCAAACTCGCGGTTTCTGCCCAGGCTTTGACTGGGAAGCAGGGTTGGGTCAGTACAGCCAGTCCTAAGCAGCTCCTTTAAGCGGTGCCCTCGTTCGCGGCCACCCAAGCTCTCCGTGGCACACGCTGCTTAGTTTGACGTCCGCGGTTTGCCCCTCACCTCCTTGAAGAAATAGGTTGCCTTCCCATTCGGAGCTAGTTGGGAGGGCTTGCGCCTGGCAAGGGCGTATTGGCCCTTTCCCATTCCGCAGACTGAGCACGCGAGTGTTCAAAGAGGCAGTGCCTCTCTCCTCAAATCCGTCGCAGCTTCTTCCGCGGCGCTCGCAGGAGAAGCAAAACCTTTGCGGAACGGATATCCCCACCCCAGTCGGGCCCTTTCTCCTCTTTTTTCTCCCACCCTAGTCTCCGGTTTTATAAATCCTCCCGTCCTTCTCTGCCCCATGCCATCAGGTCGCGGCAAACCCCATCCCCCCCCAGCCGCTTTTGTAACAGAGTTTGGGAATAACACAATCTCAGCAATACCGACGCCCGTCTTTGAGGCCGAAACGCGAAAACGGTTCGTTTTCTCGCGTGAAGCGCGCCCAGAGGTGTCGCGAGGAGGGGCTTTAACTTTCTCCGGAAGGGGGGAGAGGTGCTAGGAGCTGAGCATCAGTCTTAAAAAGCAGGCCGATCCGGAACGGATTTGTCTCGTTTCCCCCTTTCTCCACACCCTTGCTTCACACACGAGGGTGGTTTTTTTGGGTGAGAGTGAGAAAAGTGAAATTGTGGGTAGGTGACCCCCAAGGCGGGGGGCAGGGGGAATCGCAAATAACTACAGGTGCTTTCGGAGGGAACTTTTGAGGGGTGTCTGAGAAGGAGGGGGGAGCCCCAAGACCGTGCTTCCCAGCATCCTCTGGGAGCGATTCTTGCAAGGTAGTGAAACAGACTCCGCTGCAGGCAAAACCGCTTTCTGAGCACCTCGCAAACTGTTTGGCTGCTCCCTCTTCTCCCCCCGCAGGGCAGGAGCGACTCGCTCATTCAGTCTTCCTCTCTCTCTCTCGCCTCGCTCTGAACAACCCATAAAAAAATAAAAAATCCATTGCTTCACGCTTCTATATATATATATATATTATATATATATCTATTTTTTTGTAATTTCTTCATCATGGTGCAGGGTTTTCTGAGGACCAAATCTAAAACGAAAGAGAACCGTGCAGAGATCTTTTTTTAAAAAAAGAAAGAGAGAAATTAAAAACACAGCAAACTGTTGCAATTTAATAACGTCCAGATTTATTATTATTAAATATATATATACATCTAGCATTGTATATCGCCGAAGGGTGTGTTTGGGTTTGTTTGTTCGGTTTTTTGGTTTTTTTTGTCTTTGTCTTTTTCCTTCATCATGTAATTAAAAAGTTATGGCTGACCGTAGCACTGGGGGCGGGCGTGGGGAACCAGTAACATTCCTACACCTTTTTTTATTTTTTGGTCACCCATCTTTTTCGTTTTGGTTCTCTTCTTACTTCTTTCTTTTTGTCGTCGGAGAAGGTTTAGCTTATTTTATTGTGTTTGCTCCTGAATGCCTGCCCTCTGCGGGGTTTGGGCAGTTCAGCCAATAGGGAGTAGCTGGCTTCTATCTGCCTCTGTTCTACAAACTTCCGAGCTTTCCGGGGAAAACCAGCCCTCCTCCCACTTGGGAACAAGACAATAAAATGTAATATTTTTAAGGATGATTTCTCTGTTGTCGTTCTTTCCAGTACGTTTCCGAGCAAAATTCAAAGTGTTGGTGCTGACCTTTAAAGCCCTAAACGGCCTCGGTCCAGTGTATCTGAAGGAGCGTCTCCACCCCCCATCGTTCTGCCCAGAGGGCCTTCTTGGTAGTGGCTCCCACCCTGTGGAACGCCCTCCCTTCAGATGTGAAGGAAATAAGTAGCTATCCTATTTTTAAAAGACATCTGAAGGCCGCCCTGTTCAGGGAAGTTTTAAATATTTAACGCTGTATTGTTTTTAATACTTGATTGGGAGCCGCCCAGAGTGGCTGGGGAAACTCAGCCAGATGGGCGGGGTATAAATAATAAATTATTATTATTATTATTATTATTATTATTATTATTATTTCCCACCGCTTCCCTCCCTTACTCATTTGCCTCCCCATCCCTGTTCCTTTACCGCCATGTGCGAATTCACACAAAGCTGCCTGATGGAAGACTTGGCACATTACGGGGGTCCCGGCCCAACCATTTATATGCCGCCCTCTGGCAAAAGATCGGGGCAGAGTCACACAAATCCTTTAAAAGCAACGCAGGAGAGCCGTTAAAATGGCTGGCTGCTCTGAGGAAATTTCCAGGAAAAAAGCACACCAAGAATTCTGGCCCATATAAGTTTCAATAGTGTGAGTGGTTCCTACTTGCAAATCAATAGTCAATTGTAACAAAAACTAATCCATTCAGAAGTGTGTATTCTGACAGGGATTACAAACTCAAATAGAGATTACAGACTCAAACTCGAAAGGATATGTGTACTGTAATTTGTTACAGTATTAAAGATAAAAGTTTATGAATAGAGATAAGTTCATGTTAGTCCATAGTTAAGATTTGACGTGAAGATCTTAGTTTCAATCATTGAGCAGAAGTCAGAAGTCAATTATGGATCAGAACGCCCTCAGAGAGGGCCATTGAAACTAAGATCTTCACGTCAAATCTTACTATGGACTATCATGAACTTATCTCTATTCATAAACTCTTATCTTTAACACTGTAACGAATTATTGGGAAGGCTGGTTTGTGGGCTGGGTTGGGAATTGTTTGCGAATACTTTTCTGATCAGTCCACGTGTGTGGGAAGGGGAGGAAATGGTCACTTTTCGCTGTCTCTGCCGCATGATCACCCACAAATAAAGACTTCGGAGACAAAATTCAGTTTTAGCCTCAACTTAAGGCATTTGGAGGTCAGTGACCAGAAAAGAAATTCCACAGCTAGTATAAACTCTTGTCAAGGAGGCAGTTATTGCCGTCCGTGTTGTAATAGGATTTTTTGTTTACAATTTCACAAACCATTTCCCCCTCTGCTGATAAGTATTGGATCTGTTAAACTTTCTCTCCAGCTCAACACATTCTCTGAAACACTAAAAAGGGAAGCATTAGATGCTTTGTGTGGGTGTGGGTGTGCTTTGCAGCCTAGGATAATGATAAATCTTGCTGTATATTAATGTTGTTTTCCTACATGAAAGTTGCAACCATTGTGTGGTTCATCTCTGGCCGGGAGCTGTCTCTAACCCCTTCCTGGCAAAGAAAGAGAAGAGGTACAATGAGGATTTTGTGAGGTTTCTTAACATTTCGGTTTTTCAAATGTGTATTTTGCAGGTTTCCGTTATTGAACCAATAGCAGCCCCCAATGCAGCAGAGCAATGGGAATGTGGGTTGTGGAGAATTGCCGACTCATATTTTGGCAAAGAAGTCAGAAGGGATTAGGACTTGACCTAAAATGGTTACTTTTTTGGGCAGCGGGATTTGAGGCGAGAAAAGAATCCACTACCCATTCCTTCAATGTGGAAATCAAAGATGTAACAGAGAATTGGCTGTACAACAGATGTACAAAAAGAGCATCTTTGACACAAAAATGGTTTTGTGGCAGCTTTTGTGATCTAGGAATAATGTGGCCTCTTTGTGTTGCTGCTGTTCCTTCCTGGTTCTCGGGATCCTGCACCTCCCAAGCATCCCATTTTATCTCCCTCCCAGTAAGGACATCTCTGGGCGTTAGGAAGACATTGATATCATGGCACAAGATCTCATGGGTTCTATTTCCCATAGTCAACAAAGCATCACACAAACCCCATTCTGTTCTCTGAATCGGAGAAGAGACAAGTTTGTCTCCCTGTCACATAATACAACTCGGGGACGTGCAACGGAGCTGAAGATTTGGGACAGGCAAAAGCCACCAGAGCGGATTACTTTAAACGAGGTTGAGAAATTAATGGAGGACTACAGCTGTGGTTAGGGACGCGGGTTGCTCTGTGGGTTAAACCACAGAGCCTAGGACTTGCCGATCAGAAGGTCGGCGGTTCGAATCCCTGCGACGGGGTGAGCTCCCGTTGCTCGGTCCCTGCTCCTGCCAACCTAGCAGTTTGAAAGCACGTCAAAGTGCAAGTAGATAAATAGGTACCGCTCCGGCGGGAAGGTAAACGGCGTTTCCGTGTGCTGCTCTGGTTCGCCAGAAGCGGCTTAGTCATGCTGGCCACATGACCCGGAAGCTGTACGCCAGCTCCCTCGGCCAATAAAGCGAGATGAGCGCCGCAACCCCAGAGTCAGCCACGACTGGACCTAATGGTCAGGGGTCCCTTTACCTTGGTTCTCACTTGCAGACTTCCAATAGTGTAAAGGCACCCGTTTGGCCACGCTGAGACCATGATGCTGGATTAGATGGGCCTTTGGCTACTCTTCTGTTCTCCCTTTCCTCCGCTCCTTGCTCAAGTAATTTCATACTTTTTTGCACCCGCAGAAAAAGCAAACTCTGCAAAACACGACGGAAGCCCTTCTTGGTTTGCATAATTTATTCTCGCCCCGGGATATCCTCCTCCTCGCATCAAGGTGTGCCCCTTTATTTGGGGGGAGGGCTCAGCGCTCCCCCTGCACCCGGCGCCCTCCTAACGTGCATAACGGCCCATGCCCAATGTTGGCAGGATACGGCCCCTTGGTGCTCTGTTGCCCTCCCAGCTGACGGCCACGTTCTGGAGCTTGACTTCCCCGTCGATCTCCAGGAAGCGGATACTTTTTGGTGAGAGGCGGTGGCGGAACTCACAAAGGGAAATATCTTTCTCCAGGATCTGGCAAAGAAACGGAGAAAGGCACGTCAAGAAGGGTTGGAAGATAAACCTCCCAACTCCGACTGACATGAGAATCCCGTGTGGTTTGATGAGTGGCGGCTCTCCTGTTTAGATATTTGGGAACCTCAATACTCTGCTAGCTACACAGGCTTCTGTTAAAGGCTTTGGAGCTTGTTCGCTCTGGTTTACCATTGCTCTCCCAACTAGCTCTCTGCAAGATTTCACTGTTCATTCCTAGGAACCGGTAGTTAAAGGTAGACTGCACCCACCCCTGAGAAGCTCCACTGAGCTCAGGTATAGGGAACCTGACGCGGGTGGCGCTGTGGGTTAAACCACAGAGCCTAGGACTTGCCGATCAGAAGGTCAGCGGTTCAAATCCCCATGACGGGGTGAGCTCCCATTGCTCGGTCTCTGCTCCTGCCAACCTAGCAGTTTTAAAGCACGTCAAAGTGCAAGTAGATAAATAGGGACCACTCCGGCGGGAAGGTAAACGGCATTTCCGTGCGCTGCTCTGGTTCACCAGAAGCGGCTTAGTCATGCTGGCCACATGACCCGGAAACTGGACGCCGGCTCCCTCGGCCAATAAAGTAAGATGAGCGCCGCAACCAACAGAGTCGGTCACGACTGGACCTAATGGTCAGGGGTCCCTTTACCTTTATAGGGAACCTGTGGCCCTCCGGATACTGTGGGACTCTTAATACCCCTGTTGGCTATGCTTTAAAGCCTAACAACCTGAGCAGAGCCAGAGATTCCCCACGCATGTCTTCTAAATATGCCTTTGATTGACAAACCCACTAATTTTTCTAACCGCTTTTAAAAGGCGCTTAAGTTAGTTCCACGAGTTTCTCACGCTTGGCTTGGAGGAATATTGGCTTTTATCGCCTGCCCTAAATGTATAGGCTACTCAAGCGGACCTTAGGGGAGTTAACCATCTAGTAACTCTGAAAGACGCAGGTGGCGCTGTGGGTAAAACCTCAGCGCCTAGGACTTGCCGATCGTCAGGTCGGCGGTTCGAATCCCCGCGGCGGGGTGCGCTCCCGTTGCTCGGTCCCGGCGGCTGCCAACCTAGCAGTTCAAAAGCACCCCCGGGTGCAAGTAGATAAATAGGGACCGCTTACTAGCGGGAAGGTAAACGGCGTTCCGTGTGCTGCGCTGGCTCGCCAGAGCAGCTTCATCACGCTGGCCACGTTACCCAGAAGTGTCTTCGGACAGCGCTAGCCCCCGGCCTCTTAAGTGAGATGGGCGCACAACCCTAGAGTCGGACACAACTGCCCGTACGGGCAGGGGTACCTTTACCCTTAACTCTGAAAGAGGAAGAGTGCAATGTTCTCTCTGCTATTCAACATTGATTGATTGATTGATTGATTGAAACTCTTAGGTTTGGCGCATTTTATTTAGTGGGACATCTTTTTCTACGTAGGGCTGCCCTTGAGACTGACCCAGAAACTCCAGCGGGTGCAGCATGCTGCGGCGAGACTCCTTACGGGGTCCTCGCCGCGGGATCACATTCACCCAGGGCTATACCAGCTGCACTGGCTCCCAGTGGATTACAGGATCACATTCAAGGTGCTGGTTTTAACCAGCCCTATAAGGCCTAGGACCCTCGTACCTACGGGAGCGCCTCTCCTGCTATGTACCACGGAGGACCTTACGGTCTTCAAACAAAAACATCTTGGAGGTCCTGGGCCACAGGGAGGTTAGGCTGGCCTCAACCAGAGCCAGGGCTTTTTCGGCCGTGGCCCCGATCTGGTGGAACGCTCTGTCACAAGAGAATAGGGCTCTGCGGGACTTGACCTCTTTTCACAGGGCCTGCAAGACAGAGCTGTTCCACCAGGCCTTTGGCCTAGGCGCAGTCTGACCCCCCTCCTTTGGTAATCCTCATAGTACTCTAGCCCAATGGTTGCCATTAATTTGATTCTGAATTGATTTTAGAATGTATTTCAATGAATTGACTGTGATTTTATGTAAACGGTGCTTTTTTTCCCTGTTGTTAGCCGCTCTGAGCCCGGCTTTGGCTGGGGAGAGCGGGATATAAATAAAATTATTATTATTATTATTATTATTAAAAGTGGAAGGAGTGAGTTTCAAGTCCGTCGGTGAGCAAAGCTATCTGTTCACAGAGAGCGATGGGGAAAGCAGAGAGCAATCTGAGAGCAACAACTAGGGAGTAAAATGAAGGGACATGGGAGGTTCTTTTTGACATAACAATATCAAACCTTAGAATTTCCATTCCTTTAGCCCTGCTTACTTGGAAGCAAGAGTCAATGATTTCAATAGGACCCCTGGGCAGACGTAGGATCTTGCTGTTCTCTTCCTATACCTGCCCCCCTGTCCTATACTATACCTACTTTGGGCTCCCAGCAGCCTTCTGGCCTCCCAGTCCCCATGCAGCCACCATCGCCCCTCACCCAGCGCCCGTGTTTTTGGGGATGGTGTTTGTGTGTGTGTGTGTCCCGATTCCCCTTCCCCGCCGAGGACCCCTCAGTTGCTACCCCGACCTTGTAGCCCATCCGGGTGACGATGATTTGAATCCTGAACTCCTGGCCTCGCCGGAAAGGGGCCATCACCGTCAGACCCTCACCCCACTGCTGGTCTGTGAAGCTGTTGAGGGTCACCCAGCCAGGGGAAGACGGGGGTCCCTCAAAGCTGACGGTGAGCCTTAGAGGCTTGTTCCCCTCCTCGACTTGTCTGGAAGCAAAGTCCACATAGAACCTGAGAAAAGAGGTGAGAGAGATCAGGTTCGCTGGGTTACATATCCTGCCGTATGGCCTGTCCCCCCCAGGTAAGAAGTAGCTGAACAATGACTGCCCTGCTGCCAACTTCTTTCCTGTATCCCTGCTCCTCTGCTGTCCTTTATTTATATGTATTTTTTATATACCGTATTTTTTGCTCCATAAGGCACACTTTTTACTTCCTAAAAAGTAAGGGGGAATGTCTGTGCGTCTTACGGAGCGAATGCGTGGTCCCTGGAGCTGAATTTCCCAGGGGCAAAAAGCAGATCATGCTCTCTTTTTTTGAAAGAGGGAAGTGGGTGTTGAAACAAAGCCGCTGATCAGCAAGCGATCGGGGAGAGAGATAAGGGACGCTAGCAAGAAAGGAGGCTGCCTGGGAGCAGGGAGGTAAGGACAGCAAACTTGCAAAGGGGGGGAACAGGAAGACTAAAGCAATAAGGAGAGAAATTAGAAGAAAAGGAGGAGCAAAAAACTGCTCCAGCTAAGGAAAAGACACTAAGGCAAACAAGAGGGAAGGGAGTGTTGAAAGGAAACAGCTGGTCGGTGGGGTCGGAAGAGAGATAAGGGACGCTAGAGATAAAGGAGGCTGCCTGGGAGGGGGAGGTAAAAGCCCATGGATCCTCAGGATTTTTACATTGGGTCACCCCAAATTCACCATCAGATCACATAGCATGTCCATGGCTACAGCCTGCACCAAAAAAATCACGCACCCACTGTTGTGTGGGGCCACAATGGCGCAAAAACGTGGTTACAAAGCACAGATCCACATGGATCCTCATGATTTTTGCATTGGGTCACCTCAAATTCACCATCAGATCACATGTCTGTGGTCACAGTATGAACCACAAAGATCATACACCCACTGTTTCGTTCAGAACATTTTGTTTCTTGTTTTCCTCCTTTAAAAACTGGGTGCGTCTTATGGAGCGAAAAATACGGTATTTATGCTGCCTTCTTCCAACGAGTTCTAGTACATGGTTCCCCCTCCTCCCGTTTCATCTTCACAACATCCCTGTGAGGTCGGTCAGGCCTTGAGAGGCAGCGACTGGCTCCGGGGTCACCCAGCGAGCTTCATAGCTGAGCAGGGATTCGAACTCTGGTCTCCCAGGGCCTAGTCCAGCACCCTCACCTAGTTCAAGGCAGACTGTGACCCTGCAGAGGTTGCTGGACTCACAACTTCCGTGGCCCCCAGCCAGCATGCCCAGTGGTTAGGTATAATGAGAGTTGTAGACATAAGAACATAGGGGAAGCCTGCTGGGTCAGGCCAGCGGCCCACCTAGTCAGTCCAGCATCCTGTGGCCAACCCGATGCCTGTGGGAAGCCTGAAAACAGGATCCGAGCACAAGCGAACTCTCCCCTCCTGTGGTTTCCATCAACTGGTACTCAGAGAATGACGCTCTCCCTGCCTGGTAGAATCTCAGCTATCAAAATGAACCTTCTTTCCAGGATGCTGTTTTTATTCCAATCAATATAAATTGTAAATAACTTAGGCTGCTTCAAATAATGGAAGAAGGATATTTCTAAATTCATTTTGGCAGGGGGAAAATCCAAGAATTAAACATAAAATTTTAATAGACATAAAAGAAAGAGGAGGTTTTGCCTCGCCAGACCTGCAAATGTATTATGAGGCAGCCTGCTTGTGTTGGTTAAAAGAATGGTCCTGATTTAAAATTTGGCTGGCATGCCAAATTTGGAAGGCGAAAATTTATAAATGTTTTATGAACCATATTCTAAGGAAGAATTTGTATAGAGTTTGGGAGAAATATAAAAATCTGCTGGAAAGGGAAACACCTTTATGGCTATCTCCTATTGAGGCTATTACAATTAAGAAAGTTAATATGGATAGACAGTAGGCAACTTACAGGGAATTGCTGCAATTACAAAGGGGGAGCCTAAACTCTTTTAACCAAGTTTCTTCTCCCTTGGTCTAGTCCACATAGGAATAAGGGGAGCCATGGTTGGTCCATTTAGCTCAGTATTGTCTACACTGGCTGGCAACAGTGCTTCTCCAGGGGTTCAGATGGGACATTCCCAGGCTTACCTGGAGAGGCTGTCAGGACTTGAACCTGGGACCTTCTGCATGCAAGGCAGGTGCCCTACCAACTGAGCTATGGGCGTTCCTTGTAACATAAGAGATCCTTTATCTCTTCACCTAACTTGCGCAGTTACCATATTTTTCGCTCTATAGGACGCACTTTTTCCCCTCCAAAAATTAAGGGGAAATGTGGTGTGTGTCCTATGGAGCGAATACAGGCTCCCTGGCTTCAGCGATAGCAACGCGAAGCCTCCTAAGCGCAGAGGGAGAGTCCCCCCGCGCTCCGGACGCTTCGCGTTGCTTTCGCTGAAGCCAGGAGAGTCTGGTCTTTGAGGCTGGTGGTGGGGGAAAGCAGCGCTTCCCCCCACCGCCAGCCCCACAGGCTTGGGGGGCAGCAGGGAGGCACGCGACGCCTTCGCACTGCTCCCCGACCTGGTTTTGAGGCTGGCGGTGGGGGAAAGCATCGCTTCCCCACACCGCCAGCCCCATAAGCTCGGTCGAAACGCCCGCAGGACCTGCGCACTCTTTAAACGGTGCGCGGCTTCTGCGGGCTTTTGTGGGAGATGGGGGAATTCCCTCACCTCCCGCAATAGCAGGGAGAAAGTCTGGGAGAAGTGGAAATCCTTGATTTTCCTTGATTTCCCCCTCCGAAAACTAGGTGTGCCCTATGGTCAGTTGCGCCCTATAGAGCGAAAAATACGGTAAATCACCAAAAAGCTGGGCCCAGGTGCCACTGTATTCTGCTCTGGTCAGACCTCACCTGGAGTACTGTGTCCAGTTCTGGGCACCACAGTTCAAGAAGGACACTGACAAACTGGAACGTGTCCAGAGGAGGGCAACCAAAATGGTCAAAGGCCTGGAAACGATGCCTTAGGAGGAACGGCTAAGGGAGCTGGGCATGTTTAGCCTGGAGAAGAGGAGGTTAAGGGGTGATATGATAGCCATGTTCAAATATATAAAAGGATGTCACATAGAGGAGGGAGAAAGGTTGTTTTCTGCTGCTCCAGAGAAGCGGACACGGAGCAATGGATCCAAACTACAAGAAAGAAGCTTCCACCTAAACATTAGGAAGAACTTCCTGAGAGTAAGAGCTGTTTGACAGTGGAATTTGCTGCCAAGGAGTGTGGTGGAGTCTCCTTCTTTGGAGGTCTTTAAGCAGAGGCTTGACAACCATATGTCAGGAGTACTCTGATGGTGTTTCCTGCTTGGCAGGGGGTTGGACTCGATGGCCCTTGTGGTCTCTTCCAGGTCTATGATTCTATGATTCCCCTGGTGTCAGTTATGGGAGGTTTGGCTGCCGTGCCTCAGAGCAGAAGGAAAAGCACTCTGCACATGCCTAGGCCCAGTCTCTCTCCATAATATTCCACAAGTCCTAGCACGAATTCCTGGCCAGGAATTGCGACTTGCCTCCTCTGCTTGCATCACAAATTCTGGACGCCAAATCCATTCTAGGGAAGATAATATCAGTACTGAGTTACCTTTTGCCCTGTGGTGGAATGATACCTTCCAGCAGCACCCATGACTCTGGTTCCAGGCCTTGCGGGATAGCCCGGTAAAATGGTATATTCTGCAAGGGAGGAAAGAAGAAAATGAGGCACGCACAGTCTTGAATCTCTGTGTTGTAATCAAAAATTGCCCTTTTCCCTTATGGGGTATCCAAGAGCCCATATAGAGTCCTTACATAGGTTCCCTATTGGTAGGAGAGAATAACAGAGGCCAACCAGAGAATATTGAGAAGCAAAGCAGCTAGTAAGCTTGATCTTTATTGATCTGTTGCAACAGGGTGCTCCCCTCACCCGCAGGAGAGGAGGAGGACCCAGAAAAATAGTGTGCAAGGCCTTATAAAGACTTTTGAAATTCCCACCCTGTAGATCAAGACCACCCCCCGAAACATCATACATACAGCACAGAAGGGGTGTAACCTAAGACCACCCCTCAGATACATCACACCTACGTCACAGAAAAGGCAGTCTTAAAACAGAAATTTGAATGTCGTTTTTTCTCCTGTCCTTGTTTATCTCCTGTCTGGCAGGTTACTTGATTGGATTGCCTGGGGAGCCTGGCCAGTCTTTTGTAATGATAAATACTTAGTTCCTGGGCCAGGTCACAGGCTCACATCCTATTCGTATCTTGAATGTGCCCTTAAGACGGGATTTGTGAGGAAAGAGACAATGGGGAGGTTTCCCACTTTGACCTTGCAGAGAAAACATTTGCTCAGTTTAGGAATCAAAATGGTTCCAGGTCGGTCTTCCTGTGCTGATTTATGTACGTGCTTGGTTGGTACACTTATGAACATTACCATATATCTAAGACCTCAAAATTCCTATCACACCATCCAGTCCGTGAGATGATTGGCTTGGTTTCTTCTTTTAATAAGGTTTTATTAAAGCTTTTTCCAAATACAATAAGATAAAAGAAACTGAATAAAAACAAAAACAGAGAGAAAAGAAAACAGTCCTCTCGAAGGTAGCGCTTAATCCTTGTCTCACACAGAAAGTGGTGCACCCTCCAAACTCTCACCTGAGAGCTTTCTTTCTTTTTTTTTTAATTTTCAAATTTTATAATCGCAATAATTTATAAATTCAATACTTTCCCAAAGATACAGTATAGACTATCCCCCCCCCGCCCCTGCCCTGGATTCCATTTTTCTCCCCTCTAATTTCTTGCATCTTATTTTATTTCTCCAAACTTTGTTTTCCCTCTTATTTATTCTGTTTTCCAATTATATAACTGAGAGCTTTTGACTTGTTCTCAAATAGTCTCTTATCTTTCCACAACCACACAACAGCCCAGCCGGGCAGGGAAGAGAGAGAGAAAAAGAAAGAGTCTGGGCCAAGGTCACCCACAAATTGTAACTGTGTGAGAATCTGAACCCAGGCCTCAGTCTGAACAAAATGTTGCTTTGAATATTCCCTCTTCATGAAGAACAGAGTCGTCGTCTTCTTCTTCTTCTTCTTCTTCTTCTTCTTCTTCTTCTTCTTCTCCTCCTCCTCCTCCTCCTCCTCCTCCTCCTCCTCCTCCTTCTCCTCACTCATAGGCCAATGTCCTATCTAGTTCGGCATCCTAATCTCACAGCGGCCATCCAGTTCCTTCTTTGCTACTTAAGCCCATTTCCTCAGATAACCGACTTCCTTCTTTCTTAAAAATGCTTGTCATCCTGTGAACTTCCTGCCCCTTCTTCAACCTCTTCTGTCAGGCAGATCTAATCAATATTTCCCGAGGCTTTAATACGTAGCTGCTCTTACCGAGGAACTCCCACCAGAGTTCAAGCCTTGAAAAAGTCGGAGGTTTGGTACCTGGGAAAGTGAGTCACAGGATGGGAAGCCCATTTCACGCAATGCAGAACTGACCCATAATCTGCCCCTTTCGCCCCCTTGAAATTGCATGATGCTACATGACACTTTGCGGTTGCAGAAAGGTGTGGCTTACAAAGGATACTAGCATGGTACCGATGAGTTTATTTTGCTTTTAAAAATTCCTGTGAATTATTGAGACACCCTCAGCTGGTTTCGGTTCCTCCTTGCTACAGTGGGGAAATCGAGGAATTGTCCCAATGATCAGAGGAAGAAAGGAGACAACTTGAGAAAGCACCTGCTTCAGTTTTGGAAAATTACTACCTGTAGCCACAACTTTTTCTGCAATAAACACAAACCCTTGTGTTGCAAAATGTGGCAATCTACAAAAATGCAAACGCAACACGCTGGCTAATGTTGTTGTTCTTTAGTTGTTTAGTCGTGTCCGACTCTTCGTGACCCCCTGGACCAGCGCACGCCAGGCACTCCTGTCTTCCACTGCCTCCCGCAGTTTGGTCAAACTCATGCTGGTAGCTTCGAGAACACTGTCCCACCATCTCCTCCTCTGTCGTCCCCTTCTCCTTGTGCCTTCCATCTTTCCCAACATCAGGGTCTTTTCCAGGGAGCCTTCTCTTCTCATGAGGTGGCCAAAGTCTTGGAGCCTCAGCTTCAGGATCTGTCCTTCCAGTGAGCACTCAGGGCTGATTTCCTTCAGAATGGATAGGTTTGATCTTCTTGCAGTCCATGGGACTCTCAAGAGTCTCCTCCAGCACCAGAATTCAAAAGCATCAATTCTTCGGCGATCAGCCTTCTTTATGGTCCAGCTCTCACTTCCATACATCACTACTGGCAAAACTATAGCTTTAACAATATGGACCTTTGCTGGCTAATAACTGTTAGTAAATATATAATCGGTATGATGTCATTCAAAATATACAAATAAGCTACTTCAAAATAATATATATATATCATACAATACATCTCACAGAATATACAAGTAACTGCAAGTTGTTACATGTATCAGAGTCAAACAAAGGTTCAAACAACCAGTGAATAGCGAAGAACGCCAAACCGTCTCTCAAAGGAAGACATCTCTCCAAAGTCTCAAAAGGACACTGCATCCGGAATAGTTCAACTGTTTCGGAATAAAGTCTTCATCAGCTAGAGGTGTAATTGAAAGCAATGAATGACAACAAAACAGTAACCTGCAGCTACATTATCCAGTGAGCACTGATCCAATAGTACGATATCCACTAGCATGTATATTCCATTGATAATTATTCAGTAGGTACCTCTTTATATAGATACGCGGGTGGCACTGTGGGTTAAACCACAGAGCCTAGGACGTGCCGATCAGAAGGTCGGCAGTTCGAATCCCCGCAACGGGGTGAGCTTCCGTTGCTCGGTCCCTGCTCCTGCCAACCTAGCAGTTCGAAAGCACGTCAGAGTGCAAATAGATAAATAGGTAGCGCTCTGGCGGGAAGGTAAACGGCGTTTCCGTGCACTGCTCTGGTTCACCGGAAGCGGCTTAGTCCTGCTGGCCACATGACCCGGAAGCTGTACGCCGGCTCCTTTGGTCAATAAAGCGAGATGAGCACCGCAACCCCAGAGTCTGCCACAACTGGACCTAATGGTCAGGGGTCCCTTTACGCTTTACCTTTTATGTTGGTGGCCTTATCCTCTGTGAACTTGTCTGATCTTCTTTTCAAGTTATGCAAGTTAGTGGCCATCGCTGCTTCCTGTCAGGAGTCCCTTTAGCTTTACCTTTTTATATATTTTGTTCTACTGTATATCTTACATACAGGTTGCTCAGTTTTGTTGTCATTCATTGCTTGCAACATCATACCGATTACCGTATTTTTTGCTCTATAAGACTCACTTTTTCCCTCCTAAAAAGTATGGGGAAATGTGTGTGTGTCTTATGGAGCGAATGCAGGCTCCGCAGCTATCCCAGAAACCAGAACAGCAACAGGGATTGCTATTTGTTCAATTCTATTTTAAAAACCCATCTACAACTAATCTACAGAAACTACAACTAATTCAGAATGCGGCAGCTAGACTGGTGACTGGGAGCGGCCGCTGAGACCACATAACACCAGTCTTGAAAGACCTACATTGGCTCCTAGTATGTTTCTGAGCACAATTCAAACTGTTGGTGTTGACCTTTAAAGCCCTAAATAGCCTCAAAGGCCCAGTACACCTGAAGGAGAGTCTCCACCCCCATCGTTCTGCCCGGATGCTGAGGTCCAGCAACGAAGGCCTTCTGGCGGTTCCCTCACTGCGAGAAGCCAAGTTACAGGGAACCAGGCAGAGGGCCTTCTCGGTAGTGGCACCCACTGTGTGGAACGCCCTCCCATCAGATATCAAAGAGATAAACAACTACCTGACATTTAGAAGACATTTGAAGGCAGCCCTGTTTAGGGAAGCTTTTAATGTCTGATGTATTACAGTATTTTTAATCTTTGTTGGAAGCCGCCCAGAATGGCTGGGGAAACCCAGCCAGATGGGCGGGGTACAAATAATAAATTATTATTATTATTATTATTATTATTATTATTATTATTATCCAGGTTGGTAGCCATCACTCTGTCCTGTGGGAGGGAGTTCCACAGATTAACAAAGCACCGTGTGAAGGAGCTTAATCGCCTAGATAATTAAGGGTCTGGAAACTCAGCCTTACGAGGAGCGCTTGAAGGAGCCATCTTCAAATATCTTAAGGGCTTTCACATGGAAGAGGGAACAGGCTTGTTTTCTCCTGCTCCGGAGGGCAGGACTCGAACCCATGGCTTCAAGCTACAAGAAAGGAGGTTCCGGTTAAACAGCAGGAGGACTTTCTGACAGCAAGAGGGCAGGGGAACAGACTCCCACGAAAGATGATGGGCTCTTCTTCCTTGGAGGTTTTTAAGCAGAGGTTGGATGGCCATCTGTCATGGATGCTTTAGCTGAGATTCCTGCCTTGCGGGGGGGTTGGTCTGGATGACCCCCAGGGTCCCTTCCAACTCTTAAGATTCTACCATTCTTTTCTCTGTCCCTGACATTCAGTTTCCTGGGATGCCCACGAATTCCAGTGTTAGGAGAGAGAGAGAAAAAGGTCCACTTTCTCCATGCTAGGCATTATTTTATAAACTATTGTGTTGCCTTTTGATCGCCTTTTCCCTAAGAAGTCCTCAAAACTTTCACGGAATTGTCGAGTTGGAAGGGACACCCGAGGGTCATCTAGTCCAACCCCCTGCAATGCAGGAATCTTTTTGCCTAGTGTAGATCTCGAACCCCCAACCCTGAAATTCAGAGTCTCAAGCTTTCCCAACTGAGCTCTCCCTCAGTGCGGAGTCAGGCTACCTGCTTGATCATGTCGGTTTCCCTTTTCCAGACCTTGAAGTTTTACTCAAAGTAGACCTATTTAAATGAATGGACCTAAATTCGCCATGTCCACGAATTCCAAGTATGTCTCCTTCATGCAGGTTTTTAGCCACACGTGTCTAACAGGGAGGGACACATAATTCATATATAAAATTTTAAAAGCAACATGTTGTTTATGGCAATGTTTGTTTGTTTGTTTTAAAAAAGAATTAGATTTAATTAAAGTTTTTTTTTGGGGGGGAATACAAAAGTTAGCACCAAGTGGCCAATATCTCTTTATCAAAGATTTTTTTAAAAACTAATCTAAATGAAAATTCAAAGCAAAGGGAAGAAAAGAAAGGGAGAAAAGAAAGGAGGTGGGGGGAGAACTTCTTGTTCTTAATAATAATAATAATAAGAATTTATTATTTGTACCCCGCCCATCTGGCTGTGTTTTCCCAGCCACTCTCAGCGTCTTCCAGCATCCGTCAGCTATATACAGAAAATTGTTCCAAACACCCATTGCAATATAACACACAATAATCCCATTGTCTTCAGTCCTCAAACCCAGATATCATAAGTTGGTTTTCTTTTTCACGCAATAAATCTGCACTGCGATGGATTTCGAAGCCTGCTGACAAAGGAACTCTGGGAAATGTAGTTCTGGGAGGCAAGTGGGGATTTTGCTCTTCGTCCTCTCCCAAAATGCAGACTTCCTTGCTGAAGGTGCATGGACAAACTGGTTCCCAAACTGGTTTATTGTTGCAGCGCAGGTGTAAAACGAGCGCTCAGCGTAAGGGCGCAGGCAGGGTGGGGACGTTGGAAAGGAAGAGGTGGCCGGTTCAGTTGACGTAAGGAGGGAAAACCCTGGCTGACAAAACGACATTTGAAGGCAGTGAATGAGCAAAGCACGGCCTTCAAACACCCGCTCAGCCCAAGGATCTATGGCTCACTTGGAGTAAGGTAGGGATAGCTCAGTCGGGAGAGCATGAGGCTCTTAAATCTCACGGTCGTGGGTTCGAAACCCGTGTTGGGCGAAAGATTCGTGCATTGCAGGGGGTTGGGCTAGATGGCCGCCAGGTTCCCTTCCAACTCTGCAATTCTGTGATTCAAGAAGAAGCCTGTTGGATCAGGCCCATTTGGTCCAGCATCCTGTTCCCACAGGGGCCAACCAGATGTCTCAATTTCTCTCGCCTCCTGTGGTTTGCAGAAACCGGTGTTCAGAAACATCGCTGCCTCTGACCGCGGTCGCAGAGGATAGCCATCATAGCTAGCAGACATCAATAGCCTTCCCCTCCATTAATCTGTCTAACAATCGACACCTGTGGCCATCACTGCCTCCAGTGGCAGTGAGTTCCAAAGTTTCACTATGTGCTATAAAAGGAAGCCGCTTCCGTAACTGGCCAGACCCCTGGTCCATCTAGCTGGAAAACTATCTAATTACAAAGACCCAAAAAAAACCAACTTGTGGAATAGCTCAGTCGGTAGAGCATCAGACTTTTAATCTCAGGATTGTGGGTTCGAAACCCACCCTGGGTGAAAAAATTGCTGCGTTGCCCAGGGTTCTAACTCTACAATTCTATGTTTCTAATGGAAGATTTGTTCCAGGCAAAAGAAAGCATTTCTGCACATGGCGCATAGCAGAAGGGCAGAATGCACGTCTACGGAACTTTGCGATGACTGCCGGCTTGAATGGCTTTCAAGGCGGTTGCACAAATTCAGGGAGGAAAATAATAATAATAATTTATTATTTATACCCCGCTCATCTGGCTGGGTCCCCCCAGCCACTCTGGGCGGCTTCCAACAAAACACTAAAATACAATACAGTGGTGCCTTGCAAGACGAAATTAATTCGTTCCGCGAGTTTTGTCGTCCTGCGATTTTTTTCATCTTGCGAAGCACGGTGTCGGGAAAGTTTTGGAAAAGCTTCAAAAATACCAAAGTCTTTAAAAACTTCAAAAAAGGCTACCACACCGCGTTCTATGAGTTGCTCTTCGAAGTCAAGTCGCAACTGTATTAACGGTGTTAAGAAAAAGGAAACAAACTTGCAAGACGTTTCCGTCTTGCGAAGCAAGCCCATAGGGAAAATCGTCTTGCGAAGCAGCTCAAAAAACAAAAAACCCTTTCGTCTAGCGAGTTTTTTGTCTTGCGAGGCATTCGTCTTGCGAGGTACCACTGTAACCTATTAAACATTAAAAGCTTCCCTAAACAGGGCTGCCTTTAGATGTCTTCTAAGGCTCCGTCAGCAGCTACTAGCCATGAATGTTTTGCCTCTGCTGTGGCAGCCAGTACAACTCTGGAGAGCAGCTGCTTGGGTCTCATGAACAGGGAGAATTATACCTGAACTCAGATACTGTTTGCTGGAATCTGGCTGGTAAAAAAAAGGCAAAGTTGGCAGCTTCCAGTGTGGTGCGCTCTGTGACGGGTCGAGGGAAGTGATCCGATACAGTGGAGCACGCCCGATCGCTGTAAAAGTGGCAAGGGGAGAACGAGGGCAACGTAGACTCCCCCGGGGAAAAGCCAGAGAAGAGGTCTCTGGCCGACAAAGCACCAAGCGGCGCCAGAAGAGACTCTCCATGCTCCAGCACAAAAAAAGGTAAAGGTAAAGGACTCCTGGATGGTTAAGTCCAGACAAAGGCGACTGTGGGGTTGTGGCGCTCATCTCTCTTTCAGGCCGAGGGAGCTGGTGTTTGTCCGCAGACAGTTTTCTGGGTCAAGTGGCCAGCATGACAACTGCTTCTGGCGCAACAGAACACCATGATGGAAACCAGAGCGCACGGAAACGCCATTTACCTTCCCGCCGCAGTGGTACCTATTTATCTACTTGCACTGGCGTGCTTTCGAACTGCTAGGTTGGCAGGAGCTGGGACAGAGCAACAGGAGCTCACCCCGTCGCGGGGATTCGAACCGCCGACCTTCTGATCAGCAAGCCCAAGAGGCTCGGTGGTTTAGACCACAGCGCCACCCGCGTCCAGTGTGGGAACAGAAGGCTGGACTGGATGGGCCTTATGTTTTGGTCTGTTTTAAAAGAAACTAAGATGGGGAGAAAGGGAGACAGGCCGGCGTAACACTGTCAAAACATTGCACTTGATCAAAGGTGGCTTCCAGGTCTGGAAAGGTTAAAGACAGGGGTTCCAACTTGAATTTTAAAAAATTGGGAGGGGGGTGTTCAAGTAAGCCCCATCCTGGATAATCAATCACATGGCATGCACACACCATTTAAATGCCAATGTCCATTAACTTTGGGCAGAGGCCCCCTCAATTATTTTATTCCAGTCTCTAGGAGTTGGCTCCTGTGGCAACAGCTGTCGTACGCACCGCAGCAAGGCTCCCCCAGTTTACGGAGTTGTGCAGAAGAGGGAATTTTGGCAAATGCACCTTCTCAGGTGAGCACCTTCCGCAATACCTGTTCAGTGGTACGAGAGCCCCGTCCTTTGCAGATGATTATCCTACGGTTCTCCAGGGCACCTCAGCCCATTTCTCCTCCTGGTGAACAGTTTTCACGGCATCACCGAGTTGCAAGGGACCCCTTGGGGTCATCCAGCCTAACCCCCTGCGATGCAGGAGTCGCAGAAGAAGAATCCCTGACGGACCTCTGTTGAAACGCCTCTGAGGGAGGAGAGCCCATTAGCTGGCTGGCACGAATCATGATGCCACTCCTTGCTGGTTTTTGTTCCAGGGCCGTAGCAAAATGTGCTGGGTTTGATTGCCAGCAGCACCCGCAGGTAGGAACCGGCAGGGAATCCCCGCCCGAAGGTTCAGACAACGAGGAACCTCCTCAATGTTCTCGCCACCACCACAAACCAGAAAAAGGAAACGCTCTTGGTTGTTTTTACTCACAAAATTATCGGGCACTATTGCCATCTCTGCCACCTCTTTGCTGGAGACTTTTTGCAGGCATCAAGGACCAGCTTCCAATCAGCAGCGACTCTTCTTAACAGTGGCAATCTCATCTCCTTCGGGGCAGATTTTGAAGAGGCGCCTCCTCCCACAGCTGATGAGTTTGTGCTTAGTCACACTTCCCCATGAGGGCGAAGTCACAGCTTGATCTATGAGCTGGAGCCCGAGAGGAAGACACCATCGCTTTCAGCCTAGCTCTAGGTGCTCTCAGCTCCATCCTGACACCACGGTGGCTTAGAGCTCCGCCTGGTCCTTTGTGAGGAGGGGAAGGAGCCGTCCCTGAAGCTTGCAAAAGAGAAAACCTGGATTCTAGAAGCAGAAAGTACAGTGGTACCTTGGGTCACATACGCTTCAGGTTACACACTCCACTAAGCCAGAAATAGTGCTTCAGGTTAAGAACTTTGCTTCAGGATGAGAACAGAAACTGTGCTCCGGCGGTGCGGCGGCAGCAGGAGGCACCATTCGCTAAAGTGGTGCTTCAGGTTAAGAACAGTTTCAGGTTAAGAACAGACCTTCCTGCCAGCCAGAAGACCGCTCCTTCTCTGATGTACATATGATGTATTGGGTGGGGGTCTTGGGCTACACCCCTTCTGTGATGTATGTATGATGTTTCTGGAGGTGGTCTTGGGGTCCAGGGTGGGCCATTTCAAATGTCTATATAAGGGATTGCACACTTTTGTCCTGGTCCTCCTCCTCTCCTGCGTTTGAGGGGAGCCCCCCTTAATAAAGATCAGGCTTATAGCCGCTTTGCTTTCATACCTTGAGTTGAATGTGCTTCGGGTTGAGCGCATTCGAGGTGCACTCCGTGGCAACCCAGAAGTAACAGAGCGCGTTACTTCCGGGTTTCGCCGCTCACGCATGCGCAGACGCTCAAAATGGCGTCACACGCATGTGCGGAAGCAGCAAAACGCGACCCGCGCACGCGCAGACGGGCCGTCGCGTCTTGCGTTCCGTTCGGGATTCGAACGGGGCTCCGGAACGGATCCCATTCACATCCCGAGGTACCACTGTAATAATAATAATAATAATAATAATAATAATAATTCATAATAATTTATTTGAACCCTGCCTATCTGGCTGGGTTTCCCCAGCCACTCTGGGCAGATGTTTTCTCGCAGTGAGGGAACCGGCAGAAGGCCCTCAGTGCTGGACCTCAGCATCCGGGCAGAATGATGGGGGTGGAGACGCTCCTTCAGGTATACTGGGCTGAGGCTACAGTATTGTAGTTTCCAGGTCACCTTCAAAGGTAGCCCCATGTAGAACTGCTGACCTTCTGATCGGCAAGTCCTCAGCTCTGTGGTTTAACCCATAGCACCACCCGTGTCCCTATGCATGCACACAAAAGCTTATACCCAGAACAAACTTAGTTGGTCTCTAAGGTACTACTAGACAATTTTTTAATTTTTATTTTTTATTTCAATTGCGTCAGACCAACACGGCTACCTACCTGAATCTAGAACCACTGCTCTGAATAATGTTTTTTATAGGGTTGGGGGCACAGGGTGGGTGGGTTTATGGAATCCTAGAATCCTAGAATCCTAGAATCATAGAGTTGGAAGAGACCACAAGGGCCATCGAGTCCAACCCCCTGCCAAGCAGGAAACACCATCAGAGCACTCCTGACATATGGTTGTCAAGCCTCTGCTTAAAGACCTCCAAAGAAGGAGACTCCACCACACTCCTTGGCAGCAAATTCCACTGTCAAACAGCTCTTACTGTCAGGGAGTTCTTCCTAATGTTTAGGTGGAATCTTCTTTCTTGTAGTTTGGATCCATTGCTACGTGTCCGCTTCTCTGGAGAAGAAGAAGAGTTTGGATTTGATATCCCGCTTTATCACTACCCTAAGGAGTCTCAAAGCGGCTAACATTCTCCTTTCCCTTCCTCCCCCACAACAAACACTCTGTGAGGTGAGTGAGGCTGAGAGACTTCAAAGAAGTGTGACAGGCCCAAGGTCACCCAGCAGCTGCATGTGGAGGAACAGGGAAGCGAACCCGGTTCACCAGATTGCAAGACTACCGCTCTTAACCACTACACCACACTGGAGCAGCAGAAAACAACCTTTCTCCCTCCTCTATGTGACATCCTTTTATATATTTGAACATGGCTCTCATATCACCCCTTAACCTCCTCTTCTCCAGGCTAAACATGCCCAGCTCCCTTAGCCGTTCCTCATAAGGCATCGTTTCCAGGCCTTTGACCATTTTGGTTGCCCTCCTCTGGACACGTTCCAGTTTGTCAGTGTCTTTCTTGAACTGTGGTGCCCAGAACTGGACACAGTACTCCAGGTGAGGTCTGACCAGAGCAGAATACAGTGGCACTATTACTTCCCTTGATCTAGATGCTATACTCCTATTGATGCAGCCCAGAATTGTATTGGCTTTTTAGCTGCCGCGTCACACTGTTGGCTCATGTCAAGTTTGTGGTCAACCAAGACTCCTAGATCCTTTTCACATGTACTGCTCTCAAGCCAGGTGTCACCCATCTTGCATTTGTGCCTCTCATTTTTTTTGCCCAAGTGCAATACTTTACATTTCTCCCTGTTAAAATTCATCTTGCTTGTTTTTGCCCAGTTCTCTAATCTGTCAAGGTCGTTTTGAAGTGTGATCCTGTCCTCTGGGGTGTTAGCCACCCCTCCCAGTTTGGTGTCATCTGCAAATTTGATCAGGATGCCCTTGAGTCCATCATCCAAGTCGTTGATAAAGATGTTGAATAAGACCGGGCCCAAGACAGAACCCTGTGGCACCCCACTAGTCACTCTTCTCCAGGATGAAGAGGAACCATTGATGAGCACCCTTTGGGTTCGGTCAGCCAGCCAGTTACAAATCCACTGAGTGGTAGCATAGTCAAGACCGCATTTTACCAGCTTCTTTACAAGAATATCATGGGGCACCTTGTCAAATGCCTTGCTGAAATCAAGGTAGGCTACATCCACTGCGTTCCCTTCATCTACCAGGCTTGTAATTCTGTCAAAAACGAGATCAGGTTAGTCTGACATGACTTATTTTTCAGAAATCCATGCTGACTATTGGTGATCACAGCATTCCTTTCTAGGTGCTCACAGACTGTTTGCTTAATGATCTGCTCCAGAATCTTCCCTGGTATTGATGTCAGACTGACTGGGCGGTAATTATTTGGGTCCTCTCTTTTCCCCTTTATGAAAATAGGGACAACATTTGCCCTCCTCCAGTCTGCCGGGACTTCGCCTGTTCTCCAGGAATTCTCAAAGATGACTGCCAGTGGTTCTGAGATCACATCTGCCAGTTCTTTTAATACTCTTGGATGCAGTTCATCTGGCCCTGGAGACTTGAATACATCTAAACTAGCCAAGTATTCTTGTACTATCTCCTTAGTTATTCTGGGCTGTGTTTCCTCTGCTGAATCATTTGCTCCAAATTCTTCAGGTCGGGCATTATTTTCTTTATCGGAGAAGACTGAGGCAAAGAAGGCATTGAGGAGTTCAGCCCTTTCTGTGTCCCCTGTTTGCATTTCACCATCTTCTCCTCTGAGTGACCCCACTGTTTCTTTGTTCTTCCTTTTGCTACGAACATACCCATAAAAGCCTTTTTGTTGCTTTTAACCTCTCTAGCAAGCCTGAGTTCATTCTGTGCTTTAGCTTTTCTGACTTTGTGTCTACACGTGCTGGCTATTTGTTTGAATTCCTCTTTGGTGGTTCCCCCCTTTTCCATTTTTTGTATACATGCTTTTTTAATCTTAACTCAGTTAAAAGTTCTTTAGATAGCCACCCTGGCTTCTTTAGGCACCTTCCATGTTTCCGTCTCATTGGTATTGCCTGAAGTTGTGCTTTTACTATCTCCCTCTTAACAAACTCCCAGCCATCATGAACTCCCTTTCCTTTTAGTATTACTGTCCATGGGATCTCACCCAGCACTTCCCTAAATTTTATGAAGTCGGCTTTCTTAAAGTCAAGAAATTGAGTCCTAGTATGCTTGGCTGCTCCTTTCCGCTGTATAGTAAACTTCAGAAGAGCATGACCACTCATGCCTAATGATCCTTCCACTTCTACCCCACTAACCAGGTCATCAACATTGGTTAGGACCAGATCTAAAATGGCTGTTCCTCTTGTTGCTTCTCCCACTTTCTGGACAATGAAGTTGTCTGCAAGGCCAGTGAGGAATCTGTTTGACCTTATGCTCTTGGCTGAGTTTGACATCCAACAAATATCCGGGTAATTGAAGTCCCCCATTACTACTATCTCCCTTCCTTTTGCATGCTTGGCCATCTGTTCCAGGAAGGCATCATCTATGTCCTCCGTTTGGCTTGGGGATCTATAGTAAACTCCCACAATGAGGTCTCTGTTATTCTTCTCTCCCTTAATTTTGACCCAAATGCTCTCACTTTGGCTTTGAGGTTCTAAATCTTGGATCTCTTCACAGGTATACACATCCCTGACATATAACGCCACTCCTCCTCCTTTCTTGTCTGGTCTGTTTCTCTGAAATAGATTGTATCCCTCCATTATTACATTCCAATTGTGGGACTTATCCCACCGAAAGGCCAGTGGGCCAAAAAAGGTTAGGAAACCACTGCTCTAACCACTACACCACCTAGTCTCCTTCGCAGGCTTTCGGTGAAGATTGTTGATGTCCTGTGGGTGACACACCTGGAACACTCAGATCGAGGACGTTGTAAATCCACTGGGATTTGATTGCCACTGTGCAATAACGGGCAGCAGATTCAGTGAGCAGATTTTAAGGTGTTAGCTTTCCTGGGTAATTCTGTGTCAGAAGATGCTTCAGGCAACACACTAATGTTTTTTTGGAGCCGGTGCAACACAGGAACTGAAAATGGGAGCTTTGTACCAGGAAGTTGACTGTCATTCAGGGATGACGTCAGCAGGGTGGTTCAGGCAAACCTCAGTTTCCCCACTTGCATTGCTTATTTGTGGATAAAACACACATTGCAAAACTGCTGTGCTGGCTAGAAACTCCTGCCCAAAAAATCTACAGCACACCAGGTTGAGGAGTGTTAGCAGAGTTATTTCAGTAAAGCAAATACATCAAGTCCGGAGAGAAAATAAACCCTGAGAACATTTTCCCCAAAGAAAAGGTGAACAAAACAATCTATAACTTGAAGAGAAAGGCAAATCCGTTCCTTTCTTACTTCAGGCCTCGTACATGGCAAGGTTAGAGTCAGCAGTCACGAAATTAAAAGACGCCTGCTTCTTGGGAGAAAAGCAATGACAAACCTAGACAGCATCTTAAAAAGCAGAGACATCACCTTGCCAACAAAGGTCCGTATAGTTAAAGCCATGGTTTTCCCAGTAGTGATGTATGGAAGTGAGAGCTGGACCATAAAGAAGGCTGATCGCCGAAGAATTGATGCTTTTGAATTCTGGTGCTGGAGGAGACTCTTGAGAGTCCCATGGACTGCAAGAAGATCAAACCTATCCATTCTGAAGGAAATCAGCCCTGAGTGCTCACTGGAAGGACAGATCCTGAAGCTGAGGCTCCAAGACTTTGGCCACCTCATGAGAAGAGAAGACTCCCTGGAAAAGACTCTGGTGTTGGGAAAGATGGAGGGCACAAGGAGAAGGGGACAACAGAGGACGAGATGGTGGGACAGTGTTCTTGAAGCTGTGAACATGAGTTTGACCAAACTGCGGGAGGCAGGGGAAGACAGGAGTGCCTGGCGTGCTCTGGTCCAGGGGGTCACGAAGAGGCGGACACAACTAAACAACAAAGCGAGGAACCCTGTTTTGGTTTGTCCTTTTTAAAGGGATATGTTTTAATGGGACAGGATTTGTTCTTGGAAAACGTCGGCTTCTACTGAATCAAGACATCAGGCTGATTCACCTGTAGTTTCCTGGATGTTTCTCTTCACGCCCTTTTCTTACAGGGTTCCAGCCCAGTGACAGCACCTCACCACTTCTCTGCAATTCATCAAAGATGACAGGCAGAGAGGTTCAGAGCAGGTTCTTCCTTTCACACTCTCTGTTGCATTTCACCGGAAACTTGAGCCCGTTTGAGACAGCCTTCCATTTTTCCTTCCTGTTTGGAATTGTTTGTGCTTGAACCTCCCAATAACAGCTCTGGCAAGAGCGGCTTAACAGTGAGATGGACTCCCTTGGAACATGGCAACCTCTCCTCCCCTGGAGTTTTTTTTAAACAGAGTTTGGGTGGCCATTCTTTAGCTGGGATTCCCTCAGGGTCCCTTCCAATTCTGGGTTTCAACCATTCTATTCATCTTTTGCTCCCCACAGGGAATTGCATTTACAGTGGTACCTCGGGTTAAGAACTTAATTCGTTCCGGAGGTCCGTTCTTAACCTGAAACTGTTCTTAACCTGAGGTACCACTTTAGCTAATGGGGCCTCCCACTGCTGCCGCGCCACTGGCGCTCAATTTCTGTTCTCATCCTGAGGTAAAGTTCTTAACCCAAGGTACTATTTCTGGGTTAGCAGAGTCTGTAACCTGAAGCGTCTGTAACCTGAAGCGTATGTAACCCGAGGTACCACTGTACAGTGGTGCCTCACAAGACGAAATTAATTCGTTCTGCGAGTTTTTTCGTCTTGCGAATTTTTCGTCTTGCGAAGCACGGTTTCCCAAAGTCTTCAAAATCACCAAAGTCTTCAAAAACCTCAAAAAAGGCTACCACACTGCGTGATATGAGTTGCTCCTCAAAGTCACCCTGGGTATTAACACTTTTAAGAAAAAGGAAACAAACTTGCAAGACGTTTTCGTTTTTCGTCTTGCGAAGGAAGCCCATAGGGAAATTCGTCTTGCGAAGCAACTCAAAAAACGAAAAACTCTTTCGTCTTGCGAGTTTTTCGTCTTGCGAGGCATTCGTTTTGCGAGGTACCACTGTATTTACTTTTATATCACACCGTTTCCCACCTCCCTCCAAGGAGCTCCACGTGGTTGTCCCCCAACACCCTCCACTTTCTCCTCACAACAATCCTGTGGAGTAGGCCAAGAGACAGCGGTTGTATGTGTAAATGGCAGTTTGTCTTTGTGTGCTTATGTATTTTCTCTGTGTGCTTTTGTATTCTTTTTATGCACTGTTCACAAAAAAGTTAAAATTTAAGAGAAAGAGAGAGAGAGAGATTGGCCCATGATCACCCAGCAAGCTTCATTCATGGCCAGATTGGGGGATTTGAACCCTGGTCTCCCAGGGATGCTCATGTCATGTGCCTGAGCTTTTTTGGAATCAGTTTCCTGCCCCCCCCAATCCATGTTACCTGTTTGTCTGTCCTCACCTGTAGCTTCACAGATATCCTCTAGGGGGCCCTAATGCTCATCTAGCACATTTCCTCAAAGGAAAACAACACAACAACCCCCTCCAGTGGCTTCTAGGAGTTTTGCTGGACTCCGGAGGTTGAAATCTGGAACTGCAGAGGTTCAGTAAAAAGGTAAAGGTACCCCTGACCGTTAGGTGGAAGTCAATCCGCAACCTGATTGGCCTACAGGAGAATCCCAGAATTAGCCAATCATGTGTGACCCATTGTGTAAATAATGTATATAAAGCAGATACTTTGGGAAAACTTTCATTCCTCACTACTATGAGCTGAATAAAGAACATGAAATCCACACTCGACTCCGAGTATATTTCACTTAGTCTCTGTTATTTGCCTTTGGGTCTCAGAGTGAAATGAGCAGCTAAGAAGTACCAGAGCCCAAACTCCCCAACTTCCAGCCAGGCTCCCAAGATGTGGCTATTACCATCTTACCGAAAGGAATTCGGGTCTTGCCCTGTTTGTGCAAAGAAGCACTCACACAACACACTCCTTCAAAGCAAGACGCTTTATTGCAGCTGCCAATTAGAAATTCCATTTCTTCCTCAAGCCAAAGGAGGTGGGTGTTGCATAAAAAATGCAGCTGGGCGCTTGCGACTCCCTTCTCCTCCTTCTTGGCTCAGTACTGAATGTACGAAAGCTCCACATCTCCGTCGATCTCGAGCGTGTCGATACGCTGGAAGTTCTGGTAGCGATGGTTGTAGTTGAAGAGCGGTTGGCCGTTGGCAAACACCTTGAAGCGCTGGTTGCCACAGCGGATGGAAAGCTGTTTCGGGGTGGGGAGAAGGAGAGCGTCAGAAAAGGCCTGTCGGATCGGGCCCACGACCCACCCAGTCCCTGTTCTCACAGCGGCCAAACCAGATCCCTGTGGGGGAACCTGTGAGCAGGAGTCGAAACCCATGAGCGCTGTCCCTTCTGCCACAGAGCAAGGCTGGCCCCAACTTAGCTCAATATTTTATTGAGGATCTGTCAATTATTCTGCATGGTTTCTGCTCATAGCTGTCAACTTACAGATATGAAAATAAGGGACCAGCAGCCTCGAAAATCAGGGATCAACAGCCAAAATAAGGGCTTTTCAGAGCACAGGTATGTTCAACTTCTGAGCCCCCTTGGCATGGGGGTGCCAAGGAAGGGGCAGATCTGGTCTCCGAGCAGCGTGCCGCAGTTGCCGCTGCCATTCTTTGGGCTCAGGATCTGCTGCCCTTATGGACCGTAAAGGTAAAGGGACCCCTGACCATTAGGTCCAGTCGTGACCGACTCTGGGGTTGCAGCGCTCATCTCGCTTTATTGGCCGAGGGAGCCGGCATACAACTTCCGGGTCATGTGGCCAGCGTGACTAAGCCGCCTCTGGCGAACCAGAGCAACGCATGGAAACGCCGTTTACCTTCCCGCTGGAGCGGTACCTATTTATCTACTTGCACTTTGATGTGCTTTCGAACTGCTAGGTTGGCATGAGCAGGGACTGAGCAATGGGAGCTCACCCCGTCACGGGGATTCGAACCGCCGACCTTCTGATCAGCAAGTCCTAGGCTCTGTGGTTTAACCCACAGCGCCACCCACATCCCCTTATGGACCATAGACTCATAGAATTGTAGAGGTGGAAGGGACCCCAAGATTCATCTAGTCCAACCCCCTGCAATGCAGGAATCTTTTTCCTGAAGCAGGAATCTTTTGTCCAAGCAACTGCCACGGAGCGATGACCCTCTTCCCTGGATTTTGGCTTTTTTTTATTATTATTTTTTGCAGCGGGAAACATCACCAACTAAGCACGTGCCCTCCTTCCCGTGCCACAGAGTCTAAAGTTATTTAACTGCACCGTTTCTCCCCAACCCCACCATCCCATCCTGGCTGGGGCAGATCTCAGCTCTGGGCAAATGAACACTCACGTCAAAGTATTGCCCGGCTTGGAAGGGGTTGACAGACAGCTCCCGTTCCTCACGTCCCCATTGGCCGTTCAGGAAGCTGTTCCTGACCACAGCACGCTCATTCATGCGGGGGTTGATGTGCAGGACCGTATCCGGGCCAGCTTTGAAGTTGATCCGGAATCTGGAAGAGGAGGAGGAAGGAAAGGATTTGTAAGAAATTGATCTTTTAGCGCTGCGGCACTTTGGAACTCCCTGCCTAGGGACATCAGGCAGGCGCCACCACTCGACTCTGTCAAAAGCTATTTTTGTTTTGATGGGTGTTTAGAATGGTGGCATGCTTTTAGTTTACTAAGGTTTTTTTATTTTCTGGGCGCTTTAACCGTTTTCACTAATAATCTTACCGTTCTGTTTGTTTCGCAAACTGCTTTGAGGTTTTCTGCAACTGTATATCGATTTTATGGTACGAATGAATAAATAAATGAATAAAATAAAAATATCCTTGCTGGGTCAAATCAAAGGCCTCCTGTTTCCTATAGCAGCCCTGCTGGACAACTCTGGGGAGCCCACAAATCAGGGCACAAAGGAAACAGACCCCCACACCCTTGTTAATTTCTCTGCAATTTTTGTTATTCAGAAGTAGAATGCCTCTGACCATGGGGGCTCTGCGTAGCAAGCACGGCTTATTGCAGCTGGCAGGCCTGCCCCCTTTTGCAAATCATTCTAAGACCATTCTTAAAGCCACCTTTGGGCGACGGCGCCTGCGTCTTGTCGCAAGTGAATGCCATGTGCTAACTTTTCACAGAAGGAAGGAATCCTTTTGTGTGGCATAACCTGAACCCGTTGCCTGTCAGTTTTCATGGAACAATCTCTGGGGAACCTGAGGCCATGCAGAAGCTGCCGAACTACAGCTGGGAGGTTGCAGGTTCCTCATTCTCTTGCACAGCGCATGAAAAGCCCCATTTTGTTATCACTCTCAGCCTTTAATAGCTCTGGGATTCAGCAAGATGAAACCCGAACTCAGGACTCCTAATTGGGCTGAAGAGCAGTGGGGATCTGAGGCTCCAAGGAGAATCAGGTGGAAAGTGGGTCTAATTGCTGTGAGGGAGTAGTGCACAATGTGTGCATTAATGCCATTCCCCGGTCTATAAGAAAAGGGCTGCCACTTATTCACGGAAACAGGCAGAAACAGGGCGGCTTACTGTTTAGCGTGCGGTGGAATGAATCCTCTCAGCACGATGGTCTTCTTGGATCCCAGCCCTCCGGCGAGGTTGCCTCGGTATGGCACTTGCTGAAACACGAGTTTATAGAGATATATGACTGAGGGAGTTGAAAAAGCATATTCATTGCAGGGGGCTGGACTAGATGACCCTTGGGTCCCTTCCAACTAACTCTAAGATTCTATGGTTGAAGGCAATATGCAATACTTTCTCAAGCTACCAGTGTGTGTGGAACACAGGGATGTTTGCCGTTCAGGGACTAAGAGAGGCAAGCTGGGGAAAATGTGGCCCAAGCATAGGAGGACATCAGAGCAGCCCTATAGCTGGATCAGGCCCCAAGGCAGATGCCCATAGGGCATGGGTAGGAAAACTAAGGCCTGGGGGCAGGATCCGGCCCAATCGCCTTCTAAATCCGGCCCGCAGACTGTCCGGGAATCAGCATGTTTTTACATGAGTAGAATGTGTCCTTTTATTTAAAATGCATCTCTGGGTTATTTGTGGGGCATAGGAATTGGTTCACCCCCCCCAAAAAAAAATAGTCTGGCCCCCCACAACGTCTGAGGGACAGTGGACTGGCCCCCTGCTGAAAAAGTTTGCTGACCCCTACCGTAGGGGAAGCCTGGAAGCAGGAACTGAGCGCAGCAACACTTTTTCCTATCCCAAGCAACTTAACCCTTCCAGCAGCAAGCCAGCAGTAAATCACACTGTGAAAGTTGGAGTTAACTCTTTGTTAGCCAAAAACACGATCTGCACAGAGAAAGGCCTCAGATGAAGATTGCAGGCTCTGGACTGACTGGGAATCAGCAAGAAGAGAGAGAAAGGAAGATAAACACTTACCGGATGGTAGGAAGCAGGAGCGTTCATCACCTGTGAGGGAAGAAACCCCAAAGAGGTCATTTACCAGTTCAGCATCCCCTCAGCGACTCCCAACCTGAATCCCATGAGCACTGGGAAGAAATATCCGCCTGAACCAGCCTTTCTCCTTTTGTTATTTTCATTTATTTATTGCGTTTCTTTCCCATCTTTTCCTCCGGGCAGCCGAAGGTGGCATACACAGTTCTTCCCCTTCTTCCTTTAATCCTCACAACAACCCGGTGAGGGAGGCTAAGCTGAGAGGCAGCCCAGTGGGGATTCGAACTGTGGTCTCCCAGGTCTAACATTTTAATCACTTTAAGACTGCTGTTAGCAAAAACCTGGAAGTCTCAAGAAATTCCAACAGTGGAAGAATGGCAGATGAAGATGTTGGACTTTTTGGAGCTAACCGGCCTGACTGGAAGAATCCGCGACTAGAAAGAGGAGGACTATCAAGGCGATTGGAAGAAATTTAAGGACTATTTGAATAAATAAAGGTAAAGGTAAAGGGACCCCTGACCATTAGGTCCAGTCGTGGCCGACTCTGGGGTTGCAGCACTCATCTCGCTTTATTGGCCGAGGGAGCCGGCGTACAGCTTCCAGGTCATGTGGCCAGCAGGACTAAGCCGCTTCTGGCGAACCAGAGCAGCGCACGGAAACGCCGTCTACCTTCCTGCCGGAGCGGTACCTATTTATCTACTTGCATTTTGACGTGCTTTTGAACTGCTAGGTTGGCAGGAGCAGGGACCGAGCAATGGGAGCTCACTCCATTGCGGGGATTCGAACCGCCGACCTTCTGATTGGCAAGTCTTAGGCTCTGTGGTTTAACCCACAGCACCACCCACGTCCCATATATATAAGGTAAAAGTAAAGGGACCCCAACCATTAGGTCCAGTTGTGACCGACTCTGGGGTTGCGGCACTCATCTCGCTTTATTGGCAGAGGGAGCCGGCGTACAGCTTCCGGGTCATGTGGCCAGCAGGACTAAGCCGCTTCTGGCGAACCAGAGCAGTGCACGGAAACGTCGTTTATCTTCCTGCCGGAGCGTTACCTATTTATCTACTTGCACTTTGACGTGCTTTGGAACTGCTAGCTTGGCAGGAGCAGGAACCGAGCAACGGGAGCTCGGGATTCGAACCGCCGACCTTCTGATCAGCAAGTCCTAGGCTCTGTGGTTTAACCCACAGCGCCACCCGCGTCCCATATTTGAATAAATATTGTAATATAAAAAACTAGAAATCACTTGAAAGTACCAATAGGCCTAGGGTTAAATTAGGATTTAATTAAATAAATGGGATTCAGAACAGTAAGAAAAGTGAATAAATTAGATCAGAGCTGGAATGATATTGGAAAGCTGTTACATGCAGATACAAAGAAATTCAGAAGGGAGGGATTTGAGGAAGTCAATTAACAATGTAAATAAAATTTGGGTTTTAAGGGATAGGGGATAAAGATTATGTTTTTTATTGTTGTGGGGGGGGGGTTGTATGTTTTTCTGTTGTTGTTTCTTCTTTTTGTTATGTTGTTTTTGTTATAATTGTGAAAATCTAATATATATATATATATTTAAAAAGAAATTCATCATACTGGTCAACTCTAAGCAAGTCAGCCTGCTGGGAAAGTTTTATGCTTCTTCCCCCTGTCTATTCACAGTACTTACGGGAAGGTTGGGAGACGGGTATGCTGGCATCATGCCCTAAAGAGAGAGAGAGAGAGAGAGAGAAATTATAAAGCGGGGACTAAATTCTGTGCCAGCGTCAAGAGGTTGGCACAATCGGGCATCTGCCTGGTGCCCCAAAACAAATTCAATACCTTGCGACGCAAATACAGTTATCACAATACACAAAGCGCAACAGGCTGAATAATAATAACTGGGAACATTTTATTGGTTATTTCCTAACGTAAAGGTCTAGCCCAGTATGTGCAACAAATACCGTTCATATATACAGTGTATAACCTATGATAATACATTTCTTCTTTTCTTTTTTAATATACATTTTTATTAGTTTTTACATATATTTTCCAAACAGAACATCTCATCTTATACAACATTTTGGCTATTTTAGCCTGAGACTTCCATCAACCGCCTCTAATGATTTTCAAACCTCATCTCTTAATCTTACATTTGTTATCCTATTACTTTTAATAACCCATAACTTAAAATCCATTCCCATAAATCTTTTCTGCAGTGTTTCATATAGTTCTCCTTACAAAACTTTTTGTAGTCCTACAAGCGTCGTCAGTTGGTTACAATGGTCTTTCAAATAACTCGTATATTTACTCCAATCGTCCTAGAGTTTCTGGTCCCAATACATTTCTTCTTTTCTTTTCTTTCCTTTCCTTTCCTTTCCTTTTTCCTTTCCTTTTTCCTTTCCTTTCCTTTCCTTTTTCCTTTCCTTTCCTTTTTCCTTTTTCCTTTCCTTTCCTTTCCTTTTTCCTTTTTCCTCTTTCCTCTTTCCTCTCTCCTCTTTCTCCTTTCCTTTCCTTTCCTTTCCTTTCCTTTCCTTTCCTTTCCTTTCCTTTCCTTTTTCCTTTCCTTTTTCCTTTCCTTTTTCCTTTCCTTTCCTTTCCTTTCCTTTCCTTTCTCCTTTTTCCTTTCCTTTTTCCTTTCCTTTCCTTTTTCCTTTCCTTTTTCCTTTCCTTTTTCCTTTCCTTTCCCCTTTCCTTTCCTTTCCTTTCCTTTCCTTTCCTTTCTGTTCCTTTCTTTTCTTTTCTGTTCTTTTCTTTTCTTTTCTTTTCTTTTCTTTTCTTTCTTTTCTTTTCTTTTCTTTTCTTTTCTTATTGTGTCTTCTTGTGAGTTCCTGTATAACACAATCCTTGTGGCAGCAGTCTACATCAGCTGTGTTCTTCTCGTTACCTTGAGGGCTTTTCTAGTTTTACCTAAGGATTGTGTTCTACAGGAACTCACAACCAATAAAATGTTCACAGTTATTATTATTTTTAAAGTACAAATTAGAAAACATACATATTTACAACAAAAGAAAATACAAAGGAAAAAGAAAATACATATAACCAAGGGAAAAAAATTAGAGAATACTTTGCCTCTTTTCATATTTACAGTTATTTATACCTCTATAAAATGCCACGCACAATAAAGGAGTGAAATGAAAGATATCAGAAAAAAAGAACAAAAGAACAAAGAAAAAATAAAGAAGTAAAAGAAAAGGATCATAGGTGAAAATTTTTCAAAGTAGATAAGTATTCACAGTTATTATTATTCAGCCTGTTGCGCTTTGTGTATTGTGGTGCCGCAAACCCATTTGTAGAGAATTTGAAAGCCATTGCTGCTGCCTCAACGAGCAAGAGATCAGAACACGGGAAAATAAATTTTGCAAAAGCGATTTTAAAAAGTGTGGTATATACAGACCATTCAATTGAGGTTGTGGTGCGGCAGAATTTATCAGACCTGCACAGAACTCTCTATTTGGCCTCCCAAGACATAAATCTCTATTTGTTCGTGTATATCTGCCCCACCTTTTCCTCCAAGTTGCTCAAGGCGGTGTGAGCAGTCCTCGCCCCCCCCCTCAGTTTATCCTCACAACAGCCCTGTGAGGTAGGCTAGACTGAGGAGCAGTGGCTGGCCCAAGGTCACCCAGTGCGAGGAGTCGAACCCTGGTCGCCTCGCTCACAGCCCGGCGCTCTAACCACTGCGCCACACTGCCTCTCATCCCATCTCCCCAGCACCACACACACCACCCAAACACAACCTGTGCCCTGCCCAGTCCCCGCCCCCAGAAATTCCCCGCCTCCTTGCAGTACTTACTGGCATCCCCATTGGTGGATACTGCTGTCCTGGCATCCCTGGCATGCCCTGGACCAGAAAGAGAAACAAATAAGATTGAGGCAATTGAGAGAGGGGCCTTTAGTCTGCGTCCACTTCATGGCTGGGGAAGCAGCGGGCCTCTTCCCGAAATTTGGGTCTCTGTCTGTCTTCGGACTACAATTCCCATCATCCCTGACCACTGGTCTTGCTAGCTGGAGGTGATGGGAGTTGTAGTTCAAAAACAGTTTGGGAATCCCTGCTCTAGATCAGCGACGGGGAGCCTGCAGCCTTCCAGATTTTGCCGGACTACAACTCCCATCAACCCCTGACCATTGGCCGATTGGCTGGGGCAGCTGGGAGTTGTGGTCCAACCACATCTGGAAGAAGAAGAGTTTGGATTTGATATACCGCTTTATCACTACCTGAAGGAGTCTCAAAGCGGCTGACATTCTCCTTTTCCCTTCCTCCCCCACAACAAACACTCTGTGAGGTGAGTGGGGCTGAGAGACTTCAGAGTGACTAGCCCAAGGTCACCCAGCAGCTGCATGTGGAGGAGCGGGGAAGCGAACCCGGTTCACCAGATTACGAGTCCACCGCTCTTAACCACTACACCACACTGGCTTCAGCGACTCTGGAGGAGAAGGAGAGAATGTCATCTCTCTCCTGCTCTGCTCAAAGTCAAAGAGCTTAGAACCTGAGGCCAGTCAAGCTGTTTTCGTGGGTTCAGAGTGGCATCAGACTGGATGGTGCCCCAAGTCCCTCCCAATTCTTGGAGTCCTGTACCCAGTGAAGGTTGCCACTATTTGGGCACCTATGGCAGAAATGGCCATGGGCACCTTTCCCCTTCTCCCCAGCAGAGAGACACCATTACAGTGGTACCCCGGGTTACAAACACTTCGGGTTACAGACTCCGCTAACTCAGAAGTAGTACCTCGGGTTGAGAACTTTGCCCCAGGATGAGAACGGAAATCGTGTGCCAGCGGTGCAGTGGCAGCAGGAGGCGCCATTAGCGAAAGCACTCCTCAGGTTAAGAACGATTTCAGGTTAAGAACGGACCTCCGGAACGATTTAAGTTCGTAACCCAAGGTACCACTACATTTCATTTTGTGACTCTTAACAGGACCGGCTCTACCGTTGGGTAGAGTGAAGCAGCCACCTCAGCTGGTTTTTGACCATTGCAAAGAGGCAGCAAATTGATAGCCGTTTATTGCTGCTTCATTTTCGCTGCTTGTGGATCCGCTGTTTTCCATTCCTCGATCTTAAGTTCAGTTCTCCGGACTCCTGCAGCAATTTGCAATTTAACCCTCATGAAAACCTGTCAGCATCCTAGTGCAAATTTCTCCTAGTGAGCACTATTTAATATGCAGTTTTGGCTAACACATTTTGCAAGCCGTTTCTCCCTTATATGCCATCTACTCTATTGCGTTAATTCTTATTTGCTCTTGCGTGCATTTTGGGAAATGCTGGATGTTTGGAGAACCGCCTGCAAAATTCAGGGTTGAGTGAATTTTGCGGGAGGGCTGTGTTTCGCTTTTTGTATTGTTTCGGATTTGCCATCAAATGGAAATCGAATCAAAGTCCACCCCCTTCTCTATTTAGGAGTGGGAGACATCAGGCCTGGGGGCCAGAGGCTTTATCTGGCCTCTAGCACTCTTCCCAAGACCTGACCCCTCTCCTTAGGCCACACCCCCTCTCCTTAGGCCACACCCCCTCTCCTTAGGCCATTCCCACACAGACCACACCCCTATCTACAAGCCTTGCTTTTCAACCTCCTTTTTGCCTTCCTGGAATGTGTCCTTGGACTCTGATAAAGATTATCGCTTGCCTGATTGGTGGAAAGAGAGGGTGTGTCTGTGCATGAGAGTAAATTAGCATCCATTGCTCCACCCACTTTTGCTGCTGACCCCTCCCACTGCTGCCGCATGGCACCCCAGAAACTTGTCCAGAAGGGTGAAAATGGTCCCCCTTCCACAATATCGGATGCTCACCCCTCCTCCCATCATGGCTCCTCCTCCGATGGTGGTCACGGACTGCAGCTCCAGGTCGCCATTGGCCTGCACAGCCTGGACTCGCTCAGGTGGGATCCTGTGGCCAAAGGTGCAGAAGGGGTTCCTGTTCACAAGGATCTGCCGGGACACAAATGAGGAGGAGGTGCAAGTGAGCCCCTTTGCAGCCCCCTGGGAGTCTGCCCCCCATCATTTCAGCCGCTCCATTCCATTCCTACCCATAGCTGTCAACCGTCCCTTATTTGGAGGAAAGTCCCTTATCCCAGCGCCGTGTCCCGCTGCTGTCCCTTACTGATGATGTCCCTTAAATTTCCCAGGTTTCAAAGGAAGCAGCTCCTCTCCCTCCCTCCCTGCCAGGGAGGAGGGAGGCTCCAACTGTGTTGCTTGGCTGCGTTGCTCACCCAATAAGGAGTCTAAGAACGACTGGGGGGTGGAGCTTGCATGCCTTGTGCCGATCAAATTGGCCGCGTTGCCTGGGGACTCGCCTTTGCTCAGCGCTTCCCAGCGGAGAGGTGACGGTGGTTTTCCTTGCTGCATCCCCTTTGCCGGGTTGCTGCGCTGTGGGAACCACCGCTTGAGGCTTCGTTTGGCTGCTGGCTGGGCTTTCTGCCTTTGGCTCAGAGGGGCTCAGAAGTTGAACATATCTGTGCCCCTTGGAAAATCCCTTATTTTGGCCGCTGATCCCTTATTTTCGAGGCTGCTGGTGCCTTATTTTCAAATCTGTAAGTTGACAGCTATATTCCTACCCCATCTCCCACTTTCCTTCACACCCAGCAACCCTACCGAAGAGCGAGCCAGCAATAAATCACACTGAGAAAGTTGGAGTGAACTATTAGCAAAGACACAGGGGTGTCAGGCCTAACGGGCACAGCAGCTCATCTCCAGTCGGTCTTGCTACCATGAAGCGGTTGCTGAGACCGAAGGTCCCAGCCTCCCCACAGATGCTTAAGTCCCCCTGTCTCCAGGGTTTCCCCCCCCCTAAGCAATTGGAGACTGTGCCTGCATGAAGCCAACCTATCTGCTCTGTTCATGCCTCTTCTGGATCTTGGAGAAAAGCAGATCTGGGATAAAAGCTTATCGCAGCAGGAGGGGTGGGGCACACATCTGTAGAATGGCAGTTTATATTGGTCTCATCATGGTATGTTTGCACTAGTTTGCACATTTTGCATAATTACACGGATGTCAAATATTGTTGAACATTCCATGGCATCAGATTAGGAGGCTGCTATTTAACCTATTAGGGACACGGGTGGCGCTGTGGGTTAAACCACAGAGCCTAGGACTTGCCGATCAGAAGGTTGGTGGTTCGAATCCCTGCGACGGGGTGAGCTCCTGTTGCTCGGTCCCTGCTCCTGCCAACCTAGCAGTTCAAAAGCACGTCAAAGTGCAAGTAGATAAATAGGTACTGCTCTGGCAGGAAGGTAAATGGCGTTTCCATGCGCTGCTCTGGTTCCCAGAAGCGGCTTAGTCATGCTGGCCACATGACCCGGAAGCTGTACGCTGGCTCCCTCGGCCAGTAAAGCGAGATGAGCGCCGCAATCCCAGAGTCGGTCACGACTGGACCTAATGGTCAGGGGTCCCTTTACCTATTTGACCTATTGTGTACAGACATCAGCATCTCCTGCATTCAGGCTGAACGGACGATGAACTCTGGGACCCGTACAGAGAATCGGTGGGTCTTGCACCCTTGGGTGCTCACACGAACCTGGTATCCGTCGGGGTTGACGACGATGATGACCTCGAAGTGTGAACCCTTTTGGAGGGGCATGCTATGGTGTTCCTCCTTGCCCCACTTGCCCCCTTGGAAGGTATTCAAGACAACCTTGTCTTTGCCATCAAAGCGAGGGTTGAAGTGTAGGGCAATGTCGGCCCCATCGTTCATGCCACAGACAAAGTTCAGGCTGAATCTGGAAACCATGGATGGAAAGAAAAGGGGAAAACAATAAAATGTAGTCAGAGGGCAACCTGTTTGCTGTTATATTGTGTTGCCCACTTTTCCACCCCACTTCCCATAAGGCTTGATTCACACTGAATTTGGCATCCTTCAAAGGGTGGCTTTCGTTTAAATAACAATAGGCAAGTTACTAGCCCTCATTGCTCATATATATATAGCAAGTTACTAGTCCTTGCTTCGGAATACGATTCAAAACATGCAAGGAGCAAGTTCTAAGGCTAAAGTATCTGAAGCTAAAATGCGCACATTTCGGAAAACTGCTTTGAGGTTCTATTAAAACCCTAAACGGCCTTGGTCCTGTATACCTGAAGGAGTGTCTCCACCCCCATCATTCAGCCCGGACACTGAGATCCAGCACCGAGGGCCTTCTGGCAGTTCCCTCATTGTGAGAAGTGAGGTTACAGGGAACCAGGCAGAGGGCCTTCTCGGTAGTGGCGCCCGCCCTGTGGAACGCCCTCCCTTCAGATGTGAAGGAAATATGCAGCTATCTTCTTTTTAAAAGACATCTGAAGGCAGCCCTGTTAAGGGAAGTTTTTAATATTTAATGCTGTACTGTTTTTAACACTTGATTGGAAGCCGCCCAGAGTGGCTGGGGAAACTCAGCCAGATGGGCGGAGTATAAATAATAAATTATTATTATTATTATTATTAACAGTCAAGAGTTACAGTATATGAATGTCGTGAAATCAATCAATATAGTCCATGGAGAATAAAGTTCTGCTGAGATCAGTTGGGCTTCCTTCCAGTTAAGTGGGTACAAAACTGGAGCCTAAATGAGGATTTATAGCAGCCAAGAAGCAACGACGTAGCTTCTAGTTTTGCCCTATGGCTAGGAGAATAAAAAGAATAATCAGATCTGCTCTCTCTTTTTTGCCACGTTTGCACAAAACTACATTAATGTGGAAGTTTCTTGGTAGAGGATGTGGGTTTTTGCAGAATATGCAGAGTTAAAGAGAGAGGATATATGATCACACTTTTTTTATAAAAATATATATATATTTGATAAAATGTATATACCACTTGAGTGCAAAAAACCCCCCACCTCAAAGCAGTTCCCAAACATAATAAAAGAATAAAATTCTCAATAAGAGCAGTTTATAAGCATTCGAAAAACAATTAAAATCGACGATAAGCTGAAAACAGGTTAAACACATGTCCAACATTCTACATGTCTGGATAAATTTGCCTTTTTTTAAAAAAAAAAGATGATGTTTGGGGCATTTGCTAAAAAAGAGTAAACTGAAGGCGTCAATAGGCGGGGAGTTCCAAAGTGCATGTGATGCCACACTAAAATATTTCATACGAATGTGGAAAGGGGTGTTTTGTGGCACCTGTAAGGAGGCCGGTTCTGCAGATCAAAAGCGGTTGAGAGGGCATAGAACGGCTCAGGTGATCTCGCAGGTAAGCTGGTCCGAGTTGGTCAGTCCTAGTTCTGTGGCCACCCCTCCTACCCAGAAAGGACCCCTTACCTCTTGGTATGTTGTGGAACCATCCCTGCCACATATATGGACATGCCGGGGCGAAGTCCACCGGGGACCGGCTGGGTATGAGGGAGGGGCTGAAAGACAAAAGGTTTGGGGGGGTGACAGATGCAATATATATGGTTACCAGATGTTTTTCAATGAATCCGGGGACACTTAAAAAAAAAAATTACATGCAGAGACATCACCTTGCTGACAAAGGACCGTATAGTTAAAGCTATGGTTTTCCCAGTACAGTGGTAGAACTTAATTTGTTCTGGAGGTCCATTCTTAACCTGAAACTGTTCTAAACCTGAAGCACCACTTTAGCTAATGGGGCCTCCTGCTGCTGCCGTGCTGCCGGAGCACAATTTCTGTTCTCATCCTGAAGCAAAGTTCTTAACCCGAGGTACTATTTCTGAGTTAACGGAGTCCGTAACCTGAAGCGTATGTCACCCGAGGTACCACTGTAGTCATGTATGGAAGTGAGAGCTGGACCATAAAGAAGGCTGATCGCTGAAGAACTGATGCTTTTGAATTCTGGTGCTGGAGGAGACTCTTGAGAGTCCCATGGACTGCAAGAAGATCAAACCTCTCCATTCTGAAGGAAATCAGCCCTGAGTGCTCACTGGAAGGATAGATCGTGAAGCTGAGGCTCCAATACTTTGGCCACCTCATGAGAAGAGAAGACTCCCTGGAAAAGACCCTGATGTTGGGAAAGATGGAGGGCACAAGGAGAAGGGGACGACAGAGGACGAGGTGGTTGGACAGTGTTCTCGAAGCTACCAGCATGAGTTTGACCAAACTGCGGGAGGCAGTGGAAGACAGGAGTGCCTGGCATGCTCTGGTCCAGGGGGTCACGAAGAGTCGGACACAACTAAACGACAACATGCTTTACTATCCCTAATTACATCTATACATCAGCTGTTTTGCTGTCTTGAGAAGTCCGGAGGAGGAGAGAAACCTGGGGGGAGTGGAGTTGGAAGCAAAGTTTGAGAATATGACAGTGGGATGATCACAGAATCACAGATTTGGAAAGGATCTCTGAGGGGCATCTAGGCCAACCCCCTGCAATGGAGCTACTGTATTTTTCACTCCATAGGACGCACTTTTTCCCTCTTAAAAACTAAGGGGAAAAGTCTGTGCGTCCTATGGAGCGAATGCAGGGGGGGAGGCAGGCAGGAAAAGCCCCCAAGAGCCTCACACAAGCTTCGCGCGGCTCTTGCAGGCTTTTCCCCAGGAGGGAGAAGGGACTGCCGCTCCCCGACCTGTTCTGGGGGCTGGGTTCAGGGGAAGCTCAGGCTTCCCCCGCCCCCAGCCCCGCAAGCTCTGGGAGTGGAGGCAAGGCTGCCTGAAACCCCCAGAGTGCAGCGGCAGTTCGCACTGCACTGCGGGGGCTTCAGGCGGCTATCCGCAAGCCTTCGGAGTGCAGCAGGAGTTCTCGCTTGCAGATAGCCGCTTGAAGTCTGGAGCGTGAGAGGGGTCAGTGCACACCGATCCCTCTTGCTCTCCAGGCTTCGCTTCACTGGAGAGGCGCTGCACAGTTTTCCCTCTCTGCGCAGCGCCCCTTCAGCTAAGCGGGAGGAAAAATGGAAGGGGCTCCGTTTCTCCTGCCACTTCGCTGAAAGGGCGCTGAGCAGAGAGGAGGAGATTTTTTTCCCCTGTTCTCCCCCTCCTAAGGTCCGGTGCGTCCTATAGAGCGAAAAATACGGCACTCCAATTTAAGCAGCCTCAACTTAAAAGAACATAAGGCTTCCCTGTTCTAGTTTGACTTCTGTATTCTCGGCCATCAGGGACACGCTCTCGTTCACACTCTCTCACACTCAGCTGCCCGGCTCCTCGCCAGCTCTGCCGCTACTCCAGTTGGGGATTGAAGTCATTTCACCCCTCTGCACCTTGCCCAGCAGAGAAACCGTGCCCCTTGCGCCCCTCCTGGACAACTGCGTGCCACCCGCCCCTGACTCTCGAGCCTCCCCCAATCTCCTGCCCCCTTCCTCCTTTGTTTTGAGAGTTTCACAGGGTGCGAAAGAGGAGCTTTGCACCTTGCCCAGCAGAGAAACTGCTCGTCTTGCCTGGGCAACGGCCACCCACCTGCGATCTCTTCTCTTCCTACCCCTCCATCTGCGTATTACTCCAGGAGAGCAGGGTGTCATGTTTCCCGGGGACGTTTAATGAAATCCGGGGACATTCCGGGGATGGAATTTGTCTGGGGACAGATTTGCAAATCCGGGGACTGTCCCCGGAAAACGGGGACGTCTGGTAACCCTACAATATACCGAGATCCAAGTTCATGCATCTGAGGTAAAGGTAAAGGGACCCCTGACCATTAGGTCCAGTCGTGGACGACTCTGGGGTTGCGGTGCTCATCTTGCTTTATTGGCCGAGGGAGCCGGCGTACAGCTTCCGGGTCATGTGGCCAGCATGACTAAGCCGCTTCTGGCGACCCAGAGCAGCGCACGGAAACGCCGTTTACCTTCCCGCCGGATCAGTACCTATTTATCTACTTGCACTTTGTGCTTTCGAACTGCTTGGTTGGCAGGAGCAGGGACCGAGCAACGGGAGCTCACCCCATCGCGGGGATTCGAACCACCAACCTTCTGATCAGCAAGTCCTAGCCTCTGTGGTTTAACCCACAGCGCCACCCGCATCCCTTTCATGCACCTGAACCAGCCTTCAAAAAATGTATTTGGTGGCTATTCTCTGCCTCCACTGTCAAGAGGCCGTAATTCTTCTAAATGCCTGTTTCTGGAAACCACAGGAGAGAGGGCTCCTGCGTTCGAATCCTGCTTGCGGGTTTCCCACAGGGATCTGGATGGGTGCTGGGCGAATTGGGCCACTGGCTCTTCTACTGTTCTTATGTAGACAATTGTCTCATAGAATCATAGAATCATAGAGTTGGAAGAGACCACAAGGGCCATCGAGTCCAACCCCCTGCCAAGCAGGAAACACCATCAGAGCACTCCTGACATATGGTTGTCAAGCCTCTGCTTAAAGACCTCCAAAGAAGGAGACTCCACCACACTCCTTGGCAGCAAATTCCACTGTCGAACAGCTCTTACTGTCAGGAAGTTCTTCCTAATGTTTAGGTGGAATCTTCTTTCTTGTAGTTTGGATCCATTGCTCCGTGTCCGCTTCTCTGGAGCAGCAGAAAACAACCTTTCTCCCTCCTCTATGTGACATCCTTTGATATATTTGAACATGGCTATCATATCACCCCTTAACCTCCTCTTCTCCAGGCTAAACATGCCCAGCTCCCTTAGCCGTTCCTCATAAGGCATCGTTTCCAGGCCTCTGACCATTTATCAGGACAAAATGTACCTATCTGGGGAACCCTGCACTAAAAGCCCTGAGCGTTTCCCCGGTATTTTCTTTATTTTTAAATGCAGAACAGTTTCGGAAATTGTGGAGGATTATACTTAAGACGGGAAAACCGAGAACTTGGAACGGCCCGAGCTGCCAGCTCATCCTTTGCTTTGCAAGATCGGTTGGGAACCTGCAGAAAGCGGCGTGTTAATTATTAAGCCATCCAGCTATGAAACGGACTCGCTTAGGGTGGAGCAGGCTGGCTGAGGTCCAAGCCGCAAATGAGTTCTGCTTTTATCCACAGGATCTGAACTTGGGAAAGGTGCGTTGAGGAAGAGGTCGGGTGGATGGCCGGATGGCCACGTACCCTTATCAGATCTTTGCACGCACGGAACTAAAACTAAAAAACCAAGGAAGGGGAACATTTCCACCAGCTGGGTCGGACTGGCGAGATCAGGATCCAGGATGGGCATCATTGATTGAAGCGCCCTCCCCACCCCCATATGAAGGAAGGCATAGGTCTTGTTGTGTTAACCCAATGGCCCTCCTAGCCGTGCATTAGGGAGCCGGGCTCAAACACTATGCTAGTGTAGGAAGAACACATTGATTAAACAAAATTGACCAAACGCTTCAAATTCCTGGCTAAAAGGGAAATTGGAACAGGTGCATTATATACCTGGCAAAGTCTCCATCAGGAAAAGCAGCACTGGAGCGAACCAGGCAGAGGGCCTTCTTGGTAGTGGCACCCGCCCTGTGGAACGCCCTCCCACCAGATGTCAAAGGAAAAAACAACTAGCAGACTTTTAGAAGACCTCTGAAGGCAGCCCTGTTTAGGGAAGCTTTTAATATCTGAAGGACTATTGTATTTTAATATTTTGTTGGAAGCTGCCCAGAGTGGGGTGTAAATAATGGGTGGGGTATAAATAATAAATTATTATTACAGTCATACCTCGGGTTAAATATGCTTCTGGTTGAGCATTTCCAGGTTATGCTCCACCGTGACCCGGAACTAACGGAACGTGTTATTTCCAGGTTTCGTCACCCACGCATGCGCAGACACTCAAAATGACATCACGCGCATGCGCGGAAGCGGCGAAACGTGACCTGCGCATGCGCAGACGCATGTTACGTTCTACTCAGGATGCGAATGGGGCTCCGGAACGGATCCTGTTCGCATCTAAAGGTACCACTGTATTATTATTATTATGTTAAAAAGGTAAAGGACCCCTGACAGATAAGTCCAGTCGCGAACGACTCTGGGGTTGTGGCGTTCATCTCGCTTTACTGGCCAAGGGAGCCGACATTTGTCCACAGACAGTTTTTCCAGGTCATGTGGCCAGCATGACTAAGCCGCTTCTGGCGAAACCAGAGCAGCGCACGGAAACGCGTTTAGGACCTTGAAAAATGCTCAGTTTGCTGCATTGAGTAAATTGACCGGTTTTTAGGACTTTTCTTCCTCTCCTTGACAAATCAGCTTGTCTCCTGGGGGAAATCTCTGTGCATTGCAAAAGATTCTGGGACATAGTCTGGGATGCTGCCCACGTCAGAGTCAGGAGTCAACCTTACTGGCACATCCCGAGGTCTGCGCCAAAGTTGGCTTCCTGACTTTGAACTCCTTTGGGGGGGGGGTCAGTCCTTGTCCTGTTTCTCTTTCCCCTGGTTCTTACCATCTGCTCACCTGCCCCCTACCATAAGTGAGCAAGCAAGCAAGGAGCGGAGATAGGCAGAGGAGCAGGAACTCAGAAAGAGTGGAAGCGGTGGCAACCGAAGGATTTCTAGAGGGGCATTACCCAGCGTTTTGCATTTGACTTGTGCCGTTTTTAAACTATATTGAGTTTAAACTATATTGAGGCCTGGCATTATTTATATTGTGTGGATGCGGGTGGCGCTGTGGGTTAAACCACAGAGCCTAGGACTTGCCGATCAGAAGGTCGGCGGTTCGAATCCCCGCGACGGGGTGAGCTCCCGTTGCTCGGTCCCTGCTCCTGCCAACCTAGCAGTTCAAAAGCACATCAAAGTGCAAGTAGATAAATAGGTACCGCTCCGGCGGGAAGGTAGATGGCGTTTCCGTGCGCTGCTCTGGTTCGCGGCTTAGTCATGCTGGCCACATGACCTGGAAGCTGTACGCCAGCTCCCTTGGCCAATAAAGCGAGATGAGCGCCGCAACCCCAGAGTCGTCAGCGACTGGACCTAACGGTCAGGGGTCCCTTTACCTTTACTAATTTTAATAAAAGTACAATCAGGTGAGTGGGGAGGACATGCAGGTACGTCTGTGGAGTGCGTTCTGTGTCACAATTGCCGTGACTTCCGACGCCCTTGATAAAATAGACAGCAGGTCACCGGTGTCAAAGCCATTTGCTAGGACAGTTCAATGGCCTAAAATCCCAGGCACCAGTTGCGGCGAGTGCTTTCTAAAGGAACTGCTCACGCTTTCGTTCATGGTGCCCTGGCAGTTCTTAGACTGGGGGAATGGGGAGATTTGGAGGGGCTTGTTCTCCGACGGATTGCTTGAACCGAACTCCAGGCAGCGCAAGCTTCAGAAACTCACAGAACTCTTGGATAAAACGGTAGCAAATTCTTCTCCAGAGAGAGAATGTGTGTGAGTCGGGCAAGGTTGCTTATGAATACAAATCTACAGTAACTTCAGGTAGGAAAACCTGTTTGTGATACAAATTGAAGTGAAATTTAAAGGCGCCATAGAGGCCGCTCTGCCAAATGCTTCTGTTTGATTTAAATAAATAAACAAGGGCTGATCCACTCTTTCCTCTAGGCTTTAAAGTTCTGCGTCCAAGGGCTCTCTCACTTTTGCTCTGGAGTTTTCCCCACGATAACCTGCTCTTTAAACGTGAATTGGAGCCAACTGCAATTCGCAGAAGACACGAATTATCATTCGTGGCTCTTCAACTTTAAAGAGCGGGGGGGTGGGTTGGGGGCGAGTTCTGGGCCAAAAGAGAGAGAGAGAGAGCTCAAACACAGAGCTATAAAAGCATGAACCTGTGCCTGGATAGAGCAGGGCAAAAGGTGGCTATTATTATTATTATTATTATTATTATTATTATTATTATTACTACTACTACTATTATTATTATTATTAATTTGCACCCTGCCCATTTGACTGGGTAAGAGCGAATGAGCTATAAGTTAAACAGAACAACTGCAATTTTTAAAATCCCAGAGCAGGTCTTTGGGGGGGGGGGGAAAGGGAACGGAAGACTCAGGTTAAGTGACGGCAAATTTTATTCTTTTCTTGCAGAGAATACAAGAGCACAGATTGCGCAGGGAGAGATGGAGGTTGAACGCTTACCGGGTTGTAGGTGGGCATGTAACCGGGTGCTGGGACGAAAGCCATGGTGCCGCAGTCTGACTTCTGCTCGGATGTGGATCAAGACCGGCTGCAGGAAAACCTCCCAGAGCCACCCGGAATACTTTTATAGCACCTGGCTCCAAAGGGGTGGAGCAGCCAGGAGGTCTGGCCAGGACCCACCCATCTCAACAGGTGAGGAGCTCACCTGTCTTATTCTCCAAGGACACAGTCGGGGAGGGGGAACCTCGTTGCCTGTTCCGCAATGGAAAATTTGGGGGGTTTTCTTCTATTTTGGATTACCTAGTGGTTGCAGCAAGGAAATAGGTGCTCAACAGGGTTTAGTGCTGCCGAGAGAGATTTGTCAACCCGCCTGGGCTGCTCTGATGCTTTTAACAGCCCGACAGGCAGAAATCTCACAGGCCAAGCGTCCCATTTTGCTTTCCTCCGTGCCAGGAAAACAGTTTCACCCGTGAAACATCTGTATAGCAGCAGCTCACCTGGAATTAATTTTGCAGGGGGCTGGGGAAACGGTTCACCTAGCTGCAGAGGAGATCTACTGGATTCGGGGCAAGAAGAACGAGAGCTGTTGGCCGGTGTCTCTTTGCTAAGAGCCAATCAGCTCTGAAGAATACGCAATACTAGTTATCCTCAAAAGTTTGTGGTCGTGTGAGTGGGACACAGGCGCTCAGAGAGTTAGGGCACTTCATAAAATTCCCACAAGGGCAGTTTCGGACGTCAGAAAGGTGCCAGGGCAGGCATGGGTGTTTTAGAGCTTGGGTAATTTTAGCCCCCAAACTCGTCACATCCTACATTTCCCCCAAGCGTCCAGGAAAAAACGGGACACCCTGTTTTCTCTCATGAGAGCACAGCAGTCATTTGGGGTGTCGAGATCTTGTGCAATTCCACGCCGAGATCTCACCCTTTAAAAAAAGCACATTTTCTGGGCTGTGATCTCACGCAATGCCCTAAAACACGCATTTTTGGGGGCAGTGCAAACATCCACCCAAAAAGCACATCTTTGGGTCTCTGTGACTTGTGTAGGAGCACGGGCAGGAAGATGTGCGTCACAAGATGTGGACTCAAGATGTTGGAAGGTCGGGTTCTGTCCATGTGCAGAGTTCACCTCTCGCCACTGAATAATACCTCGGAAGCAGCTTGAATGAAACAAATGCAAAGCAGGAGTGAAACTGGGGTGATCACCCCAGCAGGGAAAGTTTCAAAGGTATGTGAGCAGGGGGACAGATCCACAGGCGGACAGTAAGGTAAAGGGACCCCTGACCCTTAGGTCCAGTGGTGACCGACTCTGGGGTTGCGGCGCTCATCTCACTTTATTGGCCGAGGGAGCCGGCGTACAGCTTCAGGGTCATTTGGCCAGCATGATTAAGCCGCTTCTGGCAAACCAGAGCAGCGCACAGAAATGCCGTTTACCTTCCCGCCAGAGCGGTACCTATTTATCTACTTGCACTTTTGACGTGCTTTCGAACTGCTAGGTTGGCAGAAGCAGGGACCAAGCAACGGGAGCTCACCCCATCGGGGGGATTCGAACCACTGACCTTCTGATCGGCAAGTCCTAGGCTCTGTGCCACCCGTGACCTCCCCCCCAAAAATGCTTGGGGTTTGCCACCTGAGTGCCGGCAGTGAATCTGTTTGCTGGGGTTACCCAAAACATTTAAAGCTCTACGATGCCACTTCAAACTGATATGGCTCCCCCCCCCCCCGAATTATATAAGACTATATGGAACTTGCCGAACTGACTGGGAGACTCTGAGACCAGAGAGAAGAGATGGTGGAAGAAGATTGGAAGACGTTTAAAGAATATCTGCTATGATTAAATGGGCGCAAGATGTTGGACATAACATAATGATGGCTGACTGGGAACAGTTATGGACCACAGGTATGAAGTTTACGGCATGTAATGCCTTAATAGAGAATATTATGAAAATGATATACAGGTGGTACATGACCCCAGTCAAGCTTGCAAAAATCTACCATTTGCCCGATAACAAATGTTGGAAATGTAAAGAAACTGAAGGTACATTCTTTCACGCCCAAGGATTAAGGCTTTCTGGGAGATGATATATAATGAATTGAAAAAGGTATTTAAATATACCTTCTTGAAGAAACCAGAGGCCTTTCTCCTGGGCATAGTCGGCCAACTGGTGTTAAAGAAGGATAGAACTTTCTTTATGTATGCCACAACAGCAGCAAGAATACTTATTGCAAAGTATTGGAAGACACAAGATCTACCCACTATGGAAGAATGGCAGATGAAGGTGATGGACTACATGGAATTGGCGGAAATGACTGGCAGAATCCGAGACCAGGGAGAAGAGTCGGTGGAAGAAGATTGGAAGAAATTTAAGGACTATTTACAGAAATACTGCAAAATTAATGAATGTTAGAATGATGTTCGAATGAAGTTAGGTGGTTTAAGCAGGAATGCTATAAAGGTGTATGTAAAAAAGGATTGATAACAGGTGAAAATTTTAAGTCATAGTATATTAAGTTATAGGATCATGAGAAAATAAAGAGGGAAAGAAATTGCTGAATTAACTAATTGAACTGGAATACAAAAAAGGGAGGTATGAGGAGGTCAGGGAAACAAGGATATGAATATAAGGTATAGAAAAATTGATCTATTTTTCTTTTTTTTCTTGTTAAGTGTTTTTTATTTTTTTATTCTGTATTTTGTATTTTTCCTGTATTTTTACTTCTGTTCTTTGTTTTTACTTTTCTTGTTTTTGTGTAATTCTTTTTTTTCTGAAAATCTAATAAATATCATTAAAAAAAAAAGAATATCTGAAAAAATATGTTAATATTTAAATCTTAGAATAGCTCTGGAAGTGGATGGAGGCTGTAGGGTTAGAAGTAGAAGATAGTGTATTTTAAAATAGGGTTATTTGTGATAAAATGTAAAGATTTCTATGGTAAAAGTAAGCGTGATTTAAAAAACGGCTAGAAATTATGATATATGTAAACTGCTAAAGTTGAGGTAAAATGAAAATCAGATGGGGGGACTTGGGAAAGCTCACCTAACGATGTTTAGGAAAAAAAAGGATAAGACAAGAATTTGTTTGTTTTTCTGTTTGTGCTGTTTAGTTGTGTTATAAAATGAATTTAAAAATGGGGGGGAATTCTGGGAACTGTAGTTTGTTATGGGTGCTGAGAATAATTAGGGGATTCCTTATTCCTCTCACGCAACTACAGTTCCCAGAGTGACTTAACAGCCAATCCCTCTTCCCAGGGAAGTCTGGGAATTGTAGTTTTGTGAGGGGAGTCTCTTAACTAATCATCAAACTATAGCCCCCAGGAGATAGATAGATATATAGATATAGATATAGATATATATAGATATATATATATATAGATATATATATGGGAGCCACAGCTCTTTAAAGTGGCACAAAGGTGGCATCAGGGCGCTTTGAGGAAATTTGACGGCATCGTACCTTCCCGACTCGGGCTCTGGCTTCAAGCCCAGCTGTTGACATTCTCCTCACCCGAGACCTCTGCCCCTGTCTCCTTTCTTTATCTTGGCTAGCAAATCTTTGAAACGCCCTCCCTGTGGAGCGGGCTGCATCGGGAGCTGGCAAGAACACCCTGGGAGGAAGCAGCTACAATAAACCCCCAAGACTGTTGTCCCTGGGAAACCAATAATGGTCATTAACAGGCGGGTGCGCTGTTTGCTGTGGCTGGGCTGGGCAGTGGGAATGAATTGACAGCAAACATTCCCGGAGCCTTGCTTGTGGAAAGGGAGGGTGGGTGAGACTGGGTGAAGTGGCAGGTCTTTGCAGAAACCAACTGGGAGAGGCGAAGGATGGGCTGGGTCCAGAGACTGAGGAAGGGGGCACAGATGAGCCTCATAAATGGAGGCAACGCCCCACCGGTTGGACTCTGGACTGCGGCAGCCAGCTGGAAGACGGAACAACGGGATGGGCACCCGAGCACCCAAGAGGCGGCTCCCGGGATGCCAGCCCACTCAAACAGATGTAAGCCAAGGCCGACCGAAGACTTTTTGCCGCCCGAGGCAAAGGGCAAGATGACTGTGTTTGAGGGGTTAATTTGATTGCTGGAAGCCGCCCAGAGTAGCTGGAGAAACCCAGTCAGATGAGCAGCACACACACACACACACACACACACACACACACACACACACACACACAAAGGTTAAAGGGACCCCTAACCATTAGGTCCAGTCGCGGACGACTCGGGTTGCGGCGCTCATCTCGCTTTATTGGCCGAGGGAGCTGGCGTACAGCTTCCGGGTCATGTGGCCAGCATGACTAAGCCGCTTCTGGTGAACCAGAGCAGTGCACGGAAACGCCGTTTTCCTTCCCGCCGGAGCGGTACCTATTTATCTACTTGCACTTTGACGTGCTTTCAAACTGCTAGGTTGGCAGGAGCAGGGACCGAACAATGGGAGCTCACCCCATTGCGGGGATTCGAACCGCCAACCTTCTATGATGAGAGAAAAATTTTCAGTTTATTCCCTACACTGACTGGCTCCAATTCTCCAGGGTTTTCCCCCCAGTCCTGCCAAGAGATTTAGTCAGGGTCTGAACTTGGGATCTATTCTATATGCTCTTCCGTTGAGCTATATAGACCTTCCCCTTGAACTAACCTTTAGCCTTTATTGCTTGTTTGCTAAGCCTCAGTTATCAGCCGCCCACAAATGCTGATTTCAACCTGCCAGAGGCCAAGGGGTGCGGCGCCAGTGGAACAGAACCTCTAAAATCCATGATCGAGGGTTATTTTTGAAGGTTCAGGCGCTAGCCTGTCAGTGATGGGTACAGAGATTGCAAGATTGTGGGGATACAACCGTCCTGGTTCTGGGAGCAGGACTGGCAGACAAACAATGAATTTTGAGATGGCCCTCCCTATTATTTTAGGTCTCAGTTCTATTCAAAGACCCGTTTCCTGGACTCCTGGAGAGATGGTTCAGAACCTCGAAAATGCCATGGAAGCTGTTGCAGAGTCAGGCCATTGGTTTGGCCTAGCCCACTATCGTCCACTCCGAACAGCAGTAGCTTTTCAAGGTTACAGATGCTTTGAGATTCAACCTTGAAGTTCGAAATTCCCATGACTGAACCTTGTACAAGAACCAGCAAGGGGGGAACTGGTTAAGGCAGTGGCTCGCAAGACTTTTCTTTCTGAGCCATACTTTCAGAATAAAAATTGGCTCGCACCACACTGGATTTTTTTATTGGCAAGAAATACATTGGAAAACAAGAAACAGCTCCTTGCTGTGCTTGATTTGTAACACAGAACACGACTGCTTTATAATATGATCACGGGACACCAGGAAAGTATAAAACAACGCAGCTACATAAGAATAGGAATCATTCCCAAAATATAAGGATAAACGAGCCTCTTATCTATGTAGCTAGTATGCATACAAACTCAGTGAGAGGTGTGGGCTTGCTTTGTGCTGGGTAACCTCATCTATATTAGGTCTAATTTGAGACAAGCAAACTCCCATCTCCTCATCGGCCCAAAGAAGCCTATCTCTTTTTCTGATATTCCACATTTTGGCAGTTGAAAATGACTTCCATATTTGTCAGCTGAAAATTCCTGTTCACATCAACATGTCGTGGAGAATAGCTCTTGCTCTCATTCTGAAGATACCGATCCACATTCCACAAACAGAAAAATTAATTCTGATCCCAAGGGCAACAACCCATTGACACACGTCAAATTGACGCACGACCCAGAAGTGACTGGAAAAGGGGGCATCACACACGAATCGGGGGTTGCTGTATACTACCCTGAAATGTTTAAATGTTTCTTTGATTGTCCTTGAATCTTCCCGCCTCTCACACCCTTTGAGAACCACTTGATTAAGGAGTGAGGGGAAGAGAGCCAGTGTCTCTCTGGGTATTATTGGACTCCAATTCCCTTCAACCCTAGCCCCCAATAGCCAAGGGTGATGGGAGATTGCATCCAGCAACACTTGGGAGAATCAAAGGCTCCTTGCCACTTGCTGGATTTCTCTGGCACACAAAAGGTCCTAAATCCCAAATTTGAAATGAACTGAGAGTCCCATGGACTGCAAGAAGATCAAACCTATCCATTCTGAAGGAAATCAGCCCTGAGTGCTCACTGGAAGGACAGATCCTGAAGCTGAGGCTCCAAGACTTTGGTCACCTCAGGAGAAGAGAAGACTCCCTGGAAAAGTGGAGGGCACAAGGAGAAGGGGGTGACAGAGGACGAGATGGTGGGACAGTGTTCTCGAAGCTACCAGCATGAGTTTGACCAAACTGCAGGAGGCAGTGGAAGACAGTGCCTGGCATGCTCTGGTCCAGGGGGTCATGAAGAGTCGGACACGACTAAACAACAACAACCACTTCCTTAAGACCAGCATGCAACGCTGCTTCCCGTTCTCCCAGAATTCCATCTTCCCCGTTCACAGCTACCAAAGAGGGCAAGGGAAGACTTTTGGGCAGGTCTGGGTGCCTTCTTCAATTCTGGTAAGGCGGTCTGGGGAACGCTATGCGTTCTGTCAAGGGCTGCATTCCCACAGGGGAACTGTACACAAGGGCTATAGGTGTGCAAAATTTGGCACAGGGTGTGCACGACTCAGCATCCGACTGAGCATGCCACCAAATTTCTAGTTCCCATAGATGCAAAAACAGGATTAGGTTGAGAGGTTGCAAAATAAATACCTGCGTGCTCAAACTGCATTGTTTCAAACCACCAGAGAGACAGCACAGCAGAATTTCGATGTGTATTATTATTCCACGTTCAAGTTTCAACCTGGCCTTGAAGACAGACCGGTGGGATCTCAGGGAAAGGAAGAGATCAGCCTGACTCTCAGCTTATTTACTCAGGCAGAAAGAAGAGAAGGGCAACCTTCACTTTGTCATACACTTTTATGAATATATTTCCAGCTTATTTGTTTACCGATTTTTTTCTAGCTTTTTATTTGCAAACAGAATTAAAGCGTTACACCAATATAAGCAAACAAACTGAGCCGAGAACCAACATCCTCGCTGCGGCGTTAACTGAAGCAGGGTTTATTCTCCGCCGAAATAATCTCCTCTCCTCCCAGAGCGCTGATTGCGTTTTAAATGTTTATTTCCGGTTCCACCACTAACCTTCCTTTGGGTGGGGAAAGCACCATTTTTCAGAAGGAAGGCCTCTCTACCCCTCCTAAGGCGTTACGTGTCACTCAGCTTCATGGCTGAGCCGGTATCTGAAGGCACTTGCTGCCCCCCTTCCTCTCGCAGGGGGTCCTGGAGTCCAGTCTCGCCCACGGCCAAAACAGCAGCCCACCCTTACTGCTCTTGGTGGGGGCTTGCTGCCTTATGCTGCAAGCACAGAGCAGCTACAACTTGGAGTAGGTTATCTGCCTGGTTGTCTTCTTCTCCATGATGCCTTGGGCGGACTTCAAGATGTCCTCTGTCTGAAGCATGCTCATGTTCCAGGTAGCCTGCAGGGCAGAAACAAAGCGGACTCAGAAAACGGCGGAGCAACTGCCTTAGCTGTTTGTTCTTTATGCATGGGAGCACTTCTTAAAATAAACTACCGTATTTTTCGCTCCATAAGACGCACTTTTCCCCTCCTAAAAAGTAAGGGGAAATGTGTGTGCGCCTTATGGAGCGAATGCAGGGGGGAGGCAGGCGGGAAAGGCCCCCAAGAACCGCACACACGCTCCGCGGGCTTTTCCCCAGGAGGGAGAAGGGCCTTTCTGGCCGCATCAGTCCCTTCTCCCTCCTCGTAGAAAAGCCCGCAGGAGCTGTGCATCCTTTAAAGAGCGCGCGGCTCTTGCGTGCTTTTGTGGGAGGTGGGGGAAGGGACAGAGGGCAGCCCCTCAAGCCCCTCCCGCACCTCCCGGAAAAGCCCCCAAGAGCAGCACTCCCTTTCACTAGCCGCGTGGAGCGTGTGTGCAGTTCTTGGGGGCTTTTCCCCCCAGGAGGGAGAAGCCTGCAAGCGCCGCACACATGCTCCACGCGGCTCGTGAAAGGGAGCGCTGAGCAGAGCCTGGGATGCAGACAGCCTCTCTTCCGCGCTCCCTTTAAAGAATATTTTTTTCCTTGCATTCCCCTTCTAAAAACTAGGTGCGTCTTATGGAGCGAAAAATACAGTAAATCTAACTAAAAACAGAGGAAGAAAGAAAAAGGCAGAGTCCTCTTTCGAAGGCAGACCTTAACCCTCATGTCACACAGAAAGGTGTGGAGCCTCCCAGCTCTTAGCTGGCAGCTTCCCATTCTCCTCCCAGCCTCTCACCCAAGGCCCTTTGCCAGCCACCTGTCACCTTCAGGTGTGTGCAGTTCCAATGAAACCCCAGAGCAGAGGACACCAAGAAAAGGGGGGAAGGGGAGAAAAAGGAAAATGGAAGAGAGGAACAGAAAAGAGAAAGACAAGAGAGAGATCAAAGGGACTTCTGATTTGCATTTTTCAGTTATATACAAAAAATTATTCAAAATATTTTCTCTCAGCTAACATCCAGTTATTCTGCCTTCTGCTAAGTGATACTTTCCCCTCCTTCAGACCTAAACATCTCAGATTCATACGTTACAGTCAAACCTCGGCTGTCGAACATACAGTGGTACCTCAGGTTAAGTACTTAATTCGTTCCGGAGGTCCGTTCTTAACCTGAAACTGTTCTTAACCTGAAGCACCATTTTAGCTAATGGGGCCTCCCGCTGCTGCTGCACCACCGGAGCACGATTTCTGTTCTCACCCTGAAGCAAAGTTCTTAACCTGAAGCACTATTTCTGGGTTAGCGGAGTCTGTAACCTGAAGCGTATGTAACCTGAAGCGTATGTAACCTGAGGTACCACTGTAATCCGTTCCGGAAGCCCATTCGGCTTCTGAAATGTTCGACAACCGAGGCGCGACTTCTGATTGGTTGCGGGAGCTTCCTGCACTCAAGCGGAAGCCGCGTTGGACATTCGGCTCCGAAAAATGTTCGAAAATTGAAGCGTTTAACTTCCGGGTTTTCAGCGTTCGGGAGCCGAAACGTTCCAAAACGGAGTCATTCGGGAGCAGAGCACTGTATATGGACCCTGCTCAAGAACTGTTACAGGTGACACATAACCCTCATTCCACATTTGTCGGAAATCTGTTTTTCAGTGGGGCAGCACTTGGGGGACTCCCTGCCTGCTCACCCCAAGCAGGGGCCTTCACTTTTCCCAGTCCCTGCCGAAAACCTTTTAACTAGAAATGTTGCTGTGGCTCAGAGCAACCCCCTTTGGAATTCAAGATTAACTCATGCCCATTCACTTCGCTCGCTGGGCTTGATCTGAGCAGAACTTGGCTGGACACATCCCTGAAAGTCGGTTGCACGTTGGGGTTTTCCGTGGCACAGCAGGAACAGCTGTCTGAGTGCAAAAGTCAGAACCTGGATTTCTGCCGCCCGGCAACCATGTTGTGCAAATCGCTTTATTGCTTTATTGCACTACGCTTGCTTCTGCTGGTGCCAAATCCTAGAGACCAAGGGCGGCTGCACCTTGTTCCTGTTGCAAAACGGGAACAAAGGGCAAAATGCATTTATGAGTTGCACGGAGCCAGTTTAGGCCTTCCTGCAAAGTGCTGTCTATCTCAGGGATGGGGAATGTATTGTTGCATTATCTTCCGGGGGCTGCATGCTGGTGATGGGCGGGGCCAGAGGCAGAAGTGGGAGGAGCAACCCATGCAAATTTTGCTTTGTTAATAGTCGGCTAGTTTCTGCGCACAACCCTCTCGGTCCTCCAGCCAGGCTTCATCCACCCAATAGGTACCGTATTTTTCGCTCCATAAGGCGCACCGGACCATAAGGCGCACCTAGTTTTTAGAGGGGGAAATCAAGAAACCACCCCCCCAGCCCCAAAGAGCAGCGGACAGGCTGCGCTTCTCTCAGAGCTTCTGAGGCTGCCGGGGGAAGCACGGGTTCCCGCCCCCCAGCCCCAAAGAGCAAAGAAGCCAAGACAGCGAGCGGGATCCATCCCGCTCGCTGTCTTGGCTTCTGCCATAGCCATGCGCAGCCTCTCCCGTCCGGAGGGGCTGCACGTGGCTATGGCAATACTCCCACCTCCTGCAAAAGCCCACAGGAGCCGCGTACCCTTTAAGGAGCGCACGGCTCCTGCGGGCTTTTCTACGAGGAGGGAGAAGGGACTGACTGGCCGCGTCAGTCCCTTCTCCCTCCTGGGGAAAAGCCCGCAAGAGCCGCGCGGAGCTTGTGTGCGGCTCTTGGGGGCTTTTCCTGCCTGCCTCCCCCCTGCATTCGCTCCATAAGACGCACACACATTTCCCCTTACTTTTTAGGAGGGAAAAAGTGCGTCTTATGGAGCGAAAAATACGGTGCTGTCAGACTTGGAGGACATATTCCAGCCTGGCAAAAACAGGCAAGGGAGGTGTGAAGAAAGGCTGGTGAGGGGTGCAGCCCGGGGAAGAGTCCTGAGGGCCAGGTAGGAAGGACTGGAGGGCCACTCTTAGCCTCTGGCTTGGCAGTGGCTGCAGCCAAAGGCCTTTGAAATCTCTGCTCTGTTTCTTGGAGGGTCCGGGCGGCAAACCCGAGACCCCCTACTCTGCAAAGCCCCTGTGCCCCACGACACTCACCATATACTTCAGGCCATCAGACACAGGGTGGTCCCTGGAGTAGACCAGGTTGACTTTGGTTCCCTGCACAGCAACCGGACTCTTGCTGGCAATCTCACTGGCCAAGTCAAAAGCGCTTTGCATCATGGTCTCCTTGTCTTGGAAGACACGGCTGAGCAGGGGAGGGAAGAAGAAGAAGAAGAAGAGCTTGGATTTGATATCCTGCCTTTCACTCCCTTTAAGGAGTCTCAAAGCGGCTCACATTCTCCTTTCCCTTCCTCCCCCACAACAAACACTCTGTGAGGTGAGTGAGGCTGAGAGACTTCAGAGAAGTGTGACTGGCCCAAGGTCACCCAGCAGCTGCATGTGGAGGAGCAGAGATGCGAACCCGGTTCACCAGATTACGAGTCCACCACTCTTAACCACTACACCACACTGGCTCATCCTGGAAGCAGGATGGTGTGATTAAGCCAAGGGGGGGGGGTCCTGACATTAGAATAATTGGAAGGGACCCAGGGGATCATCTAGTCCAACCCAGGGCAATGATGGAGGAGGGCATCATCTCACTTAGTTCTGTATGCCAAAGGTGGGGGAGTTAGCAGAAAACACACACACATGAAGTTGTCCTTCCTGGATGGGATCGAAAAGAAGCTTGAAAAAGCCTTTGTGTTCCAGTTGCCCCCATCCTCCTTCAAGCAACAACATTCTCTCACTCACCCCTGCCCAAGTCGCCAGGCCAACCTTACACGGCTCTAGTAGAGATGCCTGCCCAGCAAGTACAAAACTCAAGTCTGCAACTCCAGGGCAGCAAACTTGCAGTACTGGTGGGAGCCACCCCTTGGATGCAACAGTGGATAAACATTGGAGTCTCTCCTGACCCATTTGGGGCAGACATTACGCCCGTGAATGTCGTGAGCATCTCAAAGCTGCCTTCTGGATATATATGAGACGTGTGGTTATTAACTTTAGATCTGCCCATTTCGTTGCAAGATTCTAAAATTAAGAAACCGCACAAGAAAATGGTACATCTATTTACAAGGGTTTTCACCAATCGGCCATTTTAGCCTGTAGGATGGAACAGCCACAGTGTGATGCTAGACCTGTGCGCCATAAAGACAAATGGACGGGGGCCGGGATCTATTACCCAGGGTAACAGGCCTGCCCGCAAATGACAATTGATTTCCTACATCCCGCTTGGTACCCTGGTCTCTACGTGCATGGGCCTGGTTGGGCTACCGTAAGACCAGTCTGAAATGCTCTCGTCCTCATATGCCTCGATGCGGGTGGAGGCTGTGTCCCCTAAGCCCAATACACCAATCAAGATCCTGGCACTGTCAGGTTTTGACCCGCTAGCAGTACCGACGCAAGATGCAGTTGTGCGACCTGCTACCTATACAACTATACGGGTCGGCAAAATCCTTGCTTTCTGAAACCAGCTGAACATCATGATACATCAGCTGAACAACATGATGTTTATGCCGGTGTCATCGAAGATCCCTCTGGGCCAAATCAGCAATGGCCCCTCGTTAAGTTCCTCCTTACCTGTCCCAGGGACCAGCGATCTCAAACCCGGAACCGGCAGAACTGAATGAGAGGGAGGAGCCCAGCTCAGAACTCAAACCATCCGGAAGAGATTGACGCCCTATTCCCACCATCACCCTATTTCCCACATTCTATCTAGGTCATGGCGGGATGTATCTGGCTTGGTGACGTCGACTTTCTGGATTTCATACAAAGATTTCAGTTTACATGTCTACAGGAGACATGGTGTCACAGATCTCCATGTCCCCTCTTCCCCAGGATCTGAAGCTTTTGCTACCCCTGCGACAAAACCAATCAGGCCGACCTAGTGGTGGTTTAGTCACTTTGTTTCTACCAAGCTAAATGCAAGGCCCGGCAACAGCAGCAGTGGGTGAAAGTAACAATTTACAAATCACCTTATTTCTAGCAGTGAAGGAGGAGATTTCCTTTGCTTTAATATATATGCTCCCTCCCATAGGCACCCCTCCCAGTCGTCTAATTCTGGGAAGATTTAGAGCTATGTTTGGAGAAGAGCTGAACTAGAATTTCCTAGCATGGATATCCTGCTGTGGTGATTTCAACGCCAGGATGGAAACGGCATTAGCACGTATTGCTCTAAATCTCAGTTCTACAGAGGCAGATTGGTTATTCCCTGGTCCTCAGACGATAAAGGTCTTGAATAAGGCAGGCATTACATTGTGGAACTGCCTTCAAACCCTTAGAATTTTAGCCCTTAATTTGCATGAGTACCCATATGGACAAGGTCAGGGTTTCTTTTCTTTTCTTGGACCCAGGGTGTGGCGTTGTGATTATATCACAATTCTCCCCCAAAACTCTTGGAGGTCACAGGGCTTCAGGACTTTCAATAGAATTGAGTGATCATCTTCTATATCAATTTCACTAATTCCCGTGGTGTGGAGAGGATCCATAATACCATAATCTGTGCAGACCCACCTCCAGCCTGGCCCTTCGTAGGCGTAAATGGAACAGCGACCTGGAATCTAAAATCAAATTCTGCATTCATCAGACTTACTGGCCTTGAGAGACAGTGTCTCATCAATTTCTGACCCTTTTCAACATTTCAGCCAGGTCAGGTCGCTCTTCCCTACTCCACAATTCCAACCCTCCCAAAAAAACAAAACCTTCCGAGGGCCTGGTTCGACAAAGACTGTAGGAATCTAAGATCCTTATCCAGGAAACTACAAAATAGGTAAAACAGGAAGGGACCTTGTCCTCATTGGAAAACCTGCATGGTGCGTTCATTATAAAAATACTCTAAAATTTAAAAAATCCCTCTACAGAAAGGAACAATGGGAGGCATGACAAAGCGATCAAATTGCGGGATGACCAAAGTTCACAGGAAATAATTACTTAGGGGAGTTTCACCAAAGGGGAAAATTATGGCCAACAGTATCTCATCTAACCCCTTAGGTCTGCCCTTTCCCGGCTATGCTAGCTCCCAAACATTGCTAAACGACAGTTTTCTCCTCCTTAAGCCGATCAGTAAGGGCAGGATCTGTTACCAGATCAAGAATGTTTACAGCCTAATTAAACACTCCAAGAATGTAAAGCTGCGGTGAGGATATGATTCCTCCTGGGGTATTTAAACTAAATGCCCAGTGGTGGGCTGCTATTTTTGGCCCAACTCTGATGATAAATGATATATGCAAATCCGAAACTGGAAGCGAGCTGGTAGCCCCCACCTGGAAGGAGACCCCCAAGACCCCCCTCCAAACTATGCTTCACTTAAGTCTCCTGGACGTTGTGTATAAACTTACACTCGCTACCTGCTAAATAAACCCCCAGTTGACTGGGCTGACCACTCCTAACCTGCTTAATCCGGAACAGGCAGGGTTTGAAAGGGCCACATAGCCACAACAGGCCATTGTTTGGTACTACAGACAATGATAGATAAGTGTCTAAAAATTTTTATAAGAGCAAACTTTTTGTGGCTTTAGTAGATCTCCACATCCGCTTTTGATTCAATCTGTAGGGATAAAATTGTAAGCCCAAAATTATATAGAAACAGATGTTGATGAGCGACTTCTCAAAATGCCAGAGAGTTACGTTCAGACACCACAGTTAAAATCAGAACTGGGATGTCAGGCAGCTATACTGATCCTGCCACTGGGGAAAGGGGTTAAACAAGGGCTGTTTGTTAGCGCCGTTCCTCTTTAATTTTCTATATAAATGACATTGTTCAACATATGGCAAGTATAAGTCATCCAGCTCCTGCCCTAGGTAAACACCTGAATATATTACTATATGCTGATGACATGGCTGTCATTGCCACTCGAAGGGGCCCACCACATGGCATGCTGGAGGGCTCGCAGCATTTGTTCCCAGCTGCAGATAAATTGTGACAAAACAAAATTGTGGTATTTACTAGGCTCGCCACACATTTAGATGGATGCTTTAGATGAAAGACTTTAGGTGAACAGTGTCTTCTTTTTTAAATATCTTGATGTCACTCCAAGCTACATCTGGCTGGCTTGCCCACTTCAAGACTGGCCTTCTAACATCTAGGACAATCAGTGCCCTGCTCAGCTTTTTATTGAGGAGGGCAACTGGTGATCCCGGCATTAAAAGCTTTGTTGGAAAAGTGATTCCCCAGATGCTATATGGAGTAGAACTCTGGGGGATGGAATCCAGAAGCTGTTCGACGGCAGAATTAAACTTTTGCCTCAGAAAATTCTAGGCCTCCTCAAATCCGGCAGCTCTCCCTAAAATTGGAAGTAGGATTACCTTCTGTGTCTGCCAGGGCCCGCAAAAGATTCTAGTTTTCTGTAGCCTCACAGTGCCGAACACCTTATTGGTAACAAGCCTTTGTATTGTCTAAAATATTACTACTTGGCATAAAAACCTACTAGATATCCTATCCAGATACAAATCTACCTGGAGTTTAATACCTTAAATTGTGGAGCCCTGATAAAGTTCGGGAATGGATCTGGCAGCCTTTTTGGACTCCTAAGATAAACTCTGGGTTTTCCTATGGTTTCCCAGTAAAGCAGTCCAAAATCTGTGCCAACTACTTGGTGGAGTCTTGTTAGGAGGGCACCATATGGCACGGTTCAAACACTGCCAGCTGCATATCTGACGGTGGGTCTAAAAACTGAGTAGAGAACATCATTTATGCCTTGCCTTATGAAAATTAAAGGATCTTACACATTACCTCCTCCTATTGCCCCATCTACTCGAGCTTTAGAGGCACTTGTTGCTGCAAATTATACCCAACTCTATAACAATCCTGAAGATAGAGTAAAATTTTATTGTGATGCAAACCCACGTATTCCCACGTGGTAGCGGTTTTTGTGATAAAAGGCCATGAAAGCCAGGAAGAAGATTTGCGGATGACAATGTAAAAGACCCCTTCATAAAGTCTGTTTAACTCGTTGCCTCGTTTCCCCTCTCTTTCTATTTGTGGGATGAAAGTTTTGTTGGCTGTAGTATGCTGTGCTAACTATTGTTGTGTTAATGTTTGTGTACAGGCATGGTCCTCACAATAAACGGATTTGTCTTTGAAGTTGTCCTTCTAAAAGGGGAAATTCACAGACACCTCTTTTCAGGGAGGGGGCGTTATTTATAAGACATATTCAACACACTTGGAAAGTATTTGTAGTCAGTAACCTCCGAGGTTCCTTTTAGGCAGCGGTTCTCAACCTGTGGGTCCCCAGATGTTGTTGGACTACAACTCCCATCATCCCTGAGCTCTGGCCTTGCTAGCTAGGGGTGATGGGAGTTGTAGTTCAACAACATCTGGGGACCCACATGCTGAGAAAGGCTGCTTTTAGGCATAATGGTTACTGAAAAGAGTCTCCTGTGAATTTGCCCGATCTGTCCCTAAAATCATGTAAGAGAGCAGCCTTGTAAATCACAGCGGAATAAAGCAATTAACGCTCTTGATTTGTCGCCCTGCATCTCTCTGCTGCGCTCTTGCTTAGCTGCCTGAAGTTAACAAACCCCCTAGCACACGTCTTCTCCCCAGGCCAAACCCCGCAGCGCCCCACCTGGATAAATCCTCAGCTCATGAAGCTCACACTGGGTGACCGTGGAGCCAGTGGCTGCCTCCCAGCCAAACCTACCTCGCAAGGATGTTGTGGAGATTAAATGAGGGGAAGGAGAACCAAGCGTGCCACCTTGGAGGAAATGGTGGAATATAAACGTCATAATAAACGTGATCTTCAACTGTGGCCAGACCTCCTGCTTACCTGGAGGGGCGAGAGTCACAGCCGTTGCCCCAGACACGCAGAAGACGGCCTACAAGAAAACACGGTCCCTACCCACCCTGCTTGCCAACCCATTACCTTGCCAACAAAGGTCTGTATAGTTAAAGCTACTGTTTTCCTGGTAGTGATGTATGGAAGTGAGAGCTGGACCATAAAGAAGGCTGATCACCAAAGAATTGATGCTTTTGAATTATGGTGCTGGAGGAGACTCTTGAGAGTCCCATGGACTGCAAGAAGATCAAACCTATCCATTCTGAAGGAAATCAGCCCTGAGTGCTCACTGGAAGGACAGTTCCTGAAGCTGAGGCTCCAAGACTTTGGCCACCTCATGAGAAGAGAAGACTCCCTGGAAAAGACCCTGATGTTGGGAAAGATGGAGGGCCCAAGGAAAAGGGGACGACAGAGGACGAGATGGTTGGACAGTGTTCTCGAAGCTACTAGCATGAGTTTGACCAAACTGCGGGAGGCAGTGGAAGACAGGAGGGCCTGGCGTGCTCTGGTCCAGGGGGTCACAAAGAGTCGGACACGACTAAATGACTAAACAACAACAACCCACCCCGCTTCAGTTTTTCCTCCTGTTTCACCCCATTCAAGTGGTTCTTTGTTCCGGATCTTTCCTGGCTCTATAAGTATCTTTTTTCTTTTTTGAGATGTGGGCAGGGGATTTTGCATGGCGTTAGGGCCATTAGCCACTCTCATTTGCATCCCCACCCCTAAACCCTTCCCCATATAATTTCCAGACTCGTGACTTTGCTGGGCAGAGGCCATGCAATGAAAAGGGGAACCTGCCTCCGTCAAAAGCAGGTTGTGGGCCGAGGAGGAAGTGCTGTTATCAGCCCCACACAATTATGAATAGGTGGACTGTCTGGGGGAATGTGCCACATACCTGACCAAGCCGCTGCTCTCGGCTTCAGGCGCCATCATCTTCCTGGCAGTGAAAGCCAACTCGTTGACCAGGCTGGGAGCAGGAGGAAAGAATCAGCAGGTCAGGAAAAATTCTCCTTCATGTAGAAGGAAGTGGGGCATTTTTCCCTGCAGGGCAAAGCCGAACTGTCGGCTGAACTACCAACTCTTGTGGTATTGTAAACCGTTCTCCAGTTGGATGGGACAGCAAGGGTTTTATTATGTATTTTGCATTCCCATTTTGTCTTTCTGTTGTAGGGTGGTATAGTAAAGGTAAAGGGACCCCTGACAGTTAAGTCCAACTGCTCTGCTGGCTTCACAGCAAAGCGGGAGAAGGGATGGAATAGGTCTATATTTTTTGTTGTCATCCATATGCCGAAATATTTCATCTTTTTTTTTTTTTATCTGCAACCCTGAGATTCTTCGTAGCTCACTTTTTTCTTGGTTCCCCATATTTTTAACTAATAGATTCGTTTTTTAATACTTTATCTGCGAAGGCTCTTACTTTATACTCCCCCCCATCACAATCCCTTTTATAGTCTCATCTTTTCTAATTTTATTCATTAATATCTCTAACACCAATATAAGGGGCTTGCTGCGCCCCAAATCAATGTCACCAATGCTATTACCTCCCTTACAAGCCACAAGAGGGAGGAAAGGAAGGAAAGTTGAAAGGAAGCGAAGACTGACCTCCGATTTCCGACGATATGAGGTAGCCGTTGCAGAACACCAACGTCGGCTGCCAATCCGACGTCCACTTCCTGGAGGGAGGAGGAGAGACGGGTTCAGGCATCCCGTGACACAGAAGGAAAAGGTCAAAGCGCTTTGGACTGAGATAAAGGGAAGGGCTGTAGCTCGGGGGGTAGAGAGAAGGTTCCATCTTTTGACACCTTCCTGGCAGGGCATGTTAAGAACGTAAAATGATCAGGCCATTGGCCCATGGAACCAGCATCCCCTTCTCACAGTGGCCAAACAGATGTCCTGTATACCTGAAGGAGTGTCTCCACCCCCATCGTTCAGCCCAGACACTGAGATCCAGCACCGAGGGCCTTCTGGCGGTTCCCTTGTTGCGAGAAGTGAGGTTACAGGGAACCAGGCAGAGGGCCTTCTCGGTAGTGGCACCCGCCCTGTGGAACACTGTCCCAGGTGATGTCAAGGCAATAAACAACTATTTTACTTTTAAAAGACACCTGTTTAGGGAAGTTTTTAATGTCTGACGCTGTATTGTTTTTGATATTTGGTTGGAAGCCGCCCAGAGTGGCTGGGGAGACCCAGTCAGATGGGCGGGGTATAAATAATAAATTATTATTATTATTATTATTATTATTATTATCATCATCATCATCATCATTATCAAACCTACAAGCAGGACACAAGCAGTGGAGACCTCTCTCCTGCCTGCGGTTTCCAGCAACTGGTATTCAGAACCATTCCTTCCTCTGACCACAGAGGCAGAGCAGAGCTATCGTGGCTGGTAGCCGTATTCTTTTAAAAGCCATCCAATACGGTGGCCATAATTGCTTTCTGCAGGAGCGAGTTCCATAGTTTAACTACAGACTCTCCAACTGTACACTAAGAAATATTTAATAAACATATATTTAAGTTGCAAAAAAACAAAACAAAACAAAAAACCTACATACTCTCCAAGTGTTCTTGCATTCCGAAGACAGTCCTGAATTTACAAAAGCCATCCCGGTTTCTGATTTGCTCCTGGAATGTCCTGCTTTACCTTTAAAAAAGGTAAAGGGACCCCTGACCGTTAGGTCCAGTCGTGACCGACTCTGGGGTTGTGGCGCTCATCTCGCTTTACTGGCCAAGGGAGCCGGCGTACAGCTTCTGGGTCATGTGGCCAGCATGACTAAGCTGCTTCTGGCGAACCAGAGCAGCGCACGGAAACACCGTTTACCTTCCCACCAGAGTGGTACCTATTTATCTACTTGCACTTTGACGTGCTTTTGAACCGCTAGGTTGGCAGGAGCAGGGAGTGAGCAACAGGAGCTTACCCCGTGGCGGGGATTCGAACCGCCGACCTTCTTATCGGCAAGTCCTAGGCTCTGTGGTTTAACCCACAGAGCCACCCGCGTCCCCTGCTTTTCCTTAAGACGTCCCTATTTTCACCCAAGAAATGTTGGGAGGGTATGGCAAGATGTCCCTGGTTTTATTGGAGAAATGTTGCAAAGGATCTGGAGTTATGTGACCCCCCCAAGACAAGTAACTATGCAAACCTTCAGAAGACAACTGAAGGCAACCGTTCAGACCCTCCAAGTTCCCCTATTTTCCAGGGATAGTCCCGGATTTACAGAAGCCGTCCCGGTTTCTGATTTGATCCCAAAATGTCCCACTTTTCTGGAGGACATCCCTATTTTCATTGGAGAAATGTTGGAGGACATGGAGTTATATGATCCTTGACCCATCAAAATGCAGCCCTTCTTCAGGTTTTTAAATGTTTTTATTAGGCTTCTAGATATGTTGGAAGCCTCCCAGAGTGGCTGGGGCAACCAAGTCAGGGGGATGCGGTATAAATAATAAAATTATTATTAGTGCTGTTGTTGTTATGGAACGCCACTTCCAAGCTGGAGAGGCGGTGGGGTTGCGGGCTCACCACCTCCCCACGCATGCGGGGGCTGACTCACAGTCCCCTCGAGAATGAGGGAATCCTCGGGCGCGTCATCTCCCTGTCCAGCCAATCGGCTGGCCAGGGAGGCGTGGCCCGGGCTATTTAGGGCCGGCACGACTGAGGACCTCCCTCTCTGCTTTGCTCCAGCTGCTCCGGATGGGGGGAGGGAGGAATGAGAGGGGGGAAAGGAAGCGCCATCACCTTCCTCCAAAGCAAAGGGTAGTCCGGCAAAGGATTCCGGGCAGCGTTGCCCTGTCCGAAGCCTACGGAGGTGTGGGCCTAAGGCACGCCCCCGAGTGGTGACCCCGGGGGAGGTCCTAGTTGATGTACATCATCAGGACTCCCCCTACTGGTGGTTAACCCTTGCCGGCCTTCATGCAATCAGGCTGAAGCCGGTTAGTCGATAGGACCAATGCCTAAGCCAATACCGCTCAATTTCTGCAGTCAATAAAGTTGTGGCCTTTTCCGCCCATTAACCTTAAATACTGTGCCCTGTGTCTTTATTTTCCAAGGGGGGAGGCGGGACTTGCCACGCAATAGGATGCCCCTCTTTTCATCGGAGAAATGTTGGAGGGTATGTAACTATCCACTGAACATTTTCTTATGTTTCTCCTGAATTTTCCTGAATGTCCCTTGTCTGGAGTCCTGGAGAGCTTCTGCCACTGCCAGTCACTGTAGTTAATAATGAGCTAGACAGACCAAGGGTATGACTTGTTGAAAGGAACCTTCCTCTGTTCCTAAGGGGCTTGGAGCAAGACTAACAAGCCAGGTAGGTTCCCCTGGGAAGAAAGGTGATAGGAGCTCTCACAACACACCTTAACCTGGAACCAGGCGTCTTGAGTACAGTAGCGGATATCGCAGGCGGAGATGAGATTCATACCTGCAGAGGGAACAAGAACAGGTAAACAATGCTGTTCACGTCCCAATACAGTGGTGCCTCGCAAGACGAAATTAATCCGTTCCGCGAGTGTCTTCGTCTAGCGGTTTTTTCGTCTTGCGAAGCAACCCTATTAGCGGCTTAACGGATTAGCGCTATTAGCGGTTTAGCGGCTATTAAAGGCTTAAAGGCTTAGCGGATTAGCTGCTAAAAGGCTATTAAAGGCTTAGCGGCTTAGATAAAGGGGGGGGAAAGCGAAAAAAATCTCAAGACTCGCAAGACATTTTCGTCTTGCGAAGCAAGCCCATAGGGAAATTCGTCCTGCGAAGCAACTCAAAAACGGAAAACCCTTTTGTCTAGCGGGTTTTCCGTCTTGCGAGGCATTCGTCTTGCGGGGCACCACTGTAGAAGGATGCTCAGCAGCTAAACATTCAGCACGTTTCCAGATCTAGGGCCAGAAGATGAATATGCATCAAGATAAGCATTTTCGGGTTGCGCTCCGCGGTGACCCGGAAGTAACGGAGCGCATTACTTCCAGGTTTCGCCACTCGCACATGCGCTCAAAATGACGTCACGCGCATGCGCGGAAGCAGCGAAATGCGACCTCGCAGTCGCATCTTACGTTCGCTTCAGGATGCGAACGGGGCTCTGGAACGGATCCCATTTGCATCCAGAGGTACCACTGTATAAGTTACATGCTGATTAATACGGCAGCGAATCTAAATGGTTCACGTAAAGCATGCTGAATGCAAAAAACAAAATTTTATTTTAATTTTTATTAGATTTATTTACTGCCCTTCATCCAAAGATCTCAGGGCGGTTCACAAGATAAAAACAGTAGATAAAAGCACAAATAAATAGTTAAAGTACAGTGGTACCTCGGGTTAAGAACTTAATTCGTTTCGGAGGTCTGTTTTTAACCTGAAACTGTTCTTAACCTGAAGCACCACTTTAGCTAATGGGGCCTCCTGCTGCTGCCGCACCGCCGGAGCATGATTTCTGTTCTCACCCTGAAGCAAAGTTCTTAACCCGAGGTACTATTTCTGGGTTAGCAAAGTCTGTAACCTGAAGCGTCTGTAACCTGAAACGTATGTAACCCGAGGTACCACTGTATTAGAAAAAGTCAGCAACGTACTGATAACGTGATACACTATGCAAACCACTTGGTGTGGTTTTTTTTTCATTACAGTCAAGCAGTATACATGTTTCGTTAAATAACAGTATATAAGTGTGCTGCAATAATACTCAGCAGAACTTCGTAAAAACCGAGGAAAACTATTTATGTAAAACTGAGCAAGGAACATGTGCACCAAAAGAAATTAAAAAAATAGGGCTGAGAGTCCAGGAAAGCCTGCGTTATATGTTTTAAAGGTTATATATTTAATATGTCTGGGAACCTGCAACCAGGTGCGGACCTGATTCGCTTCAGCTGTGTGACATCCTCGGGTGCCTTCAGATTACACCCATTTAAGAGAAAGGAAAGTTGATTATGTAGCTGAAGTGTGGATCAAGTGCTTTTCAGAATGGTTTTTAAAATATATTTATATTTAGAAATAATAAACGTTACAACACTGCTCCCTGCAGTTGGGATAGCTGAGGGAGTTTAAAAGACACATATTAGAAGCAAAAAAAACTTGTCTTGATGAATTGGAAGAGCTGCAAAAAGATTCCATTGAGCACACGGATTGATAATATGGACAGATTAGCTACATACGAACGAATTGCATGTCGAAGCAAATTAAGAATGGATGAATATGAAGAGATCTGGAATGAATATTTAAGCGAGAAGACGGATAGTGGTGGGAAGTAGGGGGAGGAGAGAGAGGTGGGAAAATATTGTTTAAAAAGGTGTAGTCAGAGGTATAGCAGTGTATTCAAATCTGAATTGTCAAATTGTGTACAGTGTTATGTGTTGATTTTTGTTTCTATTCCTTTTTCCTTTTTCTTTTCTTGTAATATAGTGGTACCTCGGGTTAAGTACTTAATTCGTTCTGGAGGTCTGTACTTAACCTGAAACTGTTCTTAACCTGAAGCACCACTTTAGCTAATGGGACCTCCTGCTGCCGCCGGAGCCCGATTTCTGTTCTCATCCTGAAGCAAAGTTCTTTAACCTGAAGCCCTATTTCTGGGTTAGCGGAGTCTGTAACCTGAAGCGTATGTAACCCGAGGTACCACTGTATTTAATAAAAACTAATGAAAAAAAAGGGGAAAAAAACCAAGATCAAAATACATAATAAAGAAAAAGAAATAAAAGCTGCTGCTGAAATGCCAGATTTGGCCCATGGTTACCTGTTGCAACTTGCAACATCCACAAAACTACTGCAGTTGTGAGGGGGAATGGTGGAAGCGGGGAAGGGGGGGGGTTGTTTCAGGTTATTTATGACGCAAGCGTTGCAGACTCACCTCCTCCAATGCAGCCCCCGTGGACGGCAACAATTACGGGCTTAGGGCACTAAAAGACAAAGGAACAGTTAGCCGTGGATGAAGATGGTTTCTCATCCAAGGGTGGGGCAAACTGCAGGATCAGCCCACGCACCTTCTCCAAGACCGTGAAGGTTTCTTGATACTCCCGGATCTTCTGGTGGATGTTCCAAGCCTTCCGGGCTGTGTCGTCTCCTGGTATCATCAGGAACGTGCTGCCCATCTCCATCAAGTCAATACCTGCCGGGCGAGAGCATGGGAGAACCAGGACGGCTCACGTTACTCCCAAATAAGTGACACCCCGTCTCAATTCTGTGCCGCTGCTTTGCTCAAAAGAAACTTCCCAGCTTCTTCAGAAAACCTGTTTGTTTATCCTGATTTGCTTGCACAAAGCTCACACAGTGGTTAGGCTGCCCCAAGCTTTACTGAGCATCCTTTTGTATATGGGACAGCTTATGAGACAATAAGCACCCATCCTCGCTTGCTTACATGGTAAAGGTAAAGGTACCCCTGCCCGTACGGGCCAGTCGTGTCCAACTCTAGGGTTGCGTGCTCATCTCGCTCTAGAGGCCGTGAGCCGGCGCCGTCCGAAGACACTTCTGGGTCACGTGGCCAGCGTGACAAAGCTGCAGCTGGCGAGCCAGCACCAGCGCAGCACAAGGAAACGCCGTTTACCTTCCCGCTATAAAGCGGTACCTATTTATCTACTTGCACTTAAGAGTGCTTTCGAACTGCTAGGTGGGCAGGAGCTGGGACCGAACGACGGGAGCTCACCCCGCCGCGGGGATTCGAACCGCCGACCATACGATCGGCAAGTCCTAGGCACTGAGGTTTTACCCACAGCGCCACATTAATGTTTACCCATTAATCAGTCTTTTGTAATAAATAATAATAATAATAAGTTATTATTTATACCCCGCCCATCTGGATGAGTTTCCCCAGCCACTCTGGGCGGCTTCCAATCAAGTGTTAAAAACAATACAACATTACATATTAAAAACTTCCCTGAACAGGGCTGCCTTCAGATGTCTTTTAAAGATAAGATAGCTGCTTATTTCCTTCACATCTGAAGGGAGGGTGTTCCAAAGGGCGGGCGCCACTACCGAGAAGGCCCTCTGTCTGGTTCCCTGTAACCTCGCTTCTCACAATGAGGGAACCGCCAGAAGGCCCTCGGTGCTGGACCTCAGCATCCAGGCAGAACGATGGGGGTGGAGACGCTCCTTCAGGTATACTGGGCCAATGGCCCTTTAGGGCTTTCAAGGTCAGCACCAACACTTTGAAAGTATGTCCCATACTTTTCAACACATTTCCTGGCCACTTTCCAAACGGCAAAAAGTATTCTTTTTTAAAAGTGGATTTGTTGCGCTAGGGTGATTGACTCCTTTAAATTCACAACGCTAAAGTTACAGTATACGCATGAACTCCTAAAATTGCGGCAGTCTGTAGGCACCCAACGTTTTGTTCCAAAGACCTCCACGTTCTGTGTTGTGCAAAAGAGCTGCACAACAGACACTTGTGCATGTGCAGTTTTAATGCTCCCCATAACAGTCAGAAAAACTGTTTTTGTGTTTCTTAACACCTCTTTCACACACATGAGGCACAACAGACTCTGGACAAACAAAAGGACACACTTTACAGCTCAAGTGCTTTTGCCTGGCTAGAACGGATCCTTGCGCTCCGACAATGCCTTTTGTGTGTCAGGATGGAGAGGGGAGTGTGAGTGTTTGCAGCAATTGCCCTCCAGCCCATTTTCCCCTCTGCCTCCACCGACCACTGACACGTCGCCCTGAGAATGTTACCTGGAAGGGAATGAGGCCCTCCGGAGAGAAAAGGTTCCCTGCCCCACTTTGTTGTTGTTTAGTTGTTTAGTCATGTCCGACTCTTCGTGACCCCCTGGACAAGAGCACGCCAGGCACTCCTGTCTTCCACTGCCTCCCGCAGTTTGGTCAGACTCATGCTGGTAGCTTCGAGAACACTGTCCAACCATCTCATCCTCTGTCGTCCCCTTCTCCTTGTGCCCTCAATCTTTCCCAGCACCAGGGTCTTTTCCAGGGAGTCTTCTCTTCTCATGCGGTGGCCAAAGTATTGGAGCCTCAGCTTCAGGATCTGTCCTTCCAGTGAGCACTCAGGGCTGATTTCCTTCAGAATGGAGAGGTTTGATCTTCTTGCAGTCCATGGGACTCTCAAGAGTCTCCTCCAGCACCATAATTCAAAAGCATGAGTTCTTTGGCGATCAGCCTTCTTTATGGTCCAGCTCTCACTTCCATACATCACTACTGGGAAAACCATAGATTTAACTATACGGGCCTTTGTTGGCAAGGTGATGTCTCTGCTTTTTAAGATGCTGTCTAGGTTTGTCGTTGCTTTCCTCCCAAGAACCAGGTGTCTTTTAATTTCGTGCCTGCTGTCACCACCTGCAGTGACCATGGAGCCCAAGAAAGTAAAATCTCTCACTGCCTCCATTTCTTCCCCTTCTATTTGCCAGGAGGTGATGGGACCAGTGGCCAGGGGTGCCCCACTTTAAGAAGAGTTAATTTTTTCCCCAGGAGCCAGCCTCTACAGCAGCCCAGGAACTTTCTACCCTAAAGCAGGAGAAACATCTTTCTAGTCCTCAGCATCTCTCCTCACCTACCTGAGGTGAACATTTTCCCGGCGCCAGATACCACCACCACATGGCATTCGGAGTCCTGAGCAATCTTGTTGAAGCACTCCACCATCTCCCTAGGACAAGAGGGTAGGGTGAGAGAGAGAGAGAGACAAAAAAAGAGGGTGAGTTTGGGAACACCTCCTGCCACCTGGAGAACACCTTCTACCAGTGGAAGGAAGCCACTTGACTGAAGCAGGTTGATGCATGTCTTGCCTAACAAGTCTTCTAAGCAATCTCATGTGGCGCCGCATGGAGGCGACAGCGCATACGACTGTGTGCTGGGCTTCGACTTTAGAGAAGGGAGTACAACGGCAGATTCATTTTCTGCTAGCCCTACGCTGGGGCAGCATAAGCAGCCATCAGCAACGCCACCCACTGAGTTTATTCTGTGGCTTTTTCCTCCTCTATCTCCAGTGTATCTTCTGATGTTGTGCAAAGGACCAGCTTCCGGGGAGGGGGGGTTATCAACATACCTATCACTGTTTCCTTTATGAATAATTATTAATATTTTTCTTACAATAAGAAAATAAGGAGGCCAGATACAGGATAAAGGAAGTCTTTTATTTGGTTGTTTGTATTGTTGTATGTTATGTTTACTGTATTTCTGTACTGGGGGGCGGGGTTTATGTTATGTTGTAAATAAAATTTCCAAAATAAAAATTTTCAGAATACTTATCACTTGGGCACTTCCTTTCCTGGAGACAAGAGAGCTGAGGAGGTGGGACATTTCATCTTATCCATAAAAGAAATTCTGAGCCCCTCCCCACCAGCCCCCATTGTCCAGACAATTTGTTTCCATGCTCACAAGCCTACACACCCAGTCTTTAAAAACTGGCATGAATTCAGCCCGGTTGTAAAACTGAAAAGATTTTTGCTGCTGACAAATCCAAGTTCTCGTTGCTTAAAGGTAAAGGTAAAGGGACCCCTGACCATTAGGTCCAGTTGTGGCCGACTCTGGGGTTGCGGCCCTCATCTCGCTTTATTGGCCGAGGGAGCCGGCGTACAGCTTCCGGGTCATGTGGCCAGCATGACTAAGCCGCTTCTGATGAACCAGAGCAGCGCACGGGAACGCCGTTTACCTTCCCGCTGGAGCGGTACCTATTTATCTACTTGCACTTTGACGTGCTTTCGAACTGCTAGGTTGGCAGGAGCTGGGACAGAGCAATGGGAGCTCACCCCGCCGCGGGGATTCGAACCACCGACCTTCTGATTGGCAAGCCCTAGGCTCTGTGGTTTAACCCACAGCGCCACCCGCGTCCCTCTTAGATTGCTTAGATTGCTCTAAAGATGTGTTGGGGATGGGGATAGGGGGGAAACAAACAAACAAAACAAAACACTTGCTGATGAAAATGATCCAAGGTCACATGCCTTAGTTTCTTATCCAATGGCTGAATGAATGTGCCTTGCTGTGTTAGGCTGCAGGTACTGGGCCAATGAGAAGCTGCAATGGTGCTGGGTCTTCTGCCCTTACCAAGCCTCTTAAAAGTCCGGTAGCTGGCGTCTTATCTACCATCTTCAAAACGCTCAGATTGTTGCATACTGAAAACAGATGCCCCCTCCTGCGATCTTTTCCATTAGTTCCCTGTTACCTCCAGAAAGCAGCATTCATGGCATTCCTTTTCTCTGGCCGGTTGAGCTCCACGTGCAAAACCTTCTCTTTCACCCGCTCTAGCTTCAGGGTTTCATAGGTGTCCAAGGCCTTGGGCTTCTCCGGCGGTTGCGACGACATCGTCCTTAAACTGAGGCAGGGAGCAGGACGGGTCAGCAGGTCTGGGGGCAAAAATGCACTGTTAATGGGGAAACCAAGAAATATCAACAACCTCAGAAATGCAGATGACACAACCTTGATGGCAGAAAGTGAGGAGGAATTAAAGAACCTTTTAATGAGGGTGAAAGAGGAGAGCGCAAAATATGGTCTGAAGCTCAACATCAAAAAAACGAAGATCATGGCCACTGGGCCCATCACCTCCTGGCAAATAAAAGGGGAAGAAATGGAGGCAGTGAGAGATTTTACTTTCTTGGGCTCCATGATCACTGCAGATGGTGACAGCAGTCACGAAATTAAAAGACACCTGCTTCTTGGGAGAAAAGCAATGATAAACCCAGACAGCATCTTAAAAAGTAGAGATATCACCTTGCCAACAAAGGTCCATATAGTTAAAGCTATGGTTTCCCCAGTAGTGATGTGTGGAAGTGAGAGATGGACCATAAAGAAGGCTGATCACCAAAGAATTGATGCTTTTGAATTCTGGTGCTGGAGGAGACTCCTGACAGTCCCATGGACTGCAAGAAGATCAAACCTCAAGGAAATTAGCCCTGAGTGCTCACTGGAAGGACAGATCCTGAAGCTGAGACTCCTAATACTTTGGCCACCTCATGAGAAGAGAAGACTCCCTGGAAAAGACCCTGATGCTGGGAAAGATGGAGGGCACAAGGAGAAGGGGACGGCAGAGGACGAGATGGCTGGATAGCGTTCTCGAAGCTACTAACATGTGTTTGACCAAACTGCGGGAGGCAGTGGAAGACAGAAGTGCCTGGCGTGCTCTGGTCCAGGGGGTCACGAAGAGGCGGACACGACTAAACGACTAAACAACAACAAATGGGGAAACCCCTCTGCGGACTCAAAAGGGGGTCAAATAAAATGAAGGGGATTGAGCAAGAAGGAGAGAGAAAACAATGTAGGCGCCACCTTGAGCTACTTGAAGGAAAAGGCTGGATAGAAATACAATGTGATAAAGCAGCTTAGGGTTCAAAGTGCCTGGAAAGGAGTGACTCAAATAACACTCATTTTTCTTTCTTTTTTTTAAGCCCCCAATGCACCCACCCAAAAAAGAGAGAAACCCCCTAGCAAAGTTGCCTCACAATCCTTCCTGGGTTCAGGAAGCCATTTAAAAACAGGAGACCTTATTTACTGTCGAGTCACCTTTGCCCTACTTCGGAGAGGGGAAGGGCGACAGGAAAGGCAAGAGAGTCTCTGACAGGGGGGAAAGGTGGTGGATAATAAGTAAGTAAATAAACGAATGAATAAATAAAGAAAGAAAAACAACAACAGAGTTTTGGGGTTCGGTGCCACCCGTTGTGCCAACGACACCATCCGCTCCATTTCTCTTTTCCGTCTGAATCCATGGAAGCAGCCACGGTCATTTCTTATTGGTATATATCCTTATATTCTTGAACAGATTATATATACGCAGGTAATAATAATAATAAAAATAATAATTTATTTATATCCCGCCCATCTGGCTGGGTCTCCCCAACCACTCTGGGCGGCTTCCAACAAAGTATTAAAATACAGTGGTCTGTTAAACATTAAAAGCTCCCCTAAAGGTAGTTTTTGAATCCTATTAGTGCTTAAACCCCCCCAAAAAATATTGTTTTCCAAACATACACACGCACACACCAAACCCCCCTGTTTTAAGGCGGTTCTTGTTTTTAACCCGCAGGCTCGCTGCCTTGAGCCCCTGCAATAAAATTAAAAAAAATAAAATAAAAAAGAAATGATATAAAAATAATATAAAATAAAATATAAAATAAATATAAATAAAATAAAAATAATAGGGAAAAGACACGCCTTCCCTCCACAAGGAGAGCAAAAAGAGGAGAGAAATAAGGCAGGTGAGAAGGAAAACCACCCCCTCCAAGGAAGTGGGGAGCCCCCAACTCACGCCTGGGCAGGAGACCCCTCAGAACGACTCCCGCAGACACCGCCATGTCTTCCTCCGACTGACGGGCGAAGGTGGGCGGGGAGGCTGGAGGCCGCACCACAGAGTCGGAAGGCTAGAAGGTCCCCTCACCTAGCTCCTCCTCCGCTCCAGCCAGCCAATCGTCGCCGCCGCCGCCGCCGCTCCCACTTCTTCTTCCCTCTGCTCCGCAAAGAATATTGCAAGCGGAAGGGGCGGGGCCTATTCGCTCATGATCCAATCGGTTCGTCGCTCCCACCCCTTTTCCCACCTTCTTGCTGCGCCGGAAGGAGCACGTGGGAAAGGGCAAACTGGAAGCGCTGCGTGAAGTTTGCCTTGCCATAGAGTCGAGGGCCCATCTTGGGAGCCAAGCAACGCAGAAAAACTAAGTTTTAATTTATATATTTTTTAACTGTTGCTATTTCTGTATTGTCCCTGTTATACCTAATTGCAAATTCAAATGTATCCCTATCGTGTTTTATGACTTCCTTGATATTGTATGTGGGCTGGAACTGGTCTGTGACCAAAATAATATTCAATATTCAATTCAACACAGAAAAGGGAGTTCAGGAGTTGATCCCTGGAGATCATCTAGTCCAGGCACGTCCAACAGGTAGATCAGGCATAGGGAAACTCGGCTCTCCAGTTGTTTTGGGACTACAACTCCCATCATGCCTAGCTAACCAGAACCAGTGGTCTGGGATGATGGGAGTTGTAGTCCCAAAACATCTGGAGCACCAAGTTTGACCTGTAGATCACTGGACGTCTAGTAGATCACCGGCTTTCCCCAAAGCTCAACAACTTTGCACCCCCTAAAAAGCTCAACAAGTTTGACCCAAACCCCCCAAAACAGGCCTTCCTCCTGCCTCTCAACAATGTAGACCTGAACCACCCAAAACAGGGTAGATCACTACTAGTTTTTAACTGTGAGTAGATGGCAGCTTCTTGGGAGTTGGCCACTGGATCTAGTCCATTCCTCTGCAATGGAGGAATCTCTCGCTCAACATCCCTGTTACAAGTCTCTGCAAGGGAGGTTGGGGAAGGGGTGTGTGTTGAATTTATGCCAATTATTACTAAACTCAAGGCTGGATAGACATTGGTTTTTCACCATTACAAAAATTGAAGCGTTGCTTCTGTTAAAATATTATGGTAGGGAAGATCAGGAACCACAGTCACACCGCCTCATTACCTGTTTTTCCAACTTTGGAGCGAGTATGAAAACTTAACTGGTACACAAACCAGTTGCAGGCAGGTGGAGGTCACCTCTTAGCATCCATGGCAGTTTTTGATGTTTCGTTCATGACTGGAAGCCACTGAATTTTTAAAGCAGGCACTGTATAAATATTTAGCCTGCAATGCTGCTAAATGCACACTCATAAGAGAAATCAACTTCCAAGTAAATAAGGTTGGCCCTTGACTATAGAACAGTTGAGCCCTCTGGGAGAGCGCACCATACGGAGTCAAGCACATCGAACACATTACCATTGCACTTTTTATTCCTGTAGTCTTTGCTTACGACATCAAATTCTCAAAATCAGAATATACAAGAAGAAATGGAAGATTCTGAGTCCACATTTGAATTAGTATGTCCTGTGGAACTCCCTACTGGTAAAAGATTGAAGAGAGAAGAGTGTTTTTTGCCAGACCTATTTTGAAAAGGTTTATGTTTAGACAAGTAAGTATTTCGTACTTGTTTACCAATATTTTATTTGTTAATCCAAGCAGTGTTTATGATTTGTATGTTTCTGTTGATTTTATTTTTAAATGCTGCATTCCACATTGCTATTATTTTTCATGAAAGTGCAGATTATAAATCCAGAAATAAGTAAATTATTCTAGTTAGTGTTTTTGATTTCTGAGCAGTCAGTCTTGACAGTTCCATTATGCCTCCTTCCATGAAATCAAAGGTTAAGGGGACAAAACCACACACCAAGGCCCCACCAATACTAACCATGTACATCCCTCCTCTGTACTTGAAAAATCCCTGCCAAAAGTTCAAGCAAACTTTTTCAAGAGCCCCACTACACCACCAATATAGACAACCACAGAGGTATTTTCCAAACAGCTTTATTAAGGTGTGCCAAGTTGCACAGGCAGCACATTGTAAGACTGGGGGGGTGGGGGGAACAAGTCACATGTACAATAGTTTTAAAATGTCGCCCGAACTCCACAGGGCTTCTTCTTCTTCCCAGCTGACATAGCTGCAGGCAGCCTCTACTTAAGCTTTTTCTTTCTTTTTTTAAAAAAAGGAATGCAGGGCACTTTGAAAAAACCCACACACACAAAAAGAGTAACGGAGGAAGTCTTCCTTGGCAGGAGCCAAACAAAATTTACGAGGCATGCTGAGCAGTCGAGAAGCACAGTTTCAGTGTGTACGGATACGGCCCATCTAGGCAGAAGAAGAGACATGCATCAGGGTCCCCTGAGCTTTATTTGTTTTTATGGCAACACAAGGGATGTATGTATTCAGAGTATGTGTCATGCCCATGGGTGCATATGCAGAGTCTAGGCCGCCACAGCCAACAGGCTTGAAAGAAGAATTCTATTGTAGCCACTGGAAGACTTTTTTTTAAAAAAAACAGCTAATTGCAATATGGGAAAATGCCCCCACTTCCAAATAAGCTTGGAAAAAACTCCTTCACTGGCTACAGAAGAAAACATTTTTTTAGGGGTAACTACAATGGAGACAGGGACACGGGTGGCGCTGTGGGTTAAACCACAGAGCCTAGGACTTGCCGATCAGAAGGTCGGCGGTTCAAATTCCCCGTGACGGGGTGAGTTCCCGTTGCTCGGTCCCAGCTCCTGCCAACCTAGCAGTTCAAAAGCACGTCAAAGTGCAAGTAGATAAATAGGTACCGCTCCGGCGGGAAGGTAAACGGCGTTTCCGTGCGCTGCTCTGGTTCGCCAGAAGCGGCTTAGTCCTGCTGGCCAAATGACCCGGAAGCTGTACGCCGGCTCCCTCGGCCAATAAAGCGAGATGAGCACTGCAACCCCAGAGTCGGCCATGACTGGACCTAATGGTCAGGGGTCCCTTTAGCTTTACCATGGAGATGGGCAATTTCCAGGGGGTGGGTGTCACTGCTGGGATGCCCCATGACAGTTCCTCCAGTTTGCGAGTGTGCTCATGGGACACGTTTTTAAAGTTTGGCGATCTCTGATTTGGACCAATTTGATGGGACCTGCTTGCCTACTTACGTAGGCAAAAGCAATGGTATCAAGAGTATTGAAAGGGGGGGGTTCAGAAAAAAAGAGCCTATTACAATACAGGCTGAACCTCAAAGTTTAGGCCCAGTTGGCAGTGAGCCCACGCGGGAGCCTGCCCTCCTCCCTGCCCTTTTCAACATAGTTGGTGTTCATGGTAGTGGCAGCAGCAGCCCAACAGCAGACCTTCCAGTAGGCCCTAGATCAGGTGTGCAGAAACTGTGGCCCTTCAAACGTCACAGTAACTAACTCCCCATCAGCCCCAGCCAGTGTGGCCAATGGAAAGGATGAAGTTGCAGGCCAGCAACATGGGGGGAGCATATAGATAATGCTGCCTTAACAATTCCAAAAGTGTCAGAAACCTGTTGGCAACTACTCCACTTCCTGCCAGCAGGAGGTTTTAGGGAAAAAGCCTCCAACCCACAACATGCACACCCCACAGAGCTTACTTGGGTTTTTCATCTGGTAATGGTTGAGGAATGCCAGAGTCTCCAGGGCATCACCCTTGGTTTCCCATTCCAGCAAGCCAGAGGAGCTCCTTTCACCTATGAAGATGTTAACAGTGAAGACATAGTTGGGCCACCATGGAGAATGTGCACAGGACTGGCTGGCCGGCCAGGGTGGCTAAGAAAGGGGAACGATGCTGTTTCCCCACCCATACACCATTTAAATCTTCAAGGCTCTTCCCTGGCCCAAGTGAAAGCATGTTGCAGCCAGCCTTAGTTTTGCTGCCTCAACAAACACTGTTCTGAACACCAGTATAAGGTAAAATGGACAAGCTGATGTGGAGCCCGGTGTTTTAACTAGCTAGCTGAGGTGAACCATCCAGCCCTTATTCCTGCTTGCTGAATAGCAGCATTTTGAGGCTTGAAAACTGCAGCATGTACTTACTTTTCCCCGAAAACACCTTGACTGAAGCTGGTCTCTTCACCCCCAGTTCATCACAGATCTGACAGGATAAAAATACAATGCAAGTGTTAAGTTATGAAACTGATGGCAGAGTTTTTTATAACATGCATGTTAAGTCATGTTCAGTTTCCAAATCCCAGAGAAGAAAAATGCTTTTGCACCGCGAACAGTTACTTATCTAGAACGTAAGGTGCCGGGGACATGACAAATAACTTGTAGTCCTATTTTCACAGAATGTTTTAGCACTGCCACATCGTCCCTTCCTTCCCACACCTATGATGTGGCAATCCTCCTAGGGAGCCAAATACCGGGCGAGGCCTGTGATCCATCTGGGCAGCAGGCCTTGGCACACCTCTTGAGACTCTCCCTTGGCCAGACCAACTGCCGAACTCCCTTTTCTATGTTACCTGACTCCAAGATGGGCCTGAGGCATTACCTCGTAGAAGTTATCTTCTGTCACCTCCAGAGGAGCATTGAAGAAATGAAGCACATTACTGGGGTGCTGGATCCTGTTCTTGGCTGCTTGCTCCGGGGTTGAAAACCGGTTGTTCCGAGAGCCGCTGAAATCCTTGTAGCTGCATGAACCGTCTTCAAGGCCGTAAGACTGGCCAGGCATGATGGCCTGTTGCTTGGAAACACTGTCGGAAGGAAACGCACAGCTTAAGAGCGGGCAAATGTTAAGGGCAAGGAGCAGCCTTCAAGGGCAGAGAACCGAGCAGAATGAGCCCTGAGGAGAGAATTTGACGAAAATGATGTATAGATGGTATATTACACCAGTGAAATTAGCTAAAATGTATAAGACAAATAATAGATGTTGGAAATGTAAAGAAAATGAAGGAACATTTTATCACATGTGGTGGGAATGTAAGAAAGTAAAGAACGTTTGGGAAATGATATATAATGAGATGAAAAAGATGTCGAAATATACATTCTTAAAAAGACCAGAAGCATTTTTACTTGGTATTATAGGCCAAGACATTAATAGACAAGATGTCAAACTGTTCATATATGCAGCAACAGTGGCAAGAGTATTGTTAGCCCAGAAATGGAAACAAGAAGAAATTCCGACAAAAGAAGAATGGCAGACAAAATTAATGGACTATGCAGAATTGGATAAAATGACAGGAAGGATTCGAAACCTGCGGGACCAGAGATTTACAGAAGATTGGAAGAAGTATATGAATTATTTGAAGAGCAACTGTAATCAACAAATTACGCTAGTAGGACTACAAGAAGTTTTGTAAGGAGAAATATACAAAGTGTTACAAAGTAGAAAAAGATAGAGATATTGGTTATGAGTTTAAAATGTAATAGGAAAAATAAGAAATGCATACTAGGAGATTAGATTGGAAAATTTTCAGACAGGACTGATGGAAGTCAAAAAAATTGAATAAGATGTAAAAGTATGTTTAATTACGGTTGAAAATGATATGTTAATATATATATATATATAAATGAATGAGCCCTGATGAAAATTAGGGGTAGCAGCACTCACCATACATTCAGCTTTTGATCAAACATGAAGTTGTTGTTCAGGTGAGTGATTGCTCGGTCCACCGCGTAACCGTCAGCCATCTCCACCATGGCAGCTCCAGGCTTGCTCTTCATGAACTTCACCTAACAAAACACAAACCTTTGTTGAAACACAATCAACTGTTGGCATGGATCGATCCCTTTTGGAAACAAAACCCCAACTCTAAGGTATAGCCACAAACCTGCACTCGAGGCATTTACTGTGTGGACACTGGGCACAAGAGTGTAGCCAGTGTATCCAGTATTAACTTTCCTCAGTCGCCTGTAGATTCCTTAGCCAATCCCGCCACCATCTTTCATTTGGCCACTGGTTTGCAGGAGGCACATTTTTTAATTGAATTGCAAGTACGAGCTTCCCTTACTCAGCAACCACTTGCCTTTTTAAAATTCAGCCCTGTTTTCCTGCTGCATTAGGAACGAGGTTCTATACTCTTGGCATTCTGGACACTCTGGTTCAACTTTCAGTGACTGAGAACCTATGAGAACTGTCTTCTCAAAAGAGTAAATTCCCAGTATCAGAAAGCCCCCCGTCACTGCAGCAAGACATAAGAAACCTACTGCCATCAAATTCCACTCTCATCAGTTTCAGGGGTTGACATTATCAAGCATCTGCTGCAACCAACACCTCTCTTCCTTTTTCCTGTTGCTGCCTGTTCATCTGACCTCAACAGAGCAGTGAGAGGAACCAGGAACAAGAACAGCAGCAGCAATCTTTGAAGCTTTGCCCTGCTCATCACCCTGGGTGTGTTGGTGAAATGGCCCCAGAAAGATGGGGCACACAAGTGGGCGGTACGAGCAGAGAGAGGAAGAGGAGATGGAGCCTGAAGACCAGACATGGAAGTAATCTCAACGCCATATACAACTCATATCATGACAAAGAGAGCTCAGAGCTAGACCACAGCGAAGAGAACTGAGAGTGTCTCTTTCCAGTGGCATCAAGTCATTTGTACAGGTCTGCTTCCAAATCAAGGGGGAAGAGTAATCTTCTGCTGCCTAACCTCTACTGCTGAAAGATAATATAGGCCCATCCATCATCACGACGGCAAGCAGAACTGCACTGTCGTTTTGCCAGCAAGCTCAACATGTGTTCTCCGACTCAGCTTCTCAAATTTGGGTAAAAGGAGCAAGACAGAGCAGGCTCTGGGAGAAGGAGACAGTCAGCTTTAATTACCTTCTCCACATTTCCGTACAGGCAGAAGACGTTGAACACTCTGTCACAGTTCATCTTCGACTGATCCAAGCCATAAACCATCAGGACTGCGCTGTCAGCATGGGGGCCATACTCTGGGGGTGGGGGTGGAGGAGGGGGGTGTCCATACTGAGGCCCGTAGCGGCTCGGCCCCCTATGGCGGCCCCCGACAGGTGGGCCCATCCGCCTCCCTTCATAATGAGGCGGTGGAGGGCCATAGCCTTCATCGTGATAGTGCCCGTGGTAGCCACCGTGAGGTCCTCCTGGGGAGGGAACAAACATCGAGAGCTCAAGGCGAGGCTAGAGATTTGGGGTCTGTTCCCCCGGATGCTGCTGCCGTGTGCCGGCTTCTTACCATATTCAGCCGGATGGTCCCCAAGGAGAGGAGGCTGCCTCTGACGCTTGTTGGGGTTCCCACCTGGCTCACCTGTCCAAAAAGAGGAGGCCATCAGGAAAAGGCAGCAAAAGCCCGGCACTTGTATCTCTGGGGCACGTGTTGGATGCTAGAAAGTCACAAGTCCACCCCCATGGCTCTCCTCAAGTTAAATATTTCCAACACCTTGAGAATAAGATCTGCCTCCAGCCACTGGAAGGCAGAAGGTGGCGAAAGGTCTACTCATTTTTCAAGGGTCCAAAGTGCACCCAACTCTTCTCCTGAGGCAGACAAACAGCTCCACCCCACCCCCCAAACACAAATTTTGAGCTAGGGAGCAGGGGCAGCAGCTCTGGAAGGGGACATTTGGCTTTCTCTTGCAACGCTACAAATCCAGCCTTTTTTTAAAGGCTGATATGCCTTTTAAGCAGAGCACTGCCACTTGTCTGACCTACTCCGAGGTCGTGGTCGGCACAGGTTTGCATTTGGATCCAGTGTTCTCCTCGAAACATCTGCCTTTTGGCCTAAGTGAAGTTCAATTTCTGCACCCGGTGGTGTCTGAGAGCATGCCAAACCTTATCAACATGGAAACGAGTTATAAAGATAGGTGACCTTCGCTGAGGGGAGGAGGGAGGAAGAGGAGAAGGGAGTCAAAGGACTTGACAGTTCTACTCAGGGCAACAAGAATAATAATATAAAAAACTAACATCCCCACCCAACCCTAGCAAAGGTAAAGGGACTAAGCAAGAGACTGAGGAGAGTACGCCAAAAGCAAAGCAAAAAAAAACAGCAGTCAAGTTAAAACACGTGATTGTATACAAGGCAGAAGAATTTAAGCAATCCATACAATATCACTGTTGCTCTAACAAAACAAAAAAGGGGTGTTTTGCAGTTTATTTCGATAGTCATTACAAAGATTGAAAAGGGCTACTTACAGCAGTAGTACACAGTACAATGTCCATTGTCACATACATATTCTGCATTTCTCTTACCATTGGACGCTTCAACAGTGTAAGCACAGTTCTGAAAGATGGCGTCCCATCAAACATACACTGCGACCCTGCGTTACATGGTTTCAGAGTCAAATACAAGTCAACAGGCACCAAACTGATACAATTTCAAGTAAAAAAAAGTTTTTTAAAGTAAAAATAGGGCTCACAGAGATGTTTTTGTTTGTCTTCAGATGGTATCAAGGAAAAAAAGGACATAACAAAGGTGTAATAATGAGTGTCCCTTCCGTGTTGCATCTCCTGATGTTTTTGTCATGTGCTGTTAACAGGTTTGGTGCTTCTGGCTCTGTGTAGGTCTCCCGTGTGCATGTCTCTCCTCTGATAATGGAATGTGCCTTGGATCCCAAGTGCCCCCTGGAGCAGAAAGCACCCCCAAGTCTCTAGGGAGCTGGGGGCTCTGGGTACTTGGTGTTTTTTTGTCTGTCTCCGCTCGGCGCTGATAAATGTTGGCAGCCGTGGACTGCGAGAAAAGGAGTGATAAACTGCCCTCCCAAACCAAACCGTGTTGATATGGAGAGCGTCCTATGTCTTGGAGGGTCTCTGGGATCTACTCCGTTCTCCGGTAAGAGCGCTGGTGCATTTGTCTGAGACCCATCTGGTCTGTGTTTTCCTAGTTTCTGTGTAACATTCTTGGGTTCAAGGTTTGGTTTGTTTGTTTTGGATTTGTAAGAATGTCGTGGCCTGGTGCGTCTTTCTCTCTCTCATTCTCTCTCTGTCTCACTCTGTGCTTGTAGATGTTTCTTGGATCACGGTGTGGTGTTCTTGATGTAAAAGAATTGGAACTCAAATCTGCTGCTTTTCAGGTACTTTGTTAAGATGCTGCGTGTTTTCTCCAGGCAGAGCTAGTGGAAGGTTGGCTTTTTTTTCCTACACTGTGTGGTGTTAAAGCGTGTGTAGCAGAAGGCAGATCACAGGCAATTCAGGACTTCGGCTGCAGTAGCATACGGTTCCCCCAGGGTCATGTGTGAACGCACTGTTCAGAGCTGGGGAAAGGCCAGGTTAGTGTACCTCCTCTTTGCCCAGCCTAAAGACAGGAGAGCCAGGAGGCAGCTAACTGAATTGCACAGCCCTGCCAACTAGCCACTGCCAATCTGTACAATCTTCTAGTTATGTACCTTGGAGGAGAAAGTGAGTCATGTTCATGTCAAGTCATGTAATGCCATTGCTTGCTTTGCTATGGGGTGGGGCCCAAAATGACCTTGGCCAGCCCCCTCGATCAACAGCTTCCTCCAGCCCGCCCCCCACAACTGCTTCCCTGCAGCACCCGGTGATCTCTACATCCGTGGAAGAAGGCAGTGCAACGCCGAAGTTTTAAGGGTGCAAGACCACACAAACCCCATCTTTAAGCCAATTTAATGCCTGTTGTGTAAATTACACTGCTTGTGGTGTAACACACAAAAAGACAGCATCACCCTTGCACACAAGCCGCTAAAATAAGGTGGGTCACATAAGACCTGCCACTCCCCTCCGGTTCAGAAACCAAGACACTGCTCTTCAGCCGATTGTGGGCTGATCTGGAGCATGTTAACGTTCTAACTTGTTCATCCTCCTTAATTCCACTTTCAAGGAAATGGCGCTTGAGACCACCAGCTGAAAGGCCACATTCCTGGCCCCTAAAAATATCTGTGAGCTTAATGCACAGCCTTACCTTCGGCCTGAACAAAGCCCCCTTCCTTCACCATCTCCGTGCTATGTGCACAGTAAGGTGTCACCTGAGACTTCTCAGGGGGAAGGAGCCCACACCCAACCCACTGAATGGCAGGCGTGCTATGCAACCACCCACCAGCTGGATCAGGGTTGGGGCAATAGGCCATTTTGACGCGCCTGCTTTCAACAATGCACCTTGTTTTTCAAGCAGATGAGAACAGCCATTCCCTGAAGTGCTACCTCCAGGATCAAGCGCTTCCTGAAAGTCCATTTGGCGTTGCCTTTTGCAAAATAGTATTAGCGATGCCCGTTCTTCACCCTGGTTAGCTGTACCTTACACAGGCTCCACACGTGCCCTGAAGTTCAACTTCAGGAACCACCTCCTTTTAACTGTGCCACCATATTCCCAATGCTGTGTTCCAGTTCTCGAATCTTGCCACAAGTAGATTGGAGACTATCCTAGGCAAGGGAAGGAAAGGAAGGTGGAGCCAGAGAAACTGGCGCTGTGACTGAAGCCTGGTCCCATGGCCCTGCCTATACTGGGTGGAGGAAGTGAATTCATTGTTGTCCCGGAGACCTTAAACATGCCAACGAGAATACACATTTCCCTTCAAAACTACTTGTCACTATTTACAACCGCTTATCTTAAATGTCTTATTAGGCCTCCTTCATAAAGGCTCTGGTGGCCTGATAACGCCTTACAAAAAACGTCAGAAGTCAAAGCACAGCTGCACTAGCTCAAGACTTCCAAAATCAGCCACAATGCTGGACAGCAGGCAAATGGCATTACATCACACAAATCAGATCTATGAAGTGTGCTACTCAACGGGAAAGGCAAGGGTTCATGTGTGGCTGCAAAGCAGTCTATCAAGGTTACCTTGTCCACTGAGGTTGGGGTTGGTGTAGTCCCATGTGTCTTGGTCGTTCTTGAAAACATTCAGGCGGGTTGGCTAAAAAACAAACACACACGGCCGTACAAAAGTAATGCAAGATGTCCAAATTATGTGGCCAACCCTTAGCTATGCCTCTTCCGAAAGCTTGATTGCACTGATGGTTGAGTGCAAAACAGTGCAAAGGCTAGGCCAGACCAGCAATTCATCCAGCTCAGTCTAAGAGCCATCAACAAGGTACAGTGACCATTACTGACCCAACTTTAGCCCGTTAGTCAGTAACATTAACTTGGCAGGTGTACTTTTTGCTACTGCAGGCAACAACCCATATACTTATTCCCCCATGCATTTTTGAGTCTTCTTTGCTGTTAGCCACAATTTTTTAACAACACGTTCCACTGATTAGTCAGCATGTGTAGACTTCACGCCCTTTCCACTTTTGTGATTCCCCTTATGGCCAGCAGTAACATAATGTAGCTAATGCCATGTTGGATGAGAAAGCAAGACTCAACACAAATCAGAGCACAAACCAGTATGTTTTAGGAGTGGTTTTTTTTTGGAGGGAGCCGCATTAGAAAGGGATGCTTTAGGGCTGGAAAAAACATATTGTAGAATAGCCCTGTTCCACGAGCCCTGGAACAGGGAGTGACATACCTGAACTAAGGGACAGAATACTTATACACATTTTTGATGGCAAGGGTCAACTCCCTTTCTACAGGCCCCTTTCAATTCACCAAGGATCACACAGAAGATGCTTCTACAGGCACAAAGAACCCTATCAAATTCTTCAAAGCGACACTCACCTTTGCGTATTCAATCTTCAGAGTACAGCATCCAGAATAAATGTCAGCCCCATTCAGAGAAGCTTTTGCTCTCTGAGCGCTCTGCACAGAGTCAAATGTTTGTAGTGTTAAGGAAGCCTTGGAGAAATTGGGGCAGCCTTTTGGCCACTGAAAAAACTTAATGCTTCAACTTTGAAGTTCTTCTTGTTGGACCCTTTCAGAAGTACATCAGTGTCCTTCCACCTCATATGTCCAGGTTGAGATCACATGCATTCAGAACTAAACCCACCCCACTGAAACTGTAATTGCTTCTTGCCTTTTATTGTAGAGACTGCTCCTTCAGGTGGAGATACCTGTGGTTTGCAAGCATATTGCTCAGGTAATCAGGTGAGGGCCACGTGAACAAGCCTGACACAGTGTTCTGCCAATTCCCAGATGGCTCCAGGCCTTGACCAAAGCCAGAGGCTCAAACAGGACTTGGGGATTTGTAAACCTATGCTCTCATAGTAGAGCAGACTATCAAGGGCAGGGGTCGGCAAGGTTTACCTCACCTGGGCCGGTTCACTCCAGAGGAGATCCGTCCGTGGGCTGGATTACGTGCGCATGATTTCTGGCGTCCGCATCTGGTGCAGACATGATTTCCAGCATCTACGTAGATGCGATTTCCGATTTCCAGTGCTGCGGAAGCGAGCCCCCACGCCGTTCTGCGCAACGCGCGGGGACTCACCAAGTGGGCGGCTTGTGGGCCAGTTAAACGACCCCCGTGGGCCGCTTGTGGCCCATGGGCCTTAGGTTGCCTACCCCTGATCAAGGGAGTCCACAAAACAGAAGTACAGTGGTATCTCGGTTTTCGAACATAATCCATTCCGGAAGTCTGTTCAAGTTCCGAGAGGTCAGAAAACCGAAAGCGGAAGTCTCAGAACGCAAGCCTCAATACGGAAAATTCAAAACTGAAGCCGTGTTTCCTGTTTGACTTCCGAGGTGCATTCAAAAACCAAGGTACTTAACTTCTGGGTTTTCGGCGTTCAAGTTCTAAAACGTACGACTATGGAGGCGTTCGAAAACTGAGGTACCACTGTAACTGTCTTCTGAAGAGCTGAATTAGGAGACTACTCACTGAAACTCAAATGAAGACAGAACGGTAATAATCTTTCTTCAGGCTAGTGGCACAGCATATGTTATTGTCAAAAAGCCTGAGACAACAGATAAAAGCAATTTGTTTGCCCAAACTGCTAGGCACTTATTTTGAACTATTCCAAGGACAAACATTGTTCAATTACTACAGGCTTCCCAGACCCCAGGGGAAAAAAGGATATTCCACCATAGCCTGGACACCATTCTTTCGGAAGATAACAATCCGCTGCACTGGGCCACATGGGTTGCAGATCGTGTACAGCACATCCTGTAAGATGAAAAACAATCACATATTTTTAAAACTGGGGAACATGTAGCCCTTAAGATGTTCTTGGCCTACAACCCTCCTAATCCCTGCTCATTGGCCACAGTGAAAAAGACTGATGGGACCTGGAGTCCAACATCTGGAAGGTCAGACCCTAACCTAGTAGATCTAATTACTAGTCACAAGACCACAGGCAACAGATAAAAGGCAACAGAGCATCTTCAAAAACAATGGAACACACTGCTGCCATCCACCCTAGGATCCAGGCAAACTATTTTGTGGACCTAGATGGACTTGCAAGGACAGCATTTATCCTGGCAGCTATAATTTATTCATCTGCACCGTGTATGAAATGAACCCTGGGGCCCCCAACAAAGGCATGGACCAATTACGTTCAAGTGTTTCTGGCTGAGTACATGCAGCATCACTACGCACCGTTGTGATGGAGTAGATGGGGTTCAGGATGGTGAAGAGAAGAACATTGTTGACTCCCCTAGAATCATCTGAGTCGCCGGGGCGTGAAATCTTCTGGCTGGTGGAGTAGTTGACAAAGGCTGGGTGCCCAGCGATGTAGATCTGGTTGTCAGCTGCGTAGTTCACAGCGTTGCAGGCTCCCAAGATATCCTCAAACTCCACCAGAGCCTGCCTCTTTTTGGGCATCACCACCACATAGCTTGGGGGAAGAAAAGGAACCAGGCTGCTTACACTGCCGAAGTAGTCAGCACTACACAAATGTCCAACCATCCTCCATTCCATCTCGTCAGATGCCCAATTTGCCCACTCCTAACCTTATGGGGCCAAATTCCTGCAGGGCCTCTACAAGGTCAGCTTCCACAACACCATCGATCAGGCCCCTGATGTGGACGACAGGGGAAGCAGCTGGTTTGTGGGGATCATCATAGTTCTCCTGCCAGGGGCGAAAGAAGAGAAAAACTTTGTTCTCTACCGCAAACCATTCTAGCCACAAATGAATAGCCTCTTTACACAAAGGTTATTTCTCTCTAGGAATTGCCCCACAAGGAAAAAGACGTGGAGCCTCCTCAGTGGAGTAATCAAACATTAAGGAAAATCTTTCTGTATTAACTTGACTCTCCAAAGCCTCCTTTGCCACACTCAGGCATTTTATTTTATATACTTAACAATTAAGAGCAGGCTCCATCCTGATACTACACATTTCTAGATCGAAATATAGGCTTCATCTCCAACACCACGAAGTCACCGTATTTCTGTGAGAAAAGTAACTACCCCTCCCAATGGCAAGTAAACTTGAAAAAACAACCTAGACTCTTTATTTTTTAAAAAACAGAACAAAACCAGTCTGAGCAAAGATAACAAAGTTGCCCTTGGGCAGCTGGAGAAGTTACTGCCAAAAACAGTAGGAGACAGTTCAAGTTACCGTATTTTTCGCTCTATAAGACGCACCAGACCACAAGACGCACCTAGTTTTTGGAGGAAAACAAGGAAAAAAATATTCTGAATCTCAGAAGCCAGAACAGCAAGAGGGATAGCTGTGCAGTGAAAGCAGCAATCCCTCTTGCTGTTCTGGCTTCTGGGATAGCTGCGCAGCCTGCATTCGCTCCATAAGACGCACACACATTTCCCCTTACTTTTTAGGAGGGAAAAAGTGAGTCTTATAGAGCAAAAAATACGGTATTTCCCCCAGAGAAATTAAGACTCATGCCTTCATCCGAGACTCTTTTTTTATGGGGGGGGGTAAGACTACTTTGCAACTGATGGTTACAAAATTCTCCCTATTCTCAATCTGGGCACACTGTGAAAAGCACCCTCTATTCAAGTCATCATTATTTCCTCTCACCTCTCACAAGCCAATCCAACTCCTTCCAGAGATGCCCATGTTGCTAGTAGCAGACAGTAAACTCCACTAGTTGAGTATCTGGATTTGTCTTACTTTGGCAGCCTGATCCCAAGCACTTTTTCTGTCCCCATCCCAATTTTGGTGGCAGAGGCAAAAATATAGACAGTGCTGAGGTGGATGAGCCCAACACCCTGATGACAGCATCACTTGATGAGTGGAGAAGGGGCAATAATCATCCCCCTTGGCTAATCTGCACAGAGCAGCTGAGGAGGAGTTTGGATTTGATGTCCCACTTTATCACTACCCGAAGGAGTCTCAAAGTGGCTAACATTCTCCTTTCCCTTCCTCCCCCACAACAAACACTTTGTGAGGTGAGTGGGGCCGAGAGACTTCAGAGAAGTGTGACTAGCCCAAGGTCACCCAGCAACTGCATGTGGAGGAGCGGAGACGCGAACCCGGTTCACCAGATTACGAGTCCACCACTCTTAACCACTACACCACGCTGGCTCTCATACCCAAGTGTGGTGCAGCCACAGCCAGCACTCATATGTGGCTCCAGGAGGGTGAGCTAAAAGTAAATATGGCCCTCTGGTCAAAAAAGGTTGCAACCTCTGGCCAAGAGGTTCAGTCCTTATTTCAACACAAACCCTCATCCAAGGTTTTGTGACTGCTTCAAGCCTGTGGTTCCACTGTGTTAGCAATGAACTGTCCTAATCCCATCAGAAATCTGAAAAAGAGCTTTTGTCCTGCCTAGCACCTCACAGAGTGTGTGGAGCAAGGTATTCTTCCCAGATGTATCCACCACTGTTACTACATTTTATTTCCTCCACACCACGATGTATTGGGGGGGGGGGGAGCTGTTTGCTTTTCCTGAAATTTGCTTTTGGCAGCTGAACTATAGCAAATTTGGGGTTAATTAAAAAGAACCCTAAACTTTCTCCTATTATCAATATAATTTTATTAGCAACACACTACTTTGCCTATGTATTAAGGATGAGGTTAAAGAAAAACCCTGTAAATCAGAATGAAGGGCACCATCTTACTGAGCTTGCCATTTCCAATTGGTGCAGAATCGGAGGAGAGATGGTGACAACAACCCGATGTTCTGTGCCTTGTATCTGGTACTTGAGAGCTATGCTGCCCGATACTCCTAGGCTCTGCTTGCAAGTTATGAGTTAAGTCCCTCTACTTCACAGGTTTAATGTCTATTTTATAGTGCCACCCAGTCTACCAGCCATCAAAGTTTGTGGCAGTTGCTAAAGATAAAGAGTCCCTTAGGTAAAGGAACCCCTGACCATTAGGTCCAGTCGTGACCGACTCTGGGGTTGCGGCGCTCATCTCGCTTTATTGGCCAAGGGAGCCGGCGTACAGCTTCTGGATCATGTGGCCAGCATGACTAAGCCACTTCTGGCGAACCAGAGCAGCGCACGGAAATGCCGTTTACCTTCCCGCCGGAGCGGTACCTATTTATCTACTTGCACTTTGATGTGCTTTCGAACTGCTAGGTGGGCAGGAGCTGGGACCGAGCAACGGGAGCTCACCCCGTCGCGGGGATTCGAACCACTGACCTTCTGATCGGCAAGCCCTAGGCTCTGTGGTTTAACCCACAGTACCACCCGCGTCCCCAAAGAGTCCTTTAGTGGAGCACAAAACAGTACCACCTAACACCTACTACTACCCTGTTCAATTACGTCAGTACATTCTTTCTCACTCTGCTGCCCTCCATGTTTTGGACTACAACTGGCGCTGCAGTCCAAAACATCTGGTGGGCAGCAGGGTAGGAAAGGGCACACAAAGTGAGGCGTCATGGGGGCATTCAATGCTAATCCTTCTCATAGTAGACCCTAGGAAGTTAATTGACCCAATTAACTTAGTTTCATAGGTTTCAATGGGCGTACTCCGCTTCGGATTTAGCTATGTATTCATTCAGAATTTCTAAGTGGTGGGGATTTTTTTTTAAAAAAAACAACAACCATCATAAAGAGAGTAAGAGCCATGAATATTCATTACAAAAGCAAAAGAACTGCCTTAAAATACCTGCTAAAATAATGAGGCCTTTGCCATGCGCCTGGCATTCAGCAGGGACTATTATGGGCTGCATCTTTGTCACCTGAGGAAAAAACAGCACCCTCCCAACCTTTGCAAAAAACGAGGCAGCTGAACTGCAGGTTTACACAGGCCTCCTTGTGTGCCTTTATAAACATGTACAGTGGTACCTCGGGTTAAGAACTTAATTCGTTCTGGAGGTCTGTTCTAAACCTGAAACTGTTCTTAACCTGAAGCACCACTTTAGCTAATGGGGCCTCCTGCTGCCGCCGTGCCACCGCTGCACGATTTCTGTTCTCACCCTGAAGCAAATTTCTCAACCCAAGGTAATATTTCTGGGTTAGCGGAGTCTGTAACCTGAAGCGTATGTAACCCGAGGTACCACTGTACCTATATCTATCTACACTGGTACCTCGGGTTAAGAACTTAATTCGTTCTGACGGTCTGTTCTTAACCTGAAACTGTTTGTAACCTGAACCACCACTTTAGCTAATACTGCCGCTGTGTGATTTCTGTTCTCATCCTGAAGCAAAGTTCTTAACCCTTAATACCTCTTAATACCTTAATACCTGAAGGAGCGTCTCCACCTCCATCGTTCTGCCCGGACACTGAGGTCCAGCACCGAGGGCCTTCTGGCGGTTCCCTCGCTGCGAGAAGCCAAGTTACAGGGAACCAGGCAGAGGGCCTTCTCAGTAGTGGCACCCGCCCTGTGGAACGCCCTTCCACCAATGTCAAAGAGAAAAATAACTACCAAACTTTTAGAAGACATCTAAAGGCAGCCCTGTTTAGGGAAGCTTTTAATGTTTATTGGTTATTGCTTTTAATGGTTATTGTATTTTAGTGTTTTGTTGGAAGCCGCCCAGAGTGGCTGGGGATAAATACAGTGGTACCTCGGGTTACATACGCTTCAGGTTACATACGCTTCAGGTTACAGACTCCGCTAACCCAGAAAGTGCTTCAGGTTAAGAACTTTGCTTCAGAATGAGAACAGAAATTGGGCTTCGGCGGCGGCAGCAGGAGGCCCCATTAGCTAAAGTGGTGCTTCAGGTTAAGAACAGTTTCAGGTTAAGAACGGACCTCCAAAACGAATTAAGTACTTAACCTGAGGTACCACTGTAATATATTATTATTATTATTATTAACCCGAGGTACTATTTCTGGGCGAGCGGAGTCTGTAACCTGAAGCGTCTGTAACCCAAGGAACCACTGTATATGTGTGTGTTTACGTACTGTACGTCTGCATGCACTACACCGAATATGAAATCCAAAGCGTTTTTAGGGTTAGATATACAATACGATATACGATCTCTTTATTGTCATTGTCCCATACAGAACAATGAAATTGAAAAACTACACAAAACATTCAAAAACCCCTAAAAACTCTGAAACCCCATTTTTAAATACACTATACTACACAATAAAATATACTATACTGAAAAATACACTATACTAGAGAGACCCCTTATGCTGCGTTTAGAACCAGAACTGCACTCGCGTAGAAGTAGGGCCCTTGTTTCCCCCTTAGGACAAAAATCTTGCAAAAATCTACCATGTGCCTGATAATAAATGTTGGAAATGTAAAGAAACTGAAGGTACATTCTTTCACCTTTGGTGGACGTACCCAAGGATTAAGGCTTTCTGGGAGATGATTTATAATGAAATAAAAAAGGTATTTAAATATACCTTTCTGAAGAAACCAGAGGCCTTTCTTCTGGGCATTGTCGGCCAATTGGTGCCAAAGAAGGACAGAACCCTTTTTATGTATGCTACAACAGCAGCAAGAATACTCATTGCAAAGTATTGGAAGACACAAGATCTACCCACTCTGGAAGAATGGCAGATGAAGCTGACTACATGGAACTGGCGGAAATGACTGGCAGAATCCGAGACCAGGGAGAAGAGTCGGTGGAAGAAGACTGGAAGAAATTTAAAGACTATTTACAGAAATACTGTAAAATTAATGAATGTTAGAAGGATGTTGGATAGAAACTAAGAGCTTCTTAGCTGTAATGCTTTAAGAGATATGAAAAAAGGCTTACAATTGGGCAAAAGTTTAATGGTAAGGATTTGCTGAACTAACAAACTGAACTGGAATACAAAAAAGGGAGGTATGAGGAGGTCCGGGGAAATAAGTCTAGGGAAGATAGGTTTAGAAAATTAATGTCTTTTTAACTGCTTTATTTTGTATGTTTCTTTTTTATCCTATACTTTTTTGTTATATTTTTAAAAAATTTACTCTTTTTTCTGTACTTTGTATTTCTTCTATTTTTTGTAACTTTAATAAATATCATAAAAAAAAAAAGACAGCCGGCGCACGCGTGGAAAGGCCGACGCCCGCCTGCCTCTGGTAGACTGCTCCCGCACGTGGAGGCTCCGCTCTTGAGCTTCCGCTACGTCCAGCGAAGGCGGCGCGAAGTTCCCGGGAGGGGTAGGCTGCTCCTGCGCATGGAGGTTCCGCCACCAGGCCCGTTTCGCTTCGTTTTCCACGCTGCGCGCGCACGTCCCCCTCCCCCTTTCTCTCACCCCCCCCCGCCAAGTACCGCCGCGCGGCCTTCCTCCTCCTCCTCCTCCTCAGGCCCTTCCCGCCCCGCCGCCAGCCCTGGCTCTCCTCACCCCGCCTCCGCCGGCCGCTCCTCCCGGGCCGTGATCCGCGTTTTCCGTTTTCTGGCGCTTGGGCGCGCGGCCGCCGTCAGGGCCTCCCCCATAGTAGCGCCCCGACCCGCCTCCTCCGCCTCCGCCGGCCATCTTCACCATCTCTCCGCCGCGTCCCGAGCCGCCGCCGCCGCCGCCCTCGCCGCTCTGCGAACCGCGCCACCTCCGCCGCGACATGGCGCCCGCACTACAGCAGCCCACCCTCGCTCCCACCTTAGGTACGCCTCGATTGGGCGCGCCTCCCGTCATTCAGCGGCGCCCAGGCGCCCATTGGGTCCAGCAGCTCCCTTACCCACCTGCGTCCCGCCCTCCGACGCCATTGGATCGGGTGTCTCCCGCCTGCCGGATTGATTCGCTTTCGTGCCTGCTTTTCAAGAGGCTCGGCGAGCCCGGTTGGGCGGCGGCAGCGTCCATCAGACGTCCCTTCAAATTAATTGGACGGAAACGACGTCTCTCCAGTCGGCATCCCGCCCCACCGCATTGCCTCTCATGGAGCGCCCTCCTTCTTCTCCAGAAAACCGTTGGCTCCCAGAAAACGCTGCAGTTCGCTCCTGTTGTCTTATTGGGTACTTGGAGTATCCATCATAGCAACGCAAAGTCTGATTGGGCCATATCGAAAGAAGACACCCTCGTGCGTATTTGTTCCTATAACGGAACGCATTGTCTCTCTGCGTCAATTTTATTGGCTAGTTTTTGTGTCCGTCGCCCTGCTCGCTGAAAACCATTGGACTTAAAGCCCGTGCTCTTTATTTTAATTGGTGAGCGCGATTTCAGTCCCCAACCCTCCGTCCCTTGTGAGTTTGAGCCAATAAAATAAAACAGGAGGCGGGATTTTCCCTCCACAAAAGGCCTATCCACTCTAATCGTTAAAAAGAATCCCGCCCACACATCTCAGGCCGAGGACAACGCAAAGGATTGTGGGAGTTTTCCTGGATGTTGGCCAAGAAAGTCAACGGGCGTCTAGCTTGGCTGAAGTATAACAGCAAAGGATTGTGGGAGTGGCTCTTCACTTTAGCCAATGGGCTTCTTAGCTGGGCAAGATACTACAAGGCACTAGTTAGAACCCAGTCAGGTTGCAAAGGATCATGGGAGCCGCCATACCTTTAGGACTAGGGACCCAATGAGCTTCTGGCACAAGTGCAAAGGATTCTGGGAGCCACCTAACACTTTGGCCAAGGAAGCCAATGGGCCTCTGGTGTGACCAAGGGCATATTTGGCTAGGTTTGGTTAAGTTGCAAAGAATCATGAGAGCAGCCCTGCACCTTCCTGAGGGAGCCAGTGGGTGCACAGCTGCAAAGGCTTGTAATAAAAAGATTAAGGTCTTATATATATATATGGACGCGGGTGGCGCTGTGGGTTAAACCACAGAGCCAAGGACTTGCTGATCAGAAGGTCGGCGGTTCGAATCCCCGAGACGGGGTGAGCTCCCGTTGCTCGGTCCCAGCTCCTGCCAACCTAGCAGTTTGAAAGCACACCAGTGCAAGTAGATAAATAGGTACCGCTCCGGTGGGAAGGTAAACGGCGTTTCTGTGCGCTGCTCTGGTTCGCCAGAAGTGGCTTAGTCATGCTGGCTACATGACCCGGAAGCTGTACGCCGGCTCCCTCAGCCAATAAAGCGAGATGAGCGTCGCAACCCCAGAAGCGGTCACGACTGGACATAATGGTCAGGGGTCCCTTTACCTTTATATATATAATAAATGTTCATAAATGTACCAACCAAGCACGTACATAGATATGTGGACCACATGTCTGGAGCAGCACAGGAAGCCCGTCCTGAAACCATTTTGACTCCCAAACTGACCAAATGTTTTCTCTGCAAGGAGGGAGGGGGTGAAGGAACCTTCCCATTGTCTCAGGAATTTGGAAATCACCATCTCAAAGGAATGGCCAGACTACCAGGAAAGGCAATCAGGAAAGGTGTTATCAGATAACCTGACAGACAAGAAAAACAACAACATTCAAATTTCTGTTGTAGACCACCTTTTCTGTGATGTAGGTTTGATGTTTGTTTGGGGTGGTCTTGGGTTACACCCCTTCTGCGATGTAGGTATGATGTAGGGAGGGGTGGTCTTGAGCTCCAGCGAAGGCAATTACAGTGGTACCTCGGGTTAAGTACTTAATTCGTTCCAGAGGTCCGTTCTTAACCTGAAACTGTTCTTAACCTGAAGCACCACTTTAGCTAATGGGGCCTCTTGCTGCCGCCGCACCACTGCCGCACGATTTCTGTTCTCATCCTGAAGTAAAGTTCCTAACCCGAGGTACTATTTCTGGGTTAGCGGAGTCTGTAACCTGAAGCATATGTAACCTGAAGCGTATGTAACCCAAGGTACCACTGTATAAGGGCGAGCACACCTTTGTTCTGGGTCCTTCTCCTCCTGCATGTGAGGGGAGACCCTGTTTCAACAGTTCAATAAAGATCAGGCTTACGAGCTGCTTTGCTTCTCAATATTCTCTGTTTGGCCTCTGTTATTTTCCTCCGACCGATGGAGAACCTACAAAGGACTCTAAAAGGGCTCTTGTGTCCCCCCATAAGGGAATAAGGGCAGATTTTGTTTATTACACTAGGTTAGGGTTGCCACAATGGCATGTCTAGGGGCTTATTCTTTTTTTGCAATTGAGTTTTATTATTATTAATTTCATTTCTATACTGTTTTATATTTTAAAGAACATATCTCAAAGCGGTTTACGAAACATTAAAACATAAAATCAAACAATCCTGAATAAAACAAACCCAAGCTTCCAGGAAAATATTTCAGATCTTTCTTCAAGTGACATTTTGTATTCCCCAGTCGCCAAACTGGCATCCAAGATCACATGGTCGCAGTTGGATCCACATCAGTTGCAAAACACACCTGGTGCCTGGCTAATTTCTAACACTCTCACCTGCGGACCCTCAAGGCCTCTACCTGGCCCCCAGGACTCTCCCAGGCTACACCCCTCACCAGCCCTATTTCTTATTTCTCCGTAAGTGTTTTCACCTGGCTGGAATGTGTCCTTGCTTGTCTGAAAGGAAGTTAGTGAGGGTCATGGAAACCAGCCTACTATTCAAGGATAAAATGTGCTGCTCCCTCCACTTTTGCCCCTGGCTCCTCCCTCCACTGGCATGTGGCCCCCACAAGGTTGCCCAGGAGGAAGTGTGGTCCTCAGGTGCAAAAGGTTCCCTAGGATGTGTCCTGAGAGCATAGCTGTCAACCTTCCCTTTTTTTGCGGGAAATTCCCTTATTCCAGCGTCGTTTCCTGCTGCTATCCCGGATTGTTAGATATCCTGTACACTGTCCCTGGGACAGGTGAGGCTGCTGATCCCTTAATTTCAAATCTGAAAGTTGACAGCTATGCCTGAGAGCCCTCTACGGCCACACGGGGGCCTGGACAGCAACAGTTAACTGTGTTTACGGAGCAGGATTTACGGAGATTGCTCAGCAGTTTAATAGCAGGGGATTACTATGCAGCCAAAGGGATTACTCAGCAAAAAGGAGGCCGCACAGCCTGTTCTACTGTGGCTATTTTGAGCACCACCTCGCCCATCTCTGCTATGGGAGGGAGGCCCCCTTGCTTCTTCTGATCAAAGCTTCGTCAGACTAGAGCAGGGGTCCCCAAACTATGGCCCACGGGCCGGATAAGGCTCAAGGGACACATTTATCTGGCCCATGGCAACCCTCGCCGCCCACTCTTACCAGTGATGTGCTGCGCAGCTGCCCACTTCCGGGTCGGAGGAGCGCCAGAAATAGCTTGTGCGCATGCGCAAGCAATATTTCCGGTGCACATCCGGGTCAGAGGAGACTCGTACACATGCGCATAAGCTATTTTCGGTGCAACAGGATGAGCTCCTGTTGCTCGGTCCCAGCTCCTGCCCACCTAGCAGTTCGAAAGCACATCAAAGTGCAAGTAGATAAATAGGTACCACTCCAGTGGGAAGGTAAACGGCGTTTCCGGTGCTGCTCTGGTTTGCCAGAAACGGCTTAGTCATGCTGGCCACATGATCCAGAAGCTGTACGCCAGCTCCCTCGGCCAATAAAGCGAGATGAGCGCCGCAACCCCAGAGTCGGTCATGACTGGACCTAATGGTCAGGGGTCCCTTTACCTTTTTTCTAGGAAAAGTGTTCTCTCTCCCTGCGATTCTGCAGAACTTTGGTAGCATTAGGAGGCAAGATATATCCAAAGGAGAGGGAATCAGACAACTGCTGCTATAGATCATCCGATTCTATCTGAAAGGGTGCGGGTTTCAGGTCACAAGATTGTCATAACCAGAGCAGAAACATCTAAAATATTAATACGCTCTGGTAACCTCGAGGTTAGATTACTGCAACACGTTATACGTAGGGCTGCCTCTGAAGGCGGGTCAGAAACTTCAGCCGGTCCAGAATTCAGCAGCCAGGTTGCTCACCCAGGCAGGACAGTTTGAGCATATCACATCGATCCTGGCCCGACTGCAGATTAGTTTCTGGGCCCAATTCAAAGTGCTGGTTTTGACCTATAAAGCCTTAAACAACTCAGGACCACAATTCAAACTACCCTACCCCAATCAAACTATCCTGGACTTTGTGTTCATCCTCTGAGGCCCTTCTTTGTTTGCCTTCTTCGTGAGAGGTCCAGAGGGAGGCAACACAAGAACTGGGCCTTTTCTGCTGTGGCTCCCCGTTTGATGAATTCTCTCCCCAGGGAGGCTCACCTGACACCTTCATCGTGCACCAGGCAAAAACGTTCCTCTTCGACCAGGCCTTTGGCTGATAAACATCAGATACCCTTTTAAATATGTTTGTGGGAATGGGGTGGGAATAGCGGGATGGGCTTGTGGAAAGGAGACGTCAGACTGTGCCTTCCTGTTTCACCCACTGTTTCCAGCCTCTTTTTGAAGGGAGTGTTGCAAACAAAATCTGCCCTTATTCCCTTATGGGGGACACAAGAGCCCTTATAGAGTCCTTTGTAGGTTCTCCATCGGTCGGAGAAAATAACAGAGGCCCACCAGAGACTATTGAGAAGCAAAGCAGCTAGTAAGCCTGATCTTTATTGAACTGTTGCAACAGGGTGCTCCCTTCACACGCAGGAGAAGGAGGTTACAGATGCTTCAGGTTACAAACTCCGCTAACCCAGAAATTGTACCTTGAGTTAAGAACTTTGCTTCAGGATGAGAACAGAAATCGCACAGCGGTGGTGCAGCGGCAGGCCCCATTAGATAA